TTTTCCTTTTTAATTTTAACAATGGCTCAGCGATAGCCGCAAAATCTTTTATAAAGGACCTATAATATGAACAAAGTCCTAGAAAAAGAAGAGAGCTTCTTTGCCGTGTTTGGAGTCGGATACTTTTGTACAGCGATTATTTTTGATTCATCTGTCTCGATCCCTTTTTGCGATATTTTGTAACCTAAATATTTTAATTCAGGGGCTGCAAAATTTGCATTTTTCGACATTAACTTTTAGACCGGCCTCATTTAATAAAGAAAACACCTGTCTTAAATCCTGTACATGTTGGTCTAGAGATTATCACTAGTAATAATGATATCGTCTAAATAGATAAATGTGGACTTTCCGAGAACAGGTCTTAACACAATGTCCATGCATCGCTGAAATGTTGCTGGGGCGCCTGAAAGGCCAAACGGCATTCGCAAAAATGCATAAGTGCCAGACTTGGTTATAAAAGCAGTCTTAGGCACGTCCTCAGGCCTGAACCCTATTTGAAAATAACCATTCGTTAAGTCTAAAGTTGTCATAAATTTGGTTGATTTTATGTTCCTTAAAATTTCTTCTATAATCGGTAACGGATATACCGGATATTTCGTTATGGAATTTAATTTACGGTAATCAATAGCGAATCTCCACCTTTTTGGATGCTCCAAAGGATAATCATTATTTTCTTACATAAAACCACCGGACTAGCATAACTACTTGAGATAGGCGTTACGATCTTTTTACGTAGCATATCGGTAATATGCCATTCTATAATTTTTTCCTTATTCTTATCATACCGGTATGGTTTTTGACGAACCGGCAATGCATCTCCGGTGTCAATACTATGGTTAGTAACCTGGTAAATCCTGGAATATCACTAAATAAGGAAGCAAATTCACTTACCACTTGTCGGATTCTATCTTGCTCGTCATTAGGCAGGTGGTCGAGATTTACCCTTGGCGGTTCAACCTTTTCTACACGCACTGGCTTCATCGTCAGCTTAAGAGACGCTTCATTAAAATCCAGTGTAGCTTGTGCGTCTGAAAGAAAGTCTATTCCTAGTATTAAGTGTGCTTGCAAATTCTTTACTATAAAAAAACATCACCTTTACTTGTTCGTCCTTGATACGGATGTACAAAGGTACTTTACCTACGCACTTACATTGTTCTCCTTGCGCCGCTAATACTGTTGTATTATCCGCATTATATATGCGGTATTTGCGAAAATACTTTCTAAAAAAGACTTCTGCCACACAGGAACACTGCGCGCCGGTATCCAGGAGTGCGGTGGCCGGGATATTATTTACCAAGACTTCAATCTTCGGAAGAGTTAAATTTTTCACCATTACTGTATTTAACTTGTAGGAAGAGGGGTTTTCGTGGCCTTCGGATTTCCGCACCCTCTCGTCAGCAGAAATCCGTTTTAGTTTAAATTATTTTTTTTTCGGTGCTTTCCTTCTTTCTCCACTGGCCTTGAGACTTTTTTCCTGGGTTGCTATTGAACTGTCGACGTTCGCCGGCTGTTTTTGAATGCTCGGGTTTCCTTGCCCACTGATTCGCTTTTTCTCCGTAGCCATGTGCTTGAGTTTGCTGTAGTCTTGGCGTACCAAATTGGTTTCGCTGTTGATATTGGCGTCTTCTTTCGACGTCCGCCGTTCTTCTACTTTCAAACTGGATTGCTAGCTCAAATAATTTTTCCAGTGTAGTCGGATTTCTCAATTCAATAAAGTCTTGCACTTGGGGTAGTAAACCTCGGCAAAATCACTTGAATTATTTCAGGATCCGGACGGTTTCCATACAAGAGCTTGAAAACGTGAATTTTTCTTAAAATAAAGCTGGAGAGGTTTTCCATTCTTTGTTGATATATACTGAAAAGTTCCTGTTTCTAATTTCGCACGATCCCTTACAACAGGGAAGGCTTTTAGTAGGGCAGTCTTGAAATTTTCGTAGGTATAGGTGGGACTTCCTGCTTGACCCAAGAGAGACTTCTGCCGATACATTTGAACCAGTTAAGCGCTTGGCCCCTCAAAGCGCTGGTAGCTAAGGTAACTTTTTGAAACTCGTGCACGGGGTAGAGCATGAAGTGGTCATCCAATTTTTCCAAAAAACTGGTTACCTGTGAGTGTCCATTAAACGTTGCTTCTGGTTTCATCGAAGCGCGCATGGTCTGGACAATATACCCAAATCCTTCCAGGGCGGCAGCTGGCATTTCTGGATTCTGAGCTGTTTCTGCAGGCAGCACAGGTTCTTCTTGAAACTCGGCCATGGTTATTCTTCGTCGGGCGCCACTATCAGGTTCAATGTTTCTTCTTACCTTCTTCGGAAACATACAATGACCTGACTAGAACAGAGAGCTTACTAAAGCTATGTTCACTAATTGTAGTAAGTAGACAGGATACAGACGAAAGGGTATACAAAACCCTTTATTTTTTCTTTATATACAATGACTTCCGTACTTCGGAATACAATGACCCTCCACTCGGGGTCTAACTTAAAAGATATCAAAATAAAACTAAACTCTAATTTAACTTTAGAATAAGATTGGCCTTATAATAACAGGAAGCGTATGTAGCACAGAGAGACTGTGAACACTACAATACGTTTAATTTATCAAGAGGATTAAAAACCTCTGGCCTGGAAGGCAAAGTAGCAACTGCGTCGTAACTTCTAAGGTAAGCGGCCTGCTTCGACTCACGGCTTCCTCTCTTCGCTTGGCAAAAAGGCCACACTTAAATACTTGGCGTTCGCCAGACAACTTTGCATAAACTCCTTCACGCTTATAATTCTGGCCGGAAGTAGAAAATAAGAAGTGATAGTAAAGATTTAAAATAAAATAAACGTTAGTAAAACTTAAGATCCTTACAACGTTTCTCATAAAATTAAACAATATTAAAGATAAAACTTGGGAAAATTAGTAAAGGCTTAACGTGGAATCCATTACAACAGTATTATACGTTTGAAATTATTTTCGTGAATCGTAAGTTTGAAATTATTCTCCTAAAGAAATTTTCTAAAAATTATCTAAAAAATAAGTATTAGATGAACACTGCTTACTAGAAATTAATATATCGCCTCTTAATAAATCAGATCCAATAATTAATAGTTTAATTTTTTTAACAGAAACTAAAAATTGGGAAGCAAAAATTTGTGCATTATAAGTGGAAATATTTGAAAAATATTTAACAGGCCGTTTGTTAATTTATGACTCTATTTCTTAACATATTAAAAATACAGTATTTAATGATACTTTTCTTTTAACGGATGCCAAAGTTTTATTTAATTTGTTATTTAATTTAATTCCGGTGGTACTAAAATTCGTTATTATTTTGAAAAAAACTAGTATATTGTGCTGTTGATCCCTTGCATAAAAAATGATCCGTGAGTTCAGTTAAACATATAGGGATCCAAAGTGTTTCTTTCCTTGCAGCAGCATTGACTAGCATTTTAAATTACAAACTTCGCTAAGTTTTTTGCAAAGTAACTGTGTCCTTTTCTTAGAATACCTGCCGAGATTTGTACTACATGACCTGCCGATATTTATACTTCCTTAGAATTCCTACCGAGATTTGTAGAAATGTAAAACTTTGGATTGTAAGGGACTATAGAGACATTAGGTTTTTTTTGGAAGCAGCAGAGAGGAAAAATAAGCAATGCCCTTGCCGGGAGTCCAACCACGGACCTCTTGGATACGCGCCGAGTGTGCTAACCATTACACCACGAAGGCATGCTAAGAAGGTGGGAGAAATACCTTATATACTCCCCTTTTAAAGGGTTTAGGGGTTTAGTGGGATTTAGGGACTAATCTTTAATTACTTATTAGGATTTATGGACCTACTGAGCTTTAGGAAAGACTCAATCGCCAAATTCTGGTGGTGAAGAATCATCGTCCACCACCTTTTTTTAGTTCGGGCGCCACTGCAGACTTATTAGGATTTTTTTATGCTGAAAAACTGAAGAAATGCGTAATGCCCTCGGCGGGACTCGAACATCGGACCTCTCGAATACGCGCCTAGTGTGCTGGCCATTATATCACGAAAGGCTTGCTAAGAAGGCGGGAAAACTACCTTATAAGACTAGGCTCGAAAAGAGACAGAAGGTGCGTCATCTAGTCTAAAGTGACGAGCATTTTCCTAAGCAGATGGAGGACGGTTTTCGTTTCTTTCGTTTCGTTCAAGACGGTTTCGACATCTTGGGGGGGGGGGGAAGCATATTTGGTTTGAAGTATTGGGAAGAATTGTTTTATTATTTCAAACAACTGATACTATTAGTTGGAGTTTTTCACTTGTTCGTAGGATACAATAAAACCGCTCAGACAGCTCTAAACCATTTCGGCCTCCTGTTAAAAGGGTTGAATTAGAGAATATGATTATCATTGTTGTTCATTAACAGTTTTATTTGTAATCTCAGAAATATTACCCTTATTTAGAGGTGGTTTCATTATATATTTATTATCGAAATATGTGTTGCTGCCTTTATTTCCATTAAACGAATTCATTGATTAATGGCACACTAAAGCAGGATACTGTATTAAAACGCGAGACTGTCCCTCACAGTCTGGAACGTCTGGTCACTTTAGTCTAATTCTGCAGAATCGTAGCTGAATTTATCCAATTTCTATATCAGCTTTGCTTCAGTATCGGAGATCAAAACTTTGACAAATACAATGGGTGATGCAAAAGGTTTGAAATGTAACACTATGCTTGACTGCTTGAATTAGCGCTCATCTTCTCCCAAATCATTCAATATATATTTTTCTTCAGTTATAAATTCTAAATTCTGCATTAGCTTTTATACTTCTCTTATAAGTAAACGTTCTTTTTGGAACTTTTTCAGTAAATAAGTAAAATAAGTATTAATGTAGATCTTACTTAGAAACAAAATGGCAGAAACATTTCTGGCAGAATTCGATAAAACGGAGAATTCTTGCATTTGTCTGTTATATGCTTTTAGTGATGGTGTGATATTTATTTGAATTTTCGGGAAATTAATAGAATTTTTCTTCTTTAACCACAGCGGAAGCTAATAAATTGTTGGCACCCCAGTTCATTGCCGTGCCGAGGAGCACCTTTGTTGTAGAAGGAAAAAGCGTCACGCTGGACTGCGCAGCCAATGGAAATCCAGCTCCCAAGATTACTTGGCTGAAGGATGGAGCGACAATTGATTTGCAGTAAGTTATAATTAAACCATGAATACTAAATAGTCACTGATTTGCATGAAAAAAAATTCTTGTATGCGTAGAGAAACATTTTTGAACTGGGTTCTGTTAGAGGTGTAATGATTATAAATATCCAAAGATTTCGTACCGAGATGCATTACTACATGGCTTCGAATCGTATTTTATTTACAGTAATGTCAATAGAGCCTTCTTCTACATTATTTCCAGCTAGAAGTGTGTTGGCATGCGTGGGCAGTTTTAGTCGAATGAACATAAAAATGAGAATTCTGAGATATACAGTAAGACATCTGGACAACAGACGATGAATTTCTTGTGTAAACGCGTTCTGGTTTCTCCTTCAAGATCATGACAATTTTAAGAGGCGTACAGAAATGGCCCATTAATGAAAGTTACGAAGACGTTTTGCTTTAAAATCTCAACCTAGTGTCGCGTACAGTAGCTCTGGTTTATGTTCTTCCACAGACCAGCCAAAATGAAGAGGATAACCACTCGCTGTTTCTCTGGGCGCATGTGGCAGTACTGCAATTCGGAAGCCAATCAATGGGTACATACTCAGAAAACATATCTACATATTGATTGCCTAGGCTAAAGGGCACTTTTGCTTTTCTATGCAATATGCGGTTTTAAGCCTCAAATGCTATTAGACAACGAAGCCGCCCAACCGGTATAGTGGTTAGCGTCGCTGACTGCCGTACCGAAGGGCTCTGGTTCAAATCCCGGAGAAGGCATTGCTGTTTGTAAATGTATAGTGTCCTTGCAGTTTGGAGGCACTCTAAATATGCGGCAAGCTGAAAGTGCTCTCAAGAGATTGGTGGGAGAGAAAGGGGGGTGGGAGACCCAATCCCCCGGGGTGCTCTCCATTAAAATTGGGGACGGAATTGAACAATGTCGCACTGTCACCTACAAGGTGCTGAAGGCTGTTGCCAACGACAAGCATAATCTTGCGCTCCTTGCCGCGAGGAACTTCGTGGGCTTGGGCTGACTATAGGTCAGACAAGTGAGCATTAGTCAACAGCAACATAAAAGACGACGAAGACGTAAGAACTAGCATTTGGTCCGCAACTCTTATGTGGCAGCTTAGCAACTCCCTCTGAACCTTAGTGGTGAGTCGAAAAATGACTGATTGCTCTGCTGTCCCCCCTCCTGTTATGCAAGCGACTGTGTTACTGCAACGTCACACCAGACACTTCCGTTCATAATCCTACAATCCGACATCGTAACACAAACTCAGTAGACACGCTGACGCTGCAAAGCGTTGTTTCGCAAATATTATACCTCTTTTATATATTTCTACTGCAACTTTACTGAAGGTAGAAGGATTAAATATCCAGGTATCGGGGCCCAAAGCAAGCATTTAGCTTGTTGCACAAGATGCAGAAAACTCAAGATATGCCACGAAACCAAGTTTCATGGCACTGAAAACCGATGACCAGGCCTCACACAGCAGCAGTCAACATCGATCTTCGCTCAAGGTGATGTCCAGCAGCAAATACCAAAATTTTAAACAAGGATCTTTAGCATCAGCTAGTTCTAACGAATATAGATGACGCCACTAAGAAAGCGAAGTCACGTAACAAAAATATCTGTGCCATGTTCTTAGTAATATCAGTTTAACAGAATAATATTATTAGTGATAATCTTTTTCACAGGTTATGATAACTACTTTCAGAGGTTATCATTTACAGAAAATTGTTCCCGATCAATGTGATTGTCTTAAAAACAAATTTCAGTTTCTAATACTTGAAACAATTTTAAGTTGTTGTTGTTGGTGGTGTTGGTGTTGGCGTATTTGATTATATCAGAGCATTCAAAGGCTATCTGATTAAGGGGAGAGATGCCTTCGGGGAGGGCATTTTAAGGAAAAATGTCTCGTATACACGTGGAACACATTGGGGAAACCACGAAAACGCCCAAGCAGCCAGCCCGTTCGCCAGATTTGAACCTCGGACGTACGAGCGTTCAGCGAATTTACCCCTCGATCGCTGGTGAGCCACAATTTTAAGTTAAACAGTTATGGTAGTTTAAAAGCTGCTAATTTAAAAATAAATTCCCCAGAAATTAATGATACAGAATTTAAAACCTTCTGTTAAAATTTTTGAAGACTTAATGCCGTTTTTAATAGATAAAAGATTGAATAGTTTGAGACGTTGTTGTGCATTTATTTGTCTGGGTTGCTTGCGGATGAGACTTGCAGCAAATATTTATTTTCATCAACTTTAAAGCTTTTACTTTTGCTAATACCGGAAACCCATGAACTGAAAACAATTAAACACATAAAAAATATTTGTTTTGAAGTGTTTAAAACAAAAAGAACTTTTAAAATTCTTTCTTTTTGCAAATGATTGTTCTTTTAATGAAACCGCCCTAAGAATTTACATATATATCTTTGCTTTTAAAGTCAGATGATTTAGAAAGCAGCTGAAAGAGAATCGCTTTGAGCTGTAGTTGTTAATGATTCAAAGAGCATTCATTAGAATTCATTCAAACCTTTTCCCAACTAGCGGAGCTTCCAAAGTTGATGAGGCCGTGGCGAAGGTTTGGTAATTATCATTTCGCGTAATTTGAATGGCTGAGAAATAATTATTGGCGTAACAAACAGTAGCAGTTCATGCTCAAGTCCAGATTTTGCATCTGATAATGTTCGAAAACATTTCTTTGTATCAGCGGGTGAAGGACTGCAAAAGTACTTTCGAACAACCTCTAGAGAATTCGGAGCGTGTTTGAAAAATCATTCTAAAGTAGTTTCTATTTACGTAGTGCATTCATTAATTTCTTGCTAATTGGTTTCCGTTCGTTGTAATTATGATAGTTTTGAGTTTTGTAAATACGTTTGGACGGATGCCAGTAAATTATATTGGGTAAATGCAATTGAAACGATGTTTGCTTTTAAACTCGTATTTCATAATTTTTAGTGACTTTATTTTATTTTAGTTTGAAATCTGTAGTGATTTCAATATCGGCCACTACTTTTAACTTTGATATAATATTAAATTCATTGGTATATTAGGAAGAGCTTACTAGGAGTTGGCAACATAAATATTGGTGCATTTTTTTAATTAGTGAATTTTGAATCCAGATTGGGTGCTGCGTTTTGCTTTGACGTTAGAAATTTTAGTGTTTTTAACTTTTTAACGCGTCCTAAAACGTTTTAGAACGTTACATTAATCTACCTTATTACTTACCGTTTTGGCAACTGCTACGACATTCCTATACTCGGTCAACAGTATCCATTTGGTTTATTTAATGTTATTAATTTATTTAAATTTACTGCACTTTCTCACAGCAGTAACTTTCTGTGCTGACCGCCTGTTTTTCCCAATTTACTTTTTTAACACTTAGGTCACCAGAGACCAAGAGTTTTGATGCTTGCAGCTGTTCTTCAACTTCACGATTTATTCACATTTACTTAACTACTCTACTGGTAACTTTCGAGTTGACATCCAGTTAACGTCGGTCTTATAGAAACTGTGTAGAGGTTATTTTAAGTTTCTAAAAATTATTTTAATTTTTAAACATGCTTTACTGTCGACTCTCGCTTCCTACCTACTATTCCCTGCCAGAATAAGTTTTTAGTGTCGCGTTACATGTAAGTGAGGCAGAAAGAGTATTTAAAGAAAGGTTTCACTTACTTCAGCAGAAGAGCTTAAGGAGTCCTTAGTGGCGCGTATTTGCCGTCAAGCTAATTCATTGTCTTAAGCTAACTACGTATTGTACTTGCCTGCTGATATTCGCCGGTTAATAGTGAGGGCCATCTACGTTAGATAATTCTGTACAGCTTCGGATCAGTTTAGTTTAGCATTAGATTAGTTTCTTATTTTTTTTCTTGAATTTAAGCTCAAGTGCAGGCTTTTCTGTAAGGTTACAGTAATCTTTCTGTAAGCCTACAGGCTTACAGTAAGCCTGTAGGTATCCAGGGACCAACAGCCTCATCGGATACAGTTGTGTTGTCATGTGATTTTAATTTCATATTATGTCTAAAATTTTAATCGGGTTTTCAAAAAGTAATAAAATCGAAACACTGGTCGAAATATAAGTAATTAAAACTGGTTGTGAGAAGGATATATGAAATTAACGAACCTTACATGTTAATGGATATAGAAACGCATATAAAACGAATTTTAGAAATGTGTATAATAAAATATACTTTTAAGGCATGAAAATAATAATACTAGTAATTAAATGCTTTGTTATGTTAGTAGATAAAAAAATGCTTTCAAGCATTTAAAAATGTAATAATAAGTTGAAAAAAAAAAGTAAATTTTTGAAAAAACATTAACAGTGGAAAACTTATGTACTAAGGCTTTTCGCACATTTTTTAGACAATTTTCATTGTATTTACAGAAATATTTTACCTAAAACTTTTGTGTTTTAAATGTTCCATGTGATAATCCTTATTCTTCAATACCGTTCTATACCGTAATTTCCAAGACAATAAAGATTTTTTTTTTTTTTTTTTTTTTAGTAGCGGAAGAGGTATTTTATTCCATTCCTCTTAAACAGCTTTCCAAAGTCCAAGGAAGGATGTAGGTCGACGTTTGGACAAGCCGCTTTTTAAACCGATATATATCCGTGGATGCATCAAAAGATTTAGTAGAGATATGAGTGAAATATATTGTTACGAAATGTCAAGGCAGAAACTGAACTACAGTAACACACAAGGTTTGGTTTATGCGATTACGGCAAAGCTTCTAGGTTTATCTGTCTAAGGGAAGGGATGTCTTTGTGAAGGGCTTTCTAAGTAAACTGGCACTAAACATGGAGAAAACCACGAAAACGCCCATGCAGCCAGCCCGTTCGCGGGATTCGAACCTCGGACCGAACTACTCGGCCGCTGGTGGGTAATAGCACACAAGGATGAAACACAATATTTATTTGCCATTCTTCATAGGTTTTTCAAACCAAAACGCAAAGTTAGCAAAGCTATCCACCGTTATTTGCGGATTTCAAAGTAGCACAATTATTTAAAAAGAAAGAATACAATAAGTTTTGTCTTTCGAACCTCGGCGCTGCAAAATCGATCATTGACCTTCTACAGGACAGCTATCTATTCCCAGTGGCACTGCGCGAAGTATTATCCAGTAAAATAAACAGCGAACTTTTCATTGCCAGTCCCAAGCTGTCTAAATATTACTTGCATTTGCCTTCCAAACTCACCGTAATTTGGAGCCTGGGGAACATTGAAAGACATCTATAACAGGTACACAAGATTTAACATAAAGCAGTATGCTTAGTTTATAAAGTATTTTCTCCCTCCTTCCAGCATGCCTTGGTGGTGTAAAGGTTAGCATACTCGGAGAGTATTCGAGAGGTCCAGGTTTGAGTCCCGGCGAGGGCATTGCTCATTTTCCATGTCTCTTACTTCAAAATTATCTAATGACTATACAAGTTAAAATAAACTTTCAATCTCTGCTTATCTTTTCCCTCAAGTTGTTAAGTTTCTTTTAAGTTTCCTCTCAAGTTTCTTTTTTAAATTTATTGGGCGAGAGAAATAGTTAGAGGCTTAAAAAAATGTAGTTTAAATAATTTTTTGCATCCGTGTTCTGAAATAATCTGGTATCTCACTTCTCAGTTAAAATTGTTTGGAGGCTCAACACTAAAAAGCAACATTTTAAAAACAAACAACATTTTGAGAAAGAAAATGTAGTATTTTGAGGAAATGCTGGATTTTATTCTTTTCTTCTCTCTCAAACAAATCTTTAGATTTGTATAAGAAAGAAGTAAAAAATGGCGAGTCAGGTTCTGAGATTGTTTTTATCTTATGCAACCTTTTAAATGAAGAGGAATTTTAAACTGAATAGTTTGCATCTTATAAAACAAAGTAATATAATATATGAATTCTCTTTTGTGTAATGGCTGGAGAAACGAAGTAGTTTATAGGTTATATGGATAAGTAAAGATATTTTAGGTCCTTGACAAGTAATGTGATGTATTATCCAAGTGAACGATTCGAAGAATAAATAATGGCATTTCCCCGTGCGTATAACGTATTATGACATATGCATATAAGGAATTATGATATCCTCCATGCGTGTTCCCGTAATGTAAGTAAAAGCACGTCCAGATAGCAGTGGAAAATGCTTGCGTCGAATCCCAAAGAGAACACACTTATTTTTTTCACTTTTTCTGGGTTTGAAAAACTTAATGTCCTTTTTACTTACAAAATATGTTGGCTAAAATGCATGATACGCGTTCTCTAAGGTAGCTATTAATTATGTAACTTATGTGTAACGAGTATATGAGTCAGTTTCCCTTAGAAAGTTCCTCCATGAAGGCATCCCTCCTCTTAGGCAGATAGCCTTCGAAGCTTTGCCGTAATCACATAATCCAAACCAACGAAACTGTAAAGTAAGTAAAAATTTTTTCCATCTTAACGAATGTTTCTTATTTCCAGGGAAGGCTCAGACGGTCGTCATCGGATTGTCGGTGCGGGCAGCTTGACAATAGACCCAGCTACAGAAGGAGATGATGGAACATACATGTGCAGAGCGGAAAATCACGTCGATTCTGTAGATACTAGCGCTACTCTTGAAATACAGGGTACATTTCCATTTACTCTTTATTTTTTCGGTTATGTTAGGGCAACTTGGAAAGAAGTAATAACGTTCTAACCATGAAAGCATCGTAGCAATTAAACTGTAAATAAAACTGTTAAGAAATGGCATTAAAAATCTTCATCAGCTGAGAAAAAGAGCTCTAAAAGTTGCTATTTAGCAACATTGCTTAGTAGTGGCATCGTGATATTAAGAAAGATGAAATTGTAACATTGAGCTAAGTTTCATTAACGAGCAACATGTAGCAATTAGTGAAAGCCTCTTTCTTTCTCTAATAATGGCGCCCACCAACCTCCAAACGGTTAAGACTGCTAAACACTACTAGCTCTTCTCAGATTCGAATCCTGGCAAACGGATTAGCCGAATGAGTGTTTTTATTCTTTTCTTCGTGTATAACATGAAACCAGTTTTTTCACTTTGCAGTTAATTTACGAAGGCATTCATTCACTTTTGAAATACCTCCCTTTTGGCAAGTAGCTTTTGTATGCTTGGCTATTGTAAGATTCTGTACTGTGTACTTTTAAGCTATAGTTGAATTTGAAGAACCTTAAGAACTGGTAAGCGAATAATAGCGTGAGTTAGTGAGACAGTAAATAAGACTTGAAAAGAGTTAAAGACCCTTTATTATTCCAAATTAAAGTTTAAGAGAACTCCGTCTTGGAGTTTTACAATAAAGCCGCCACTCGGGCTTGAACTCAAAAACTAAGAAATTAACTTGAGTAATCTTAACTAAAAATATAGAACTCAAGCTATCAGGATTCGAACCGAGTTGGCCCCTTAAAGCTGAATAACGGCGATGCTATCAAGGGCTAAGTACGGCCGAGCGTAATAAGAACTTAAGAGAGAGTAGCCTAAAAAGGCGGACGCTTGCTAGCCAGAATCACTGGTTCTCTGTCACTAAGACAGTAGAATTCCGCGGTTAAATCCTTCTCCTCGGTTTGTATTCGAACGCGTTTCTAAAACTACGTTCTGGCCGGAAGTTGTAAGTTGAAATTCAGAAAGACAGGAAAGGAACTTAAAGGAACAGGAAGTAACTCAAAACTTAACTGCTAAAGAAATTAACAAATTCCTTACACTTTCATAAACTATACAGCCACACTGTTTGGTATAGTGATTAGCATTGCTAGCAACCGTATCGTTGAACCTAGATTTGAATCCCGAAGATGGCTTGGATGTTTGTAAATGTATAGGGTCCGTGCGGTGTGCGGGGGAGGGAACTTATAGAGTGTAGCGTTTGTGCGGCACTGGCGAAATGAAGGACTTCTCTAAAAGTTTACGAGAAGAACGGTCTTTTCTTTCAAAATTGAGACGGAAGTTTCTCCTTCTCATGGGTGTGAAATCAGTCACTCCCTTTGATGCCTCCTCGACGAAATACTTGGTCAGGAGATGGCTGAATGATCTATGCGTTTGGCCTTTTAAAAGTTTAGACGGAGAGATTTGGCAGCGATGCTGACTGTAGTACTAATTTCTTGCTCAGCTTTGCGATTTAAGTTACCTGGCGTTAGCCATTTTGGTAGCTGAATTCAGTTGCATACCGTTAAAATTTAGCCAATACTTGTTAGGCAGATTCAATTGTAAATCTCCAGTCCGTACTCTGAATCTGAACTTCACATTTCTGTTATTTGAAAACCCGCAAGCTGCAACAATTTAAATTATAAACAAAAACAGTGTATCTGTTAATTTTAAAGTTTTAAATAAAAAGATTGTTTAAAACCTTCTTCTGACTCAGTTATTATTTCGATAGAGGAGGCGATAACTTACCTGACAGTATCTGTAGGGTTCAAAACGTAAATTAAGAAGTGAAAAATTAAGTTAAAAATCAAGGAGTGAAACCCTACAAGCGATTTTAAGTAAACAATTAATTATTATTCCTTTTGCTGGTTCCTAAGTTAGAGAATGTTTGAGTGATCCTAAATTTGAAAATGCCCTGAATAATTCGATGATCATGGAAAATATTTTAGTCAGCACATGTATACTATAAAACTTTTCATAAAGGAAGAAGATACCCAAAATGCTAGTTGTGCTAAACCTTAGAAAAGAATCAATAGTATATTATGCTTTTGTTTGAAGGCAATGTTTACTAATTAAAATGATTTATAGCCATAAAATAGCGTATTGTTTTTAAATCCCTATAGCGTAAAATAACGTACAATTTTCCTCAAAATAACACCTATTGGGACAGTTTGGTAATTAGATCTGAAGTCAGTTAAAAAAGATTTTTGTATTGTAATTGTTTTATATTGTAAAATTATGTTGTATGTGTATTGTAAAATTGTACAGTTTCATTGTTTGAAGCCTGTAACAAAAATATGTTAATTTTGTTTTTCTTGTGAGAATCAGCTAAAATAATCCTTCTAATTTTAAATATCAAGCCGTGTGGCTACTTAACACAACTTTATTAATAGTTTCTTCACTTTATCAACAGTTTCTTAAGTTTATTCATAAGCTGTTCTTAAAAGTGTGTTCACCTAACAGTACGTCGCTGTGAGTTACTTTCTAAATGTCGATGAGTTATCTCCTGAAAACACAGATTAAAATTCAACAATCTTAATTTCTTCACTCCTGACAGATTACAACTTACGTAAGAATTGGCAAGCAATTAGTCGATTTGCCTTGAAATATACAAATATAAAATCCAGTTCTCTAAAACAATGCATCGGGCTAATCACTGTGAAAAGAAGCAGTTAGTAACTACGAGCGGCACAACGCACATTGAGGTCTTCGAGTCCTGCGACCAATTAGCAGTTTCCAACGCAATCGGCTTGTACTGCATTAGCAAATGTCTACAGCAAGGTGGCTTTTCGCACAGCAGAAGACTTACAGGAAGTACTTAATGTTCGCTAGCTTTTAAACTGGAGAATATATGTCACAGGAATGAAAAGGAAAATAGAATAGTACTTAAATTGAAATTAGCTTTTAGATAGTGTAAAATGATTGTCACAACCGCACAAGAAATTCTGCTAGCTTTGTTTAGCCTCTGAAAACCCTTAGATTGCCTCGAAGCCTTTGCATATTACTTCGTTTCGATATCATACTAATTCCATCGTTATAATTTTTTCAGTTCCTCCCCGATTCACAAAAAAGCCTCAAACTCGTTATGCCTACGAGAAAGAAGACGTTGAACTGGAGTGTGAAGTATATGGAAGACCAGAGCCTAAGGTCCATTGGCTGAAGAATGGTGACGTTATAGTGCAAAGTGAGTACTTCAAGTTGGTAAATGGGTACAATCTCCGAGTTCTTGGCCTTGTGAGATCTGATGCTGGAGTGTACCAGTGCTTCGCAACTAATCCAGCTGGCGCCATTCAGGCTACTGCCCAACTGTTACTACTCCAACCAGGTAAGTTAGTCTAATAGCTTATGTAGCATATTCAGCCAAGAATTAATCTGTTAACTAATTCTATATATAGAAAACTTCATACAGAAGTTGAATACTGCATAAAAATATTTATACAAAAAATCATTAAATTAGAGGTTATAACAATAATTACGATTATGTGATGATAACTGGGTTGGTGACAGTCTGACCAGCATAATGATACTTAGATCAGATTTTGTTCCAGTCGCATTAAATTTCGTTGCAAACCATCGCTATAAAGAGAAAATAGTTACGAAATTTAGGCATCATTTTTGAGTGATAATATCCTTTTAGTTTTATAGTAAATTGCAAATATTTCATATCATTCAGATCAAACTTGCTCAAATTTAGAAATGTTCGTGATGATGCTTGCATGTATTTTTTGGTGTGTCAGTTGCTCATATTATTAGGTGGGAGTCTATGTGTTTTTCCCTGCTTATTGGAGTAAATTTATAAGGAATAATGTCAGTTATCTATATTTTATTTATTTATATATCCAGTTACTCATCCCGGCTTAAAATGAGAGCAAACTCTTTAAATTTTGAGGTTTTCTTCTTATTAGTAAAAGTATTTTTATTGCTGCAATTTAACTTTACTTCTGAGGAATTGTTGCAATATATGTATTAAAATTAATGTAATGTTTGTTTTTTCATAAACTGCCTAATTGCAGCGCTTCTCAAACTGTTCTCTTCGGAGTTCTAACTGCTCCGCGACTACTTCAGTAAAATAAAATAAATAAAATCTGGGTGAATTAAAAAAATTAATAAAAGACAAATAGTAGGATCAATACACAAAAACTAGAATTTACGTTCTTAAGGTTAATCTGCCAAACTGAATTTTATGCTTTTTCTGGCAGATGGCGCTCAGATAATTCTGCTGCCACTAATTAAAAAAAAGTATTGTAACGTAAGACAGATAACGGACAAAGCTGAGCGGATTGCCATCTGTTGTTTGCCGCGTTTTGCTGGTCCTTCACATAACTAAATGGTCAGATGATTTCTGGGAAATGCTGATTTGAGAAATTTCTCACTCATTCTCAACTTTTGGATAATTCCTGGAACCCCCTTGAAGTTTCTAGATATTTAGCCCCATACAAATAAAGGCTGGCTTGTCGATTTAGAGTCACTTCAGGATGAATTTAAATATTAGATTTTTTTAATCATTCTTCTAGGTTTTAAATCTGTTTGCGAGTTTCGTGTAATTAGCAAATATTAAAATCTTCTGTTTGTCTACATATTTGAATCCTTAACTACTATAATGTATTTTCGTTAGCAAAGTTTTATATTTTTAATTCGTGGAAAACCATCGTCAAATTTGCTGAAACTGCGTGCTGAGGTATCATCAGTTGTGACCAATTATAAATTCTGTCAGTGACGGTTTTAAATGAAGACTGTGTAAGCAAACTGATGTGTTTGGCCTAAATTTTTAACAAAATGAACGAATTGAATCTATCATGGAAACGAATAAATGCCACAGTTCTTCATTAAAATGTCTAAGTATTGTTTTTAACAGAAAAAAAAACGAATTTGGCGTGCGCAAAAAAGGAAGACATCAGTTGCTTAGATCTCCCAAAAGTCTTTCTTAATGAAACTAGCATCAAGATTCAAGAAAACATTTAGAGAAACATTCAGGCGAAACATTGAAAGATTTGTTTTAACATTATTTCTTGACAGATCAAGCGAAGGTGATTGGTAACTTTAAATGGAATCTTAATGTGTAATAAAGCATGAGAAAAATTCCTTCCGGCGTAAAACTCAGAGTAATACGAGGTCTTCATAGATCTCACATTTCACATCGAGCTAAAAATTCGGTTTCAGAGCCAAAAACTACCAGAAATTTGGCTGCATTTGTAAGATGAATTCAAAAATCTTGTCCGAGAAATCAAAGTTAGTATTGGTGCCTTTTTCCGCTAAATATCTCAGTGAAACGAGATTCTTTGCTTATACAGGTGATAAACAAAATAGAGATGTGGCTTAAATGGAGCACCAAGCATTCGCTTGCCGTTATCAGCAACTGAATCTAAAACAAGAAAACCCTGCAAAAATACACTCTCAAATGTCTCATTAATGCTTAAACTGATGTCTAGTGTTGCACTACAGTGCGTACTAGTTACTATACAAACTAAAATTAAATTAGAATTGAGTTCTATAATGAAAAAAATAAATTTTTGAATAACAAGTAATGAAGAAATTTTGTTTATTCTGTAATTGTTGCTCTCACCAGTAATGTAAAATCTATTGTTACGTAAATGGTTTTATTTATTAAGCTTTGAATGAACTTTTACATGCGGCAGAATTTTGATTATATCATGGGTGTTGGTGGTAGTTGAGACTAAATTGAGATATTAAGGATTTTAAAATGTAATTTCACTGCATGGACATTGTGCACCTGTTTAGATAACTCTTTACTCTACGGTCCCTAAGATCTCTTCCCTCTTTTTACTCCTGTGGCATAACTCCTAAACACTATTAATTTGTAAGGCACAGATTAAGCCTAAGGAGGCTCTGTTTTATAATTTGTACCTAAAAAGGGCAGCTTGAGAACCACTGGTGTAATGAATTTTTTGTAAGTGATCCTCGTACTTTTAGCTTTTGTGTTTATTTGCTTTTTTATATATTTGTGTAATAATTGTTTGTTTTATTAATGATACTGATTTTATTCATAATTTTTTCCCCAACATCAACTTGCTTCTCTCAAAACTAATAACTAATTTTCATTCTTTTCTGAACACTAAATATATCTTTATTTTAATTCCTTTGTTACCTTAACAAAATATCTATTATACATTACTTAAAATAACTTCTTCTTTTACCGTATGCTAATTAATTATAAATCACAAATGCGAATTTTATAAAATTTAAAAATCAAAATGATGTTAATTTCTCCATTTTATACTCCGTTCTACAAAACTCACAATTCATTGCTTAACCTCAACGTTATCATTTCTCAACGTTATCATGTTTTTTAATCCAACAATATATGCTAATTTCTTTCTACTGCTTCATATCGCTTATTCTCTATACTTTGCTGCATGCTTGCTGTACTAACTTGCATATAGCCACTCCTTCTCCTAAGCCTACCTCCTCAACAGGTGACCAACCTCACAGCAAAAATGTGCCAACAGCTCCTAGAGACGTCACTGCTGTAATTGTCTCCACGAGGTTCGTCACGCTGTCCTGGACGCAGCCACTTAAGGCCAATGGAGAAATCATTGCCTACTCTGTATATTATAAGGAGACCACATCGACCAGGTATTAACCCATTCTTTTATCGCTTCGGTGTTTTAAGGGTACACACATATGTATGTAATACGATGGAAACAAATTCAGAGAAGTACTGATGTAGGAACACTGAAACGTAGAAACTCGTAAATTCTGATGACGAAGCAAGTAGATGGCATATTGAAGAGGAAGATTTCTGATTGCGTAGAATTCTAATCCATAATGAATAAGAAACTTGGCAAACGAGGCAGATTAATTCCATTTTTATTTAAATTAACATTCGAGGCCAAAATTCATTTAGCACTCTAATCGTGACTATTTCCAGAACATTTATACTATTCCGATAGGAAGAGAGCACAGTGAAATGAAATGTCGTCCAGTCAGCAACAGAGATGCAAGCGAAGTGCGCATTTATCCAATATGGCACCTCACCAAAGAGAAAAGTTTTGGTTTACGCTAAAAAGGTTTCAGTTCTCGGGGTTTAGGTTCCGAATTAAGTACGTTTTTAGTGTTGCGCAAGCTCTGTGGCATAAATTAATCTATAAATGACGCAGTACACAAATGTTATGAATTTTTTTTAGAATAAAGAGGAAATAACCAAATTAAAAAAGAGAGGAATTAAAAGACTATTACAAAATTAAATTATAAAGCTGATTTACATATTTTTTTATCTATTATTTTAAGGAATCATTGCATTCTACCGTGCATGATGTCGTCATGCTATAAGCGGTTATCACGTCCAGCCAGCATTTAGAGGATTCGATGGTTCGAATCTCAGTAACGACAAAATTGATGATGTGACGAAAACAACCATGTTTTCTGACATAGGAAAACCTAATAATCTCGATAAATCAGTCTATTGTAATGTGATGATGCTATCTTCTCTTTTCTGCAAGATCTTCGGAAACATTAAGTCAGTTCATTTCGTATTTAACTTTTCATTTAGAAGTTTCGTGGTATATTCAGCATGCAATATCTTTGATTCGGACTACATCCGAAATCAATTGCATTCTAATTCTTTGCTAAAAAAATACGTATATTTCTCTGCCGCCCTTAATTTCAGTTATGGACTTTTCGAGTTAAACATTATCGTTAAATATTGTTCTTTTTTGTTTGAGTGATAAAATGGCAGAGCTAATTAATTAAATCAAAACGCTGATAAGCCATCTCAGAGTTAAGTTGACTAAGTTGAATTTCCTGTGCTGCCCTTTCCCACTTTGCCCTGTGTATGTTACACAATTCGAAAACGTTGAAAATTATCTCGGTGAGCCCGAAAACCCTAAAGTTGAGGAAGAGCTGCAGTTAATTAAAACGGCATATGCTAACAGTTACAAAAATTAAGGCTATGCCTATTTATGCAAATTTTCTTTTAACTATTTGCACGACGTGTTAAAACTGAATCTTCACGATGCACAACAGTTGTCAGCTATATTAGAAACATTAAGTGAGTTCTTATTATTATTCTACTATAAAATAAACGTTATTCAGAATTCTATGAAACAGTTTAAGAAATAATATTTGCTATTGATATCAAATTTTATTATACTATAATAAAAGCCATCTCACTAAGTTATTTTTTACGTACTTCAGCAAACAGTAAAACATGCACAGTGTTTTACTGTTTGCTGATACGGTTGATATCTGTGCGATAATACGTTTCGTCCCAACACGTGCGGCTATTTTAGATCAGCCGCAGCCACATCTGTGTTACAAATGGAATAATACGCAGTATCCTTGATATACTTTATAGAAGAAAGGTGAGATGAGAGATGAGATTAAATCTGGTCACTAACGCTATATCTCATCATCCTGAGCATCCTAAGGTATCCGCTAAAAAGGAGTGGCAAATTTTGATTGAGACATCTTCTCAAAACACTTCTGTATTCCTTACAACGGTGAGCCTGTGCCTCGAAAGTATTACCAAGAATCGTGAAATCCGTTACTCATATAAACATCAAACAAGCAACGGTGGGCACACTAAAAGAAAGGAGCACATTTTCAACATATATTATCGATTGCGTGCTTTAAATTATTATTGGCCCAAAGGAGCCTTAGCTCAGAAGGGCATTTTGCGTTGAAAACTTTAAATGTCGGTTCACTTTTCAAATTGTTGCCACCAAATTTTATTGCCCTGTGTTATATTTAAAAAAATTAAATAATAAAGAATCTTCATGAATGTATCTATGTTTCTCGCATTCTGATAAAACAACGGTACCTAGAGCCATCAAATTGTGAATAGCGTAATCTTCCATCGAATATGGGCATCTGGAAGCCCTAATTTGGATTTTGAAATGTGTTTTATTATCGGTTTCATATTTTGTAACATTTAAACGAATTTTTGAGTAACAAACTCGACAATGTTATGGCGAGTAATGGCAAAACTATACGGGAAAAAAAAACATTTATCTCCAACGCGCGAGACTGTGTATTGGAAATTCTAAAGATACGCTCATTTTAAAATTATTTTGCGATATTGCTGTTGAATTAAATTTTATGGTTTAAATACAAAGAACATTTAATAAATAAAGGTAGCACACAAAATGTTAAAAAGCGTCCCTTTGAACAGTCCTTTCATACTTTTTTTTTTTTTTTTTTTTTTTTTTTTTAATTTTTAACCTTTTTCACTCGAAATGAGTGTCTGTTGAAAGTTCCCATGAATGCAAAGATTGAAGATAAATAATTGTATCAATATATTTTTATTTGATTATCTTAATTTGGAGGCTTATAAGTAAATTATAGAATGTAGTCTTGCATTAGTATTTTTAAAAAGTATATCCTATATAGGCATCAACAGAATATTCGATTCAAAAGAATGAGAGAGGAAGTTTCATATTGTACCATTGCAAATGGCCATGACCTATACAATGTAAACTTTTCCGTTTTACTAGTTCAATCATCTTCTTCTTTTTTTTTTCTTTAATGCGTAGAGTAATACCATTTATTACCATAAATGAGTTTATGGTAATAGTATGGAGGTCTAGTTTTCATAGTGCATTGAATGCACTATGAAAACTAGACCTCGATCGAAGGGCGCGATTTACCAACATGTTTGTTATATTTCTTAATTTAAGTATTTTTTCTCTTGAATTGTTTTCAAACTTAAATGTTATCATTAATGAAGTGAGTAAAAATTCATTATTTTGTGATAGTCCCAAAAAACCTTTTAGGTGAAATTTATGAAAATGAACATCAACCATGATAAGAAAATATTTATGATAAAGAATTCCTTTTGCCTTTAGTTTATACCATAAACATACAGCACGACAGATGGTGATATTGATCGAAACATTCGCTTATGAGTATTAGTTATTTACTTTAACTTCCGGCAGGAGACAGTGAGTACAACCAATTCCCTTCGGAAATTCTCGAAGTTTTATTCAGCGGGGCTTGGTCTCTCATGAACATTCTCGAGGATTTGATGAAAATGGAAGAGTGGACGAGTCCTCCCAGCGCTTTTAGATTTATATTTTCATAGTGTTACATAGCGGCCAAAGCGAAGAATATTGTTAAACACTAATAGTTCGATCCGTATTTAAATCCTGACGATCGGGCTGGGAGGTTTCGTAGTTTTCGCCATGTCTAAGGTAGCTACGAGCGGGTTTTAAATTCATCTGCGAATGTATTCTTGAAGCAGATAACCCAAATGTACTTTCCCATTATCTGAAACATCCAAATCCTTCTTAAACGTTAAACTCCAAGATAATGAAAGTGAACTGTTGGCTCTTATTGTTTAAGTGGAAACCTGACATTTTCTCCTGCAGTATAAATTTCGGAATATAACAGCAAAAACCAATATAAAGGATAAAAAACCCAAACCTATTATTTTAAAAGTAATGATGAGAGGATTAACGTAAGTTTATAATTATATTCCCACGTTTGGTACGATCATATTATGGCCATCCAGTACAGTAGTGTTTAAAATTAGCAAGTCTAAACAAAAAAAGTAAGGAACTTTTTTTTTATTACTTATGAAATGTATCAAAAAATAACTTAAGTTTCATTCAGTGGCGTGCCTACATCAGGTAGTTAGCTACAGGTGACAACAATATCTTCTGAAGTATTAAAAGCATGGAAGGTACCAGATTATGAAAAAGTAAATATTGCTTTTACATTTTCTTTAACAGGGAACGTGTGTTAAACACGACTCGCCCAAGGCTGGAAGAAGTCAGCATACAAGGTCTTCAACCATCTACGAAGTATCATTTCCGTGTGGTTGCTTACAATGAACATGGACCCGGCGCCAGTTCTGAGGAAATTATTGTCGAAACACAAGCAGAAGGTGAGCTATATTGTGTTAATTTTAATCTTTAAGAAAGAGTAAGAGCCATTTTCTAGGCTGTACTCACCTCCTCTTCTAATATAGCAGTGTGGTAGGCTATAATACTGATTACTAATAGTATAACCTACGTGTCCTAACAATCTTTTCCCTACCATCACGTCTTGTGCGATAGCTCTACACCTACATCATTAATGCAAAGTTCTCGTGTACTCCTGTGCTATTATGGGTACTTAGTTATTAACGCACAACCACCTGGTCACAGTTTGCGATTTTTTTTTACAGACGAAAAGATGGAAGTTACTTTCGAGTGCAAGTAGGTAGTTTTCATGGCTGTTTTTTACTTCCTTGTACGAAGTAAAAAGGAAGTATTGCAATCACGAAAAGTTTCAGGCAACATATTTCAACGAAAATACCCATTTTGACCTCTATCGAATGCAATTTAACGATGTTTTTGCGTGATATCTGTGCGTAAGGACAGAATAAAAGACACCTTTCCTCCAAAAAAATTATAAAACTGCTTTAAAATTAATTCTGAAGAAAATTTTTCGTGGCGTCTGTACGAACGTATGTACGTACGTGCGTACGTATCTCTCATAACTCCAAAACGAGTAGCCTCAGAACGTTGAAATTTTGTATATAGGACTGCTATAACATGTAGATGTGCACCTCGTATTTTGGTTGCAATCGGCCGCACCAAACGTATATAAATATATTTATATATATATATATCCACTCTGTAACCCGGCTCAGTGATCTCAGTTTCTTTACTCTTATATGTTTGTAAATTGTATATTTTTTTTTTTTTTTTTTTGCTTTAAAAATGATTGAATTATGTTGTTTCTATCTTCCGGTTAAGGTTTTGATGCCTTTCGTAATTCTGGAAGCAATATTTGTACAATTATCAACAATTTAAAAAAAAGCTGTTTAAGTGCGGTTAAGTTTTAAATTAACATGGATAACGGACATATTTGTTTACATTTGAAACAGCAGAAAGAATTGTAGATTTGTTGCCAATCTAGAGAGACTAAGCTTTATTATAGCAACATGATTTAATTCAAAATAAAAGAATATAACGCCTTCATTTATTATTGCGAATTAAATCATGCTTAATCCTTTCTGGAATTTTTGCGAGGAAATAAGTGTTTAAGAATTACTTCGTAATTTTTAATGCAGATATTTTGAGTTTTTATGTATTTTTGCCTTGTCGCGAAGTGAGAGCTGAATTAATTGAATGAGAAATACTGAATCGTTTGTGAAAAACTGTTTCTTTTCTGTTTTGTTTGCTTAATTTCTTTCATACATCGTTTTAGCTTTATTATACGAGTATTTGAATACTCGTAGTATTTGAATAGAACATGTGGCAACGATAATTCTTCAAATGATCTAAATTTTGTGCATTCAGAGTGTCGTTATAGTAAACAAATATAGTGAATTTTAAAGAGTGCATTTATTCTATTGTGGTTTATGCTCTGTTGACGAAGTAGATTTAATTCAATCCAATCAATTTAAATTAAATTCAAGAAAAAATGAGTATAATTTAATATTCCGTACAAGGAAGTCATGTGGTGTACACATCAGATTTTTTAGAAAGCTTCCCAATTTATCATATATAGTATGTTGCTAAACATTATCAGCGTAAGAGAAAACCTACTTTAGCAATTTAAAATACAAATTTTAATTATTAAATAAGGATTAAATTAAAAAATAAATAATTGCGTACATTAAAGAATAAAACACTTGCAATTTCTTTGTGCTATTCTTATCCCTAAGCAAACAGCAATCTGTTTTCGTTTAAAAAAACATCAGATAATTGCGAAGATTCGACTTCGCACAAACTTCGGTAACAGCGGCTGTCTATGATACGCATTTCCTCGTTGTTCCCTTTAGAAAAATTTCAGCAAAGTTCTGTATTCCTGCAGAAATTTTACCAAATTTCACAACCTCATGTTTTAAAACTCGGATTTGTTTGAAAAAAACCCTTGAACTTGGAATACACAAAAAAGTAGTGAATGCATACGAAAATGGCGGCGTTGCTTGACTGAAGGATTGTTATGAACCTGTCTGCCGGAAGAATGGTATGCTCATGGTTGTCAGAGTTTGGCACATTCTGAAAATTTGGCGACATCTACTCAGATGGTTGCTTTAATACATAAGTGCCCATGCTTGGTCCTATGCTGTTAAGTTCTCTTCAAAATGCATGAAGCGAATTTGCAACATTAATAAACATTAATAATTGCCAAAATAAAGTTGCATGTTGCATAATTCTAATCTGTTGTTGAGTGTCTAGCCATTTTAATTTAATTTTTATTTATTTTTTTTTTTTTTTTTTTTTTTTTTGTTTTTTTTTTTTTTTTTTTTTTTTTTTTTTTTTTTTTTTTTTTTTTCAGTTCATGTTCCTGGAGCACCCAAGAACCTGAAAGCTGTTGCTCTGTCTCCGACATCGATTCTTGTTTCATGGGATCCACCAGAACCTGCCACAGAACCTATACAGAAATACAAACTTTTCTATATGGAAGAAGGTTTGTATACATCCCGTTAGTATTAACTGTGTTTATTACCTCTAATACACCATAAATTGAAATATTCACTTAATAACTAAGTATGGGTTTGTAAATTGGTACCAAACGGGTTTGTAAATTGGTTTTGTAGGACGTAGTCGTCGCGAACAACACTTTTCAAATAAATTTATAGTGATATATATATTTGGTTAATTTTGGCATTTCTAATATTTCTGCTAAGCAAAGCAGCTAAATAGCATGAATCAACTTACTTAAATATTCAGGTTTTACATAAAGGCAGAAGGGCTGTGCGTTGAGACTCTCGAGATGCTCCGACGACCAATTCGACACTCCCCTACTCAACGTATAGACAGGGTTTATATAGCTTTTGGGCAGCTTTGGAGAATATTCTAGGCCAAACCGGTAAGAATTCGTTCCAGAAGGTTCTCCATCCGTCTACGGCATATCGCCGAGCCGATTTTGTTGCCAAATGGGCGATTTCGCACCAAATCTGGAAAACCTGCCTTCTTTTGCTATTTTCTCGCAACTCTAAACTCGGTTTGCGGGAAAGCTGTCTTACCGCGGCTGGGCATTTCGTAACAATATTTTAAGAAGGAACAATTTATTTTATTAATTGTTTTAGAAGGAACAATTTATTTTATTAATTGTTTTAAGAAGTAACAATATTTTAATTATTTGAAAGAAGTTAAAATTTAAAAAGAGTTATTGTATGTATTTGTGTGTTTGATTTCATGATCACTTTGCATTCAAGGTACTTCCGAGGAACGAGAAGTCTCCACCACAGAAACTACCCACACCCTAAGAGGTTTGCGGAAGTACACAGATTATAATTTTTGGGTGGTGGCCTTCAATGCCAATGGTCCCGGACTCAACTCAGAAGAAGTAACCATGAAAACATTATCTGACAGTAAGTCTTCCACAACACAAGTGTTTCATTTATGGTAGATTAACATTTTATCTCTTGTGAAATGTTTTTGATCATGCAGGAATATAGCTCATGCGTTTTTCTTTTCCTAGCCCCAAGTGATACTCCACAAAATGTTACCATAGAAGCAGCTAGTTCGAGCGTAAGTTGTTTAATTTATCATATTAGAAGGTTTTACTTGATCTGGAATTGGTAATGACTCCAAAACCCCTAATAGACGTGAAGCGAATTACCGCTTTGTCTGAAAGTAACTAACTACACGTGCTTAGGAATGTTTAAACAATTTTTTATTTAGACAGACTTTAGAATATAAATGCACTTCCTTGTGCTAACAAAATGAACCACTACTCGAGGTGATACAACTAAAGGAACAGTCAAATTCATGTTGAAATGAAATAGTAGTCAAAAGTTACACAATTTATGTATGCTCTAAGCTGGCTAAGTAATTCTAACCGACGCGTTAAAATTAGTATCTTGCCAGCGAATAACACAAAGCCGAAAATTAGAGCTATCAAACTGGCAGGAACTAAACGTACTGTGCACGCGTAGGCGAAAAACACATTCTTTCTTAAAATCCAAAAACCTCAGTTTAAATACTTGCTAACACATTTACATTTTGGTGATGAAATGATGAAACGGAAAGGCGAAGTTACAGTAAAAGTTGAAATTATAAATAACTGGTTAATTTAAATAATAACTTTACAATATTTATAGATTAAAATTAACACTTTCATAACATGCATTGATTGGACCAAACTTTTTAATATTTTAAGTAAATAGTTAATTATGTCGTGTCTGATATTTCAAAGGTTAGTTTATCAGGTTCAATGTTTCTTCTAACCTTCTTTGGAAACATACAATGACCTGACTAGAACAGAGAGCTTACTAAAGCTATGTTCACTAATGGTAGTAAGTAGACAGGATACAGACGAAGGGTATACAAAACCCTTTTATTTTTTTTTTCTTTATATACAATGACTTCCGTACTTCGGAATACAATGACCCTCCACTCGGGGTCTAACTTAAAAGATATCAAAATAAAACTAAACTCTAATTTAACTTTAGAATAAGATTGGCCTTATAATAACAGGAAGCGTATGTAGCACAGAGACTGTGAACACTACAATACGTTTAATTTATCAAGAGGATTAAAACCTCTGGCCTGGAAGGCAAAGTAGCAACTGCGTAACTTCTAAGGTAAGCGGCCCTGCTTCGAACTCACTCACGGCTTCCTCTCTTCTGCTTGGCAAAAAGGCCACACTTAAATACTTGGCGTTCGCCAGACAACTTTGCATAAACTCCTTCACGCTTATAATTCTGGCCGGAAGTAGAAAATAAGAAGTGATAGTAAAGATTTAAAATAAAAATAAACGTTAGTAAAACTTAAGATCCTTACATACTTCCCGCCAGAGTTAATTAGTTTGAAACTGAGGTCTAAAACGACCTTGTTGAAAACTTTTAGCTCTAGAAACTAACGCGAGGCCAACCTTTTACAGTCATAACTTAGCTAGAAACTAGAAAATTTTAAAAGAAAGAAATTTGTTACAATAGCAGCTCCCGGAATATACAACAATCTTTTTTCTTTTTCATCTGTACTGCATCTAAACAGGAGCTTTATTCAATTCTGGTTCCTTCCAGAGATCTGGAAGGAAAACTAGTTTAATGAAATGTTACAGAATGACATTGAAAAAACATATAGAATATACTTTTCTTAACATTCTTATTTCATTCATGACTATTTTAATTATCTCTCCCCGTGCTCTCTGACATGTGTTGTAAAAAAACACAAAACACGAATGTGTTTCTGTCTATGTGTTCAACACTTCCTCCTACAATCAAAACACTAACGTGTTAAAATTCAACATACCAAGACCTCTTAACACACCCTAATTTCAACTCTAGACCCTGAGGTACTATTCTGAAAGTGGCTAACTCTAAAGTGTAGCGTCAGAGAGCCTAACTACATCATTCAACCTTTAACACATATTCACCATGATTTAATCTTTACAGTCACACGAATAACAAATTTTTAACATTACTTTCACTTTTACCATATCACGGTATTTCTAAACATTCAAAATAACAGTTCACATGTATATACAAGAACATATCAAGATGCCGTTAATTTTACACATTTGAAAACATACATTAGTAGTACATTGTTAACTTCTATTCTTTTCAAAGCAAGTGCCAATTCTTTCTACATTGAAATAATACTACATTTCAAAAAGTCTTTCAGACTAAAACTTCTTTCTTGTTAGAATGTTTTAAATAAAATTTATACAATAACTTTTTACATTATTTAAGTCTTTATACAACGCTATTATACATCAACTTTAGTTTTACGCGCGAGTAATTGAAAAATATAATAAGAAAATCGGTCACAACTCATTTCTCGCCCTTTTGGCGATAAAGGTAGACCTCGCATGAGGTAAAACTTCTTGAAATCTGCCACTTGCAGTAAGAATGAAAGATTAACTTAAGTTTGTAAAGTAACATAAAATTTTACTTATCTTTGTAATATTCAGACATCCTTTTCTGGGCCCAGTCTTTAAAGGTGCTGCAGACCGTAGCTTGGTTGATCCTCCTTCTTGTACGGGCTCGCCCTTCAGTGCTTTCCTCTGGAAGCTTCCGTTTTTTCACCACTACGGCCACCCTTGAACATCTTCCTTCTGTCCTCTGCTTGTGGTCTTGGCCGTTTGAAGGCAGCTGGTCTTGGTGGAACCGGGAAACTTCTGTCGTGATCCTGCTTGGACCTCGTTGTTGGCCGTTCAAATTTTCTTGTACTTTTTCCTCCGCCGCTGATGGCCCTTCCGCAGTTCGGCGACTTTTGCTGCGGAGAGTTCTGTCGGATGAGTCAATCTTCCGTTTCACAAGCGGGTTATAGTTGCCGTCCTTTCTCCGGTCTTTTCCACATACGTCGTCCTTCTCCCTTCTTCATTCTGGGGGTGTTCGTGTGAACTCTGTTTTTTGGACGGTGGAACGGCTTCTTTTTCTTTGTACCTTCAATTTTTCCGCGGCGCAATTTTCTTTTCACTTGCTTCTGTCTCTCATTGGCTTGCCCTTGTACTTGTCGTTTTCCCACCTCTGGAACTTGTACCTGCGGTGTCTGCCGTACCGGATCCTGCAAAAGATCTGAAAAGATTTGCATTTTATTACGGTCATAGAATGGTTTTATCTGGTCAATGTTTGCGGAACAGGTTTCACCATTTCTTGCCTTTTAAACACTACAACAGCGTGAGTTATTTTTTCTATAACATATGGTCCTTCAAATCGTGGAAAAAAGTTTGGCAGTTTTATATTCTGGTGCTGAAGAAAGTGAATGCTTAATTTTTAGTACAATTCATCCCATACTTTATAAGTTTACTCCCCGTCGTTTCATTCATGTCATAATACAGCTTTTGTTTTCTTTGTGCTACTTCCGTATTCTTTTTTGCTTCTTTTAATTAGTTTTTCTATATCACCCATTTTAAATTCTGGGGCTCTTTGTTGCAACATAAAATAGTTTATCTAACGGTGTTATAACCTTTCTGCCTAGAAATAACTCAGCAGGAGTTTTGCCCGTTGTATCATGTTTTGCGGTCCTAAGGGCGAAAGCAAATTCATTGACATAGTTATCCCAGCTTTTATGAAAATTTTAACATAACTACGGATAATTTTTCACTATATTTCTGTTGACCCGTTCCGCTATATTTGATTGCGGCCGATACGGGACCATTTTTAAATGACGTATGCCCAGTTTTTGGCACATGTCTTCAAATATATTACTTACAAATTGAGGACCATTATCCGATATAACTTTTTAGGGGCGCCCCGTATTTTAAAATATATTTATTTAAAATAGAATCGGTACTAAAATAATTCGCGGAGGCTCGTTTTTAAGGGAACAATTTCGGTCCATTTACTAAAATGATCAACTATAACAAGGAGATAGCGACTTTTGTTTAACTGACTTTTTGGGAAAGGGCCCAATAAATCGATGCCGATTATTTCATTTGGAAATTCGGATTTAATACTATTTAGAAACCCGGCCGGGCGGAAATTAATATAATTAACGGCTGGACATGTTGGGCAGGACTGGACATACGCCCTTGTTAACTTTTGCAGTTCAGGAAAGTAGACTGCCTCGCGTACGCGTTGAGTAGTTTTTCGAATACCAGCATGAGAAGCTAAAGGGCTGTCATAGAGCTCTTGCAGGATATTTAATCTAAGACTAGCTGGGATAACAGGTCGAAATTCGTTGTTGGAATTCGTAGTTTTTGTATAAAATAATAGACCATCTATTAGTTTCGTAATGGGCCCGCCCTATTTCTTATCGCCACAATATCTTGGTGGCTAAAATTTTCAGGATCCTTCAAATACTCATAAATACTTCCAAACTCAGGATCCTTACCCAGTTCGGTTATTACAGTTTCTCGGGAATTTATTGTACACGCTGTCAGCATTGCAACTTTTACGGTATTACCCTGTTCGTCTAATTTAATTCGTGACAGGGCATCTGCTACGATATTTTCCTTTCCGGGGGTATGCTTGATTACCAGATTATATTCTTGCAGCTTGAGTGCCCATCTTATTAACCTTGGGGATAAATTTTTTCCAGAGTACAATCTAGTTACCGCCGCATGATCAGAATATACTGTTATCGGCGCCTTTCCAAAATAGACTCGGAACTTTTGCACTGCTAAGAACTGCAAGTGCCTCTCTCTCGGTCGCGGAATAGTTTCTTTGTGTTTGATTTAAAGTTCGGCTAAAAAATGCCACTGGGCTGCTGATTTTGCGAAAGTACCCGCTCCTACCGCATAATCCGAAGCATCCGCTGAAATTTCTAAATTTTCATCCTTTTCAGGAAATTTCAACACAGGGGCTTGCGTTAATTCTTGTTTTAATTTTTTGAAAGCACTATTGGCTTCGGCCGTCCACGAGAATCTTGCCTTTTTCCTTTTTAATTTTAACAATGGCTCAGCGATAGCCGCAAAATCTTTTATAAAGGACCTATAATATGAACAAAGTCCTAGAAAAGAAGAGAGCTTCTTTGCCGTGTTTGGAGTCGGATACTTTTGTACAGCGATTATTTTTGATTCATCTGTCTCGATCCCTTTTTGCGATATTTTGTAACCTAAATATTTTAATTCAGGGGCTGCAAATTTGCACTTTTCGACATTAACCTTTTAGACCGGCCTCATTTAATAAAGAAAACACCTGTCTTAAATCCTGTACATGTTGGTCTAGATTATCACTAGTAATAATGATATCGTCTAAATAGATAAATGTGGACTTTCCGAGAACAGGTCTTAACACAATGTCCATGCATCGCTGAAATGTTGCTGGGGCGCCTGAAAGGCCAAACGGCATTCGCAAAAATGCATAAGTGCCAGACTTGGTTATAAAAGCAGTCTTAGGCACGTCCTCAGGCCTGATCCCTATTTGAAAATAACCATTCGTTAAGTCTAAAGTTATCATAAATTTGGTTGATTTTATGTTCCTTAAAATTTCTTCTATAATCGGTAACGGATATACCGGATATTTCGTTATGGAAATTTAATTTACGGTAATCAATAGCGAATCTCCACCTTTTTGGATGCTCCAAAGGATAATCATTATTTTTCTTACATAAAAACCACCGGACTAGCATAACTACTTGAGATAGGCGTTACGATCTTTTTACGTAGCATATCGGTAATATGCCATTCTATAATTTTTTCCTTATTCTTATCATACCGGTATGGTTTTTGACGAACCGGCAATGCATCTCCGGTGTCAATACTATGGTTAGTAACCTGAGTAAATCCTGGAATATCACTAAATAACGAAGCAAATTCACTTACCACTTGTCGGATTCTATCTTGCTCGTCATTAGGCAGGTGGTCAAGTTTTAACATCGGCGGTTCAGCGTTTTCAGTACGAACTGGTTTCATTGTCAGCTTAAGGGAGGCTTCATTAAAATCCAGCGTAGCTTGTGCTTCTGAAAGAAAATCTATTCCTAAAATTAAATGTGCTTGCAGATTCTTTACTATAAAAAACATCACCTTTATTTGTTCGTCCTTGATACGGATATACAAAGGTACTTTACCTACGCACTTACATTTTTTCTCCTTGCGCCGCTAACACTATCGTATTATCCGCATTATATATGCGGTATTTGCGAAAATACTTCCTAAACAAATCTTCTGCCACACAGGAACACTGCGCGCCGGTATCCAGGAGTGCGGTGGCTGGGATATTATTCACCAAGACTTCAATCTTCGGAAGAGTCAGATTTTTCACCATTACTGTATTTAACTTGTAGGAAGAGGGGTTTTCTTGGCCTTCGGATTTGCGCACCCTCCCGTCAGCAGAAATCCGTTTTAGTTTAAATTATTTTTCCTTTCCGTGCTTTCCTTCTTTTTCCACTGGCCTTGAGACTTTTTTCCTGGGCTGCTATTGAACTGTCGACGTTCGCCGGCTGTTTTTGAATGCTCGGGTTTCCTTGCCCACTGATTCGCTTTTTCTCCGTAGCCGTGTTCTTGAGTTTGCTGTAATCTTGGCGTACCAAATTGGTTTCGCTGTTGATGATATTGGCGTCTTCTTTCGACGTCCGCCGTTCTTCTACTTTCAAACTGGATTGCTAGCTCAAATAATTTTTTCCAGTGTAGTCGGATTTCTCAATTCAATAAAGTCTTGCACTTGGGGTAGTAGCCTCGGCAAAATCACTTGAATTATTTCAGCATCCGGACGGTTTTCCATACAAGAGCTTGAAAACGTGAATTTTTCTTAAAATAAAACTCGAGAGGTTTTCCATTCTTTGTTGATATATACTGAAAAGTTCTGTTTCTAATTTCGCACGATCCCTTACAACAGGGAAGGCTTTTAGTAGGGCAGTCTTGAAATTTTCGTAGGTATAGGTGGGACTTCCTGCTTGACCCAAGAGACTTCTGCCGATACATTTGAACCAGTTAAGCGCTTGGCCCCTCAAAGCGCTGGTAGCTAAGGTAACTTTTTGAAACTCGTGCACGGGGTAGAGCATGAAGTGGTCATCCAATTTTTCCAAAAAAACTGGTTACCTGTGAGTTTCCATTAAACGTTGCTTCTGGTTTCATCGAAGCGCGCATGGTCTGGACAATATACCCAAATCCTTCCAGGGCGGCAGCTGGCATTTCTGGATTCTGAGCTGTTTCTGCAGGCAGCACAGGTTCTTCTTGAAACTCGGCCATGGTTATTCTTCGTCGGGCGCCACTATCAGGTTCAATGTTTCTTCTAACCTTCTTTGGAAACATACAATGACCTGACTAGAACAGAGAGCTTACTAAAGCTATGTTCACTAATGGTAGTAAGTAGACAGGATACAGACGAAGGGTATACAAAACCCTTTTATTTTTTTTTTCTTTATATACAATGACTTCCGTACTTCGGAATACAATGACCCTCCACTCGGGGTCTAACTTAAAAGATATCAAAATAAAACTAAACTCTAATTTAACTTTAGAATAAGATTGGCCTTATAATAACAGGAAGCGTATGTAGCACAGAGACTGTGAAAACACTACAATACGTTTAATTTATCAAGAGGATTAAAACCTCTGGCCTGGAAGGCAAAGTAGCAATTGCGTAACTTCTAAGGTAAGCGGCCTGCTTCGAACTCACGGCTTCCTCTCTTCTGCTTGGCAAAAAGGCCACACTTAAATACTTGGCGTTCGCCAGACAACTTTGCATAAACTCCTTCACGCTTATAATTCTGGCCGGAAGTAGAAAATAAGATGTGATAGTAAAGATTTAAAATAAAATAAACGTTAGTAAAACTTAAGATCCTTACAAGTTTAAGTAGGTGTTTGAAGGTGGTTCTGAATCTGCTTAGTAAAATCCTGGATTAATTATTAGCAAACATGAATAAATATAAACGTAACTAATAAAATTCTAACGATTTTTATAAATTTCCAGTTCTTAAACAGATTCTAGCCTAAATCTGTACAATAAATACTGGATCGTAAAGAAAGTTTCCACTATACTTTGTATCTGTGTAACAAATTCTTCGTTATCCTGCGAATTTTTAGGGACCCGTTTCTTTATTATACAATTTTACTCTAGGTGACTTAAGCTTCCTCCTTCCTGGAGCTGGATTTTTTTTATTTCTGTTTTATCGCGCTTGCTATGGAAAATTTTTCAGGATGGAGAAGACATGATTTTCTGCAACTTTAGTGCTTTATGAGTTTGAATTAAGATATCGATCTGCGAAGGTGCTGTAAATGATGCCCAGCGCGTGTCCAAAGTACATTTGTAAAACATACAGCGCAGGAATAGTGTACGGAGGTTATATTCGGAGATCTGAAACTTCAAGATTCCCTATATATCCGGATGGTCCGGTAAGTCCTATTTATGATCATGTGGTGGAGCTGGTGCAAGTTAATCTAAGAGTTATAGGTATGAATTTCTTGAAAGTGCTTACTTATTCGCACAGTGTTCTGTAAAATATCTCCACTTGATGGAGGATATATAAAAGATGAAAAATGCTGTACCCCAAAATAACAAAAATTTCGAAGATATCGAAGAAATGTCGAATAACCTGAGCTCTTTGATGCGGCAGTCAGACTCACTAACCACTATCCTGGTTGAACGGCAAAAGTAATATATAGAGATACAGTTAAAATATTTTATTGATGTCTGTTTATCTTTTGTGAACTAGGTACTTTACTTGTCTTCCAAATGAGAGAAATTGTGACAACAAAAATAGTTTGATTTGATTTTAGACTGTCATAGTCCGATGGGAACCGCCTCCTAAGGAAAGTCAAAATGGAGTGATCATGGGCTATAAAATACGCTATAAGCTCAAAGGGAGCCGCCGTGGGGATACAGTTACCACCGATGGAAACAGACGACTGTATGCTCTTACAGGTAATGCTAACAAAATATAAATGGAATTTACTTAATTTATCTTTTATAAATGGAATTGACATAATTTATCTTTTATAAATGGAATTAATTTATCTTTCATAAATGGAATTCACTTAATTTATCTTCTATAAATGGAATTGATTTAACTTAACTTTTCTTTTTTGAAATAATGTAATTTAGTTTTCTTTTAGAATTCCGATTTTTTTATTTTAAATGTGCTTTCCTATTTTTTGAAGAACGTTTCCTTGTTTTTTACATTTTGATCGAAAATTTAACTGATCTTATATAACTTATTAATCATTTGGTTTGATGATATGCACATAAAGCACTGGGAATATTTTTTAATTCGGTAATTCTTCATTAATTAAAGCCACGTAGGCAAATATTACAAAACACATGCGAAATAGTTAATCAAGTTAAATTAACTGTAAAAAATATACAATAAAATCAAAGTTGCAAATAATTAAATAGCAAATGCATAAATCCAAAGTAAACAAGGAATATAAGATTGATTTAAATAAGCTCTTTGGCATTAATCTTAGGAGCCATTTTCTGACAATGTAACCAAATTAATTTGTGCTCAATTAATCGCAGCTTTGATTTTATTGTACTTTATAATTTTTACCCTTGGTTTAATTTTATTAACTGTTTTAAATGTGCTTTTTAATATTTGTTTACTTGATTAATTAATGCAGAATTAACAATATTTATTGCTGTTGCATCTGGGAGAAATTAAAACATTTATTTCAGTAATTTCACAAGACACTTTATTTACCTTATATATATATATATATATATATATATATATATAATATCGTGAATATATATGTGATGCTTTGATGCTTCACCTTAGGCACTCAAAATAGGTCCAATCGATCATGGCATGGATTCTAAAAGTCTTTGATAAGTATCTGGAGGAAGATTGAATCAGAATTACAAGCAAAGGTCACGCAAAGTCTGTTGGTTATGATGGGGTAGTTGGTGAGCTCTGAACTGGCACTCCATGACATCCAGATTTCTCGATAGGCTAAAGTTAGGAGACCAGAGCATAATCGAAATTCATCAGCTTGTGCCTCAAACCGCATAGCGCAATTTCCACCGATTGTAAGGAGAAGCACTACCCTGCTGGTGCCCATTCCGGTGGGGAAGACAGAAGCAGTTAAAGGATGAGAACAGTTACGTCCATATTAACCGTAGCTGTCGTTATGGAATTTATAACTACCACCGAATCCAGGGATGCCCAAGGGAATGCCCCTCAAAACATAATACCTCATTTACCAACCTTTTTATGCTTCGCAGTAGACGTGTCGGTCATCTGTTTGTCTGGAAGATCATATAGTCTGACGTGATGTAAAAGAAACCATGATTCATCCGATGAGACAACTCTGTTCCATTGTTGCAAGGTCCAATCACAATGCTCACTGTAGTCGCAAATGTTGATGACATGACATCCAGATTTCTCGATAGGCTAAAGTTTATGGCGCACAAACAAACAAAGGCATTATGAGGCTATCTACTGCTGCAAAGTCCCATATCCTACTAAATCTAATGAAATGTGTGCTCAGATACACTTATACTTGCATCTGCAGTGCATTCAGCTTTAACTGAGCCACAGACAGCTGCATAATTATCAAGTAGGACAATCTCATTATATATCAATTATTGATCAGACGCAGATTTCTCTACGCTTTGGTGTCTACCATCGGCTTAACCGCTCATGTTTTCAACGGCTCATGCTGCCGTTAACAATAGCGGCGAACGAACACTCAGGAGACAAGCAGACTCGTCTGTAGTCTACGGGCTGTAAGAATCTGATCTTTATTGAAGTAGCTTAAATTAACTATCTTTCTTTTTCATGCATACGTAATTGAAAAAATAATGCCTTTTTATCCCCGAAAGCCGTTAAATATTTTTCTTATCTTGTCAAATGCTATCTACGTCTTTCCAGCTAGTGCCTTTCACACTGTAGAGGTGGTCGTAATGTTTTTTCTCTAATTATTAAATATATGTACATGCTTCTGAACTATCACAATTTTGACAGTGCAGAAAAGATAATTCTTGGAGAGGTTAAATTTTAATTGTTGTGTGGTTTTTGGTGATGTTGAGGGTATTTCTCTAATGTGAAATGCGGTTCCCTGCCAAAGGAGCATACTCGATGTAAGTAAAATGTAAATTTTAATGGGTACTTTCCTTGAGCTTTACAAAACCGATGAACAGGATACGTCAGTTTATAATAGGTGGGGAAGAAACATATTATGAGTAACAGGTAATTAACCTGACTGGTATATGGGTAGGTACTTGGCTGCAACAATTTCATGCTGAGACACTTTACTAGTTTCCTGTTCTAGTCTTCGAAATCTATATTCTTTATCAGGATTCCGCGCATCACATCTCCGCACCACGCTGGAGAGAATCACAGCTACTGGCCATGCCGATAACCAGAACAATATACACCCCGCATAGGCACATCAGGAGGATACGTAGTCTTTGTCCGCCGTCGTAGTGATAAATCGTTCCATTTCATCATTCTTCTACACCAACCTATCACTGCTTTAAAGACCTCTTTAGAAATGTTTAAATGAGGACGCTTTCGGTTTTATAACTTCGTGGGATATTACGCACTCTTCATTCCGCTTTTCTATTACGAATTTTGACACTCACTGCTCAATTTCGTTAAACCTTCCTTTTTTTGGGCCCACTGAAAGATTTTCTTGAAGAATTGCATTCTTATATTTTGTTAAATCTTTTCTCCAGAGACAGATGTTTTACTTCTGGAATTACCACCATACTTCCTTGAAGATCTCAAGTTGTTCATTCTCTCTGCCGCATTTGCAACCATAATTTTAAAATTCATATCGTAAGTTCTCTTGATACCTGTATTTATTTGTGTCTTTGATGAGCCTTTTTTCTCAGCACTACTGCTATCAGTTGCGTCCATTTTTTTATGGGTAATAAAGAATAAAATAAGTAACCATCGCTAGAGCAAACAAGGTATAACGGTTGCGAGAGGCGTGGAACTTGGAACTACTCGTAGTTGTTATGCTGGCATGCAGCTATTTTAAAATATTCTCCAGCTCCTTAGAGAGTCCTCGAAAGTGAGACTTCCTTAAATGGGTTTCTCAGGGAAACTCACAGATATGAGGTAGAAAGCGAGGACACATTATCCTCCATTAAGCAGAAAATATCGGCGAGAATTGAAAGCGGGTGTCACATGTGGCTCCATCTGCTGGTCGGAAAGGAGAAGAAGATAACCGTGAGGCAGGAGAGGCCAGAACAATGTTGGGATCATCGGCTGACGAATCAGAAGCATTATAATGGCGAATCAGGAAGGTGAAAGTCACGTGAGTTGTGTCAGCAAGTCTGAAGTCCACGGTATGAGAAATTAATTTCTCACTGCAATTTCGTGAGAAGATGTGGGAATTAAAGCAAATAGGTGAAAGTATACTACTAATGAATTTGTCTAATCTGATGAGCAACATATGGTCTGTTGTTATAATCCCCTGGTAAAATTTCATGTATGAGATTGTCAGGAAAGTTAGGTGTTGGGCAAGCAAATGATTTTTTTAAGAAATTATCATAAAGCTTGCTAAGATGGTCTTGAACAAAATCGAGTTTGAGGTCCCGATGCAGACAGTTGTTCTGGATAAAACAAGGAGCTCCTGTGATGATACGCAGGAACTCATTCTGAACAGTCTGAAACTGTTGAATGTCCGGGAATCACAGACACAATATATAAATCGAGACTTTCCCAACTTGGTTCGGGGAGAGGTAAGGCCGTCCCGTTATTACAAGTCTCTTCACAGATCAGGCGAAGGCATAAACGAATCAATAAGAAGAGTAGTTACATACCTTTAAAAAACCTAGACCGCGAATTTAGCGTTAGTCAGTTTTTTAGCGGGAAATTATTAGTAAAAAAATATCACTTTACATTCGGGCTAATATGGTAATCCATTTCACTACCATTTATCATTTGCACTTCGTTTTTAAGGCTGAAACCAAACTCCTTTTTCTTCATGTATGCTGTTGATTTTTATAGGATTTTTCAGCGCGTAGTTTCAAGAATTTATCTCTGATATGCAACTAAACTGTGTCTATATTCTAAATTGTGTTTTTATTTTTCAAAGGACTAGAGAAAGGTGCTCAGTACAGTATAAAGATTGCTGCCTTAACAATAAATGGAAGTGGGCCTGCGACAGACTGGATCGTTGTGGACACTTATCAGAATGATTTAGATGGTAAGTTTGGACACTCACGGTATTTGAAAAATCTTGCAGTTTATATGTTTGTATTTGTTCATTTATTAAAGATAAAAGAATTTTGCATTTTGTCACTATAAATATTCAAATTATTTACAATTTAATATATGATTATATTCCGTTATTGCTATATGGTATGATAATGTTCTAATATGATTACATTCTGTGATTTGGGTTTAGTGGCATTATAATCTCTAATTCTGTAATTATTGTGCGTCATTATGGTATTATCATAATATTGTAATCATCGAAATCACCTCTGTGATTATTGTTTTTATATTTTATTTTTATTGAAAGAAATTTTACAATTTTGTCATCACAAATCCTCAAATCATTTACGATTCTGGAAGGTTTATTTTAACCGATTATCTTATTATTTTATTTGTACTATCCCGTTTATACTTTCGTCACCTACTAACAGGATAGAAATCAGTTATATTAGAATATAATTCTGGAATGTATATGAGGATAGAATTCTTGAAATTTAAAGAGAGAGCTCAGGCAGCGACATTGATCTTCGCAATATTTTCTCGCCTAGTTCTGAGAATTATTTTAAACCGGCATTAACCTTTTTGCTAGCCGAGTTTTCTCGCGCGAAGTCTGAGCCAAAGCTTATTAGAATTTTGATTTGTGAATTTTCGACATTAACTTGCTTAAGCTTTACATTTTCTTTTAGATTAATCGCGCAAGCAGCGGAGATTGTTTTAAGATAAGCAGGATCTGATTGTTAAGTTTTAATAAAAAGGTTATTTAAACTTTCTGAGTTTGTCTTACCTGTTCTAAGACGGGCAATAAATCGCCTGACAGTCTCACATAGAACCAAGACATTGTTAGTGAGTTGTTCCCTATAATTCGATCTGTGATTATACTCTGAGATTACAAAGTGGTGTGATTATGTTATGATATGGTTGTATTCTGTGATTCGATGCCATATGATTATTTTTTTCTGATTCTGTGATTATTGTCTATTGTTGTTTTTCTCATAATATAGTAATACGGATTTAATTTTAGCTAAAGAAATTTTTTATGTTTTTCATTTTAAATCCTCAGATCATTTATTGTTCGATGTGTGATTACAATGTTGTATAACTTAATTATGTACTCTAGATTGTGATTATTGTCCGTCATGACAATGTTATCTTAATGTCATTATCAGCGGTATTATCTCTTTGATTATGGTATTGTTGATGTTAAATCAGAATATTAGCTCTTTTTATTATTATTTTCGCTTAATTATACTTAATTGTCGAGTGGCTTGTTAAGAATAAAGAATCGTCATCAATATTAAACAGCGTGCAAGTTTTTAATTTTATCCCTTAATAATAGTCTATTCGAAGGTGGTGCTCCTATGCCTACCTTGCCCTTAAGCAGATTTTAGGAAAACAGAATTTACTTGAAAACATTAGCTCTAATTAGAATTCAAAAATTGAGCAATAATTGAGAAAGCATATTTAGTTTGTAGAGACATTAGGTATTTTTGGGAAGCAGATAAGATGAAAATTAGCAAACGCCTTCGCCGGGAATCGAACCACGGACCTCTGAAATACCGGCTCAGTGTGCTGACCACTACACCAAGAAGGCACGCTAGGAAGGCGGGAGAAATACCTTATATACCCCCCTTTTAAACGGCGACTGGGGCTTTTAGGGGACCCAGCCGCCAAATCCTGGCTGGGGAGAAATCATCCACCACCCTTTTAGTTCGGGCGCCACTGTAGAGTCCTTAGTATTTTTTGGAATCAGGCAAGATGAAAAATGAGCAATCGCCTTCGCCGGGAATCGAACCACGGACCTCTGGAACACCGGCTCAGCGTGCAGAACCACTACACCACGAAGGCACGCTAGGAAGACGGGAGGAAGTTACTTTACTAAAATTGATTAACTGATGGTGCAAGACTTTTATAGTTGCAGTACAAATTCCGAAATCCCGACTTTCCATATGAAGACTTCGAAGCAACCAGCCTTTTTTTTTTTTTTTTTTTTTATTTTATTTATTTTTTTTTTTTTTTATTATTTATTAATTTTTCTAAATAGAATTTTATTTTGTGTGTGAAAAGGGAGAAAGAATTAGATTTCAAAAGTAGCATATGCTTAATGAATGCACCACGCATGTTTTAATAATAAAGTATGTCGAAGGTCCTGATTCTAATTTCACTTCAGTGATTCTTAATTTCACTTTCGATATTTCAGTTTATGGTTTTACAATGCGCTGATCAATTTACGCAGGAAAAAATATTGGATGTTGCCATTTAAAAATTTCGAAGCGTTTTCACTGTAATTGTTTCCTTGAGAGCTCTATTGTATTAAATCATCACAATCTCGAACGCATACCTTCAAAATAGCAATATCTGAAATTTCATTTCGACTGGTTAAGTGGATAGGCTGCTATGGGTTCGTATATGACCACCCTGTATTTGTGCATGAAGGAAAACTATTAAACTAAAAAGTAAGCGAACTCTTATCTATCCTGTGTTGACGAGTCATTTTCCCTTAAAAAATCATCCACGAAGGCATCTTTTCCCTTAGGCAAATAGTCCTCGAGTATTTTCCCATAACGAAATAAACCAAAATAAACTTTTTTAAGTGCAAGTTTTGTTTGAAACTTATCTTGTTACAGAGTGGCGTGTGAAAGAAAACGCTTAGTTAAACGCTCCGCAAAGAAAAATGTGTGTGTAAAATAAACTAAAAACCTTTTTCTTACCCCCACCTCCATAGTTAGAACAGTTTTTTCTATTGCTGGCAGTTCTCTTATATTCGTGTTCAATTTCTTCAACTCGGAGATTCAAAGTTGATGCTAAAATGCATTTCAAACGCTTTTTTTTTCCCCATTTTGTTATTGTATTCTTTACTAATACGCATCTCTTTGTTTAGAGTTATTTTATATTTCTTATTAAATTTATTCGTCGTTAATTTTATATCTTTAGCAGTCTAAGAATTTGGTACGCATTAACGGTTTTTAACATTATTTTTGAAAACTCTTTACCTAGAAAATATTTCTGTAGCGTTTATTAGAACTTTGGAATTTGTTATTTTTATTGATTTTGTTACTGCAAAACTTTGTCTTGATTTATGGGTAAGTGAAACGGCTTCGTTTTCAATTTCAATCTTATTCAGTTTTCAAAATTTGCGCATTCGTTATGAAAAAGTAAATAAATTTAGGATTTATTTTACATCATAAAATGTCGAATTCTGCAAACAACAATTTTACCAGCAGTTTAACAAATTTATTTCTTAAAATATTAGAAGGGGCTCTTTCCTTTTTTTCCCTTAGGTTTCTTAAGATAGATTCAAAGAAATTTTTCATAAAAGCGCCATTTTCATGTACTTAAGCTTGCCCAATACTGAATACATGTTATCTTGATGAAATTAGCATCTCCGCATAGAAAAAGCTTTTCATAACGGTGCCTCATCATAAAATTCAGACAACTGTATTGTATTAATCAGCCACTCCTCGAAAAGACATAAACCTTTATAGAATTGGCTCGAATGAAGGTGCCTCCGTGCTTATGCAAATTAGTTCCTAACTTGGGGAAAGGAAAAAAAAAACTACATAAAAGGCGGACTCTTTTTATCTCGGATCACCGCTATGCAAGCAAAATTGCCATTTGTGTTGCTGATCAAAATGGCCAACTAAGACCCTTCTTCGTGAAGATGCTGTCACCTTTATGAAAGTTACTTTTTTTAAGTCAGAAAGCCATGCGTATAAGGTTTGGTTTAGTTTATTATCGCAAAGCACACTAGGGCTATTTGCCTAATGAGAGGGATGCCTTTGTGGAGAACTTTCTAAGGGAGACTATTTCGTGTATGCGTTACAGATGGGTAAAACTACGAAAACGCCCGTGCAGCCATTCAGTTCTGGATTCGAACTGAGGTCAGAACTACCGGTATTCAGCGATTTTTACCCCTCAGCCGCTGGCGTTATATAAGGGTAGTATGAAGTTTGATGTCTTTTCGAACGGTGGTCGACTTACATCCGCTGCCTTTATGGTGGAACATTGTTATGAAGAGGTTAGCTTTATCAAAACTTACATGTGCATTTTTTTACTTTGTGCATATATATATATATATATATAGTGCCTGAGACAGAATTTCAATAAGAGTTGAGTTACGTCAGGATATGATTGTTAACTGGTATGGGCAGTTAGTAGTCCTATGCGGTTAAGAATCTTTAAATGACGATTTTTCGCCAAATTTAACGACAAAAATTAGGCGTCAAAACATGGCTAGCTTGGCGATATCTCGCCAAATTAGTGAGATAGTTATTTACTCAGTGTTAATTAGACTTTCCTCTGTGTTCTTATTTTTCCTGCATAACATCTAGATTTTCATGTTGCATTATGCAGAAAAACACAGCAATTTCACGTGTAGTTGCATTAAAAATTTTGTCGTAATTTCTATAGAAAATAATTAGATGCAGAAAAGCTAATGATCTTTTGGGGATTTCAGAGACAAGGGTTCCGGACAGACCAAATTCTCTACGTGCACGCCCTACTGCAAATAGCATCCACGTTAACTGGACACCGCCGCGGAATCAGAACATCATGATACGAGGCTACACCATAGGTTGGGGCATCGGATTTCCTGATGTTTACACCAAAGTGCTTGATGGGAAACAACGGTACTATAATATTGAAAATTTACGTAAGTATCTGTTCTCTGACTTTATTTAAATCCACGATTATCGTATTTAAAAATATATATATTTTTACAGCATTCATCCTTTGATCGTAGGTCTGTTAAAAAGGTTGAAAACTGTTAAAAAAATCATGTTGGCAGTATATTGTCGGCACACTCGATGTCCTTGCCAATGGATTTTTACTGTTTCTGTTCGAAAATAAATTTGCATGAGTTTCATGGTGATTTAAATTCCAACTTTCTAATATAAAATATCTCAAATGTTTACAGCATGAAAGTGGGTTTTTGTAAAATCGAAGAAAGAGACCACTGACAGATACCAGGTAGCCTTGGTTTTTGACTAGGGAATTCACCCACTCTGTTAAGTTCACTTGCCTCTTATTTCTTGTACTTCGTAATTATGTGTTCTTGGGTATGAAGTGTTTTTCCACATTCAGAGCTAAATCTTCACTGATTGTGTGTGGTTCATCTTAGCTAACACATTATTTTTATGTTAATTCTTTATTTCTTTATTTATTTTTTAGTTACTTTTTGTTTCCTTTGCCAACCATCATCAGCATGTAAATTAAGTTGAGTTTAAATAATGTTAAGCGAATTTGCAGCTTAGAAAGAAAGAACTGTGGCAACTTGCCAGGAAGATATCTTTACCCTTGGTGTTTGCCTGTGTTCCATTTTGTATTTAGGGGATCATTTTGATTTCATTAGCGCTATTTTGAATTTATTAGTACTTAGAAGCCACAGTAGTTGCAGCTATATTAGTAAAACACTGAAAGTGATCTTCACTTTTGAACGTAATTAAATATTTGTATTTTTGTTATTTCGCAAGTAACGGTGGTTAAGTTTTGTTAAATCTTATTTCTACTGAAAACGTAGGTTTTAATGAACCTTTGATTGTGTTCTTGAAGTTCAGACTTCTAGCCAAGCGCAAAGATAAGACTTCGCGTGAAGCACAGAAAGCTTAAACAGGTGGAATTTAATTTCTAATTACGCTTAACTTTATATCTGATGTTCAACAAGCTAAACAAGAGCCTGAAATAGTCCTTAGAACGTCTCTAAATGTCCAGTGCCTGATTACAAGGAATTCGGAAAAAATGCTCTTTGAATTAGTTGTGTATTACATCGTTTCATTTCTGAGCTATATGTATATAAATTCAAAACTATCTCTTTATATATGTTTGTAAGATAAAAAAAGATGAAAGCAAACTTCTCGTTTTAATCGGCAGTAGCTAGCCCCTTATGATCTTCATTTTAATTTGGGTATATCCCATTTCTGTCTAAAAAATGTAACTGCTTATAATATATCAATCTACACTTCGCCCAAATAATCCATATCGTATGGTCTTACATATCGCCGCGATGTATGGACAGCGAATAAAATTTCAATTGAAATGAAAACATTTTAGGAAGCAAAGCCTTCTGACATCTTCCCAGGCATTCTTTGAAATGCGTTGCACTTCTTGCTTGCTTGTTTTCTTCTGGCTAACATATAGCGATTCACTTCTCTCTGTAATCTCATTATCATATCATCTGTTTGTCTTAAAATGTGGTAAACTTCCAAAAATTTGATGACGAATGGATGCGGATTGCGGCCATAATGATGTATGTGTATCATAATATGCGTGTCAAGAATTATTTTGTCCAGAAATGAATTGTGTTGAATCTGCAGTTTTATTTTCAACAAATATTTCATCTTTCTTCTACGCAGTAACGCATTCTGTATGCCAGCGCCGTCTATCGGCCGTGATTTAAAAGTATTTGTGTCTTCTTTACGCATTACTAAATTATTACTTATATATACGAATTCGAACCGGATTTGTGAGAAATATGCACATTAATTCGAAAATTAAGAAATTTCATCAAAGTGCTTGCTTTAATATTTTTTTAATTTATTTTAATTTGAATATTACTGGAAAGAATTATTTCAATTTGATTTTGTTGCGGGAAAAATATTTTCTGACTGATTTTAAATCATTTTGCAGCGAAAAAGTAAAGTGGAAGATGGCTGATGGAAAGGAAATATAATTTTAATATTCTTTTCTTTCTTTCAGATTTTTAACGGGTATATTTAACTTCAGTAATGAGTTTGCAGGTGGGGGAGAAGTTTATTTTATTCTTCTTTAAAAGCTCATTTCTTAACTATAAAGTTTAATCTGTACCTAAAGAATATTTTTAATTTATTCCATTTCAATAAAGGCATTTAAAAATATAAAAAGATAATTTCCTTCAAAATTGATTTGTTTAATAAAAAAAAGTTTTAAAATCCGTTAAATTTAATATAAATCATTTTTCCGATGCATGGGGTAGTAAATTTTATGAAACAGTAGAATTATCTTAGGTTATGAAGAAATAGTACTGATAAAAGCAAGTTTTTTTTTTTTTTTTTTTTTTACTTTTAAAACAAACTTCCAAAATGAAAGGTTTCTATTAGAAATTAACGGAAAAATCTCTTGAACTTTGAAATGAAAGTAAACATTTCTCATCTGACTAAATAATCTGTGTGTCCCATTAGCACAACTGATGCCAGTTTGAGAAATAAATGCGCCAAAATAAATTTACTAGTATATATATTGTTCTTCTTTTATTTTACATTCAGTGTTTAAATATAGTAAAATAAATTTTCATATATTTATTTTCCCAGAGCCGTCTTCGGAATACGTCATTAGTTTACGAGCTTTTAATCAAGTAGGAGATGGAATTCCTATATATGAAACTGTCAAAACTCTAATTCAAGCACGTAAGCAACTTTTATTATTATTATTATTATTATTATTATTATTATGTACCTTAAGCTTCTTGTGGATCTTTGGGGCAACCAACTTCCCAAAATCTCACTGAAAGAGTAGCAATCGAAATGGAAGAGATTTTGACGGCCACAAATTCACAGTTGCCGCGAGAATAACGTCGAAGCAATTTTCTTCGAATTTAAACTGCAAGATATATCCTAGTTTTATAACAGTTATTTTAAGTTTATTACACTTCCCTATCTCTTCTAGCTTCAGCCTACAATTCCTTACCAGAATGAGTTTTTATAATCGCGTTAAATGCAAATTAGAAATAGAGTAGTATTTAAGTCAAAGTTCCACTGACTTCGAGAGAGAGAATGTGTTAGGATTCCTGAATAACGCGCGTTTACCTTTTGGCTACGTCTCTCTAACTGTTACTACGCTCGGCCTTATTACATGCCTTTTGATAGCTTCGCTAGCTAATTTAATATTACTGGCCAACTAGGTTAGAATAGGTGTTAATTTCGGACAAATCTCTTTTGTTAATCATTAGATCGTTCTTATTTCTTACATTTTAAGTTAAACCCAAGTGGAGGCTTTGTTGTACGCCTGAGAAAGGGGACATCTGTCAATCTTTATTTTGAGCAATAAAGGGTAATTAACCCTTCTTGAATTTACGTTTCTGTTCTTGAACTTAAGCTATTATTCGCTTAGTAGTTCATTAGGTTACTTAACACTTAGTTTAGTAGAGTAAAAGGGAGTAACACTATAAAACTGCCCGGCGTATATTTCAGTTGATGGCGAACTAAAAACTGTTAATATTTAACGAATAAAATATAAATTTTAAATAGTGAAATATCACTATAACGAAGGATTAAAGACGATAAGCTAGCTTATGAAATACAAGACGCAGATACGGAAAACGGTTTGCTATTTTATGGGACATTAAAGTTGTGACTAGTTGAATTTATCTTGGTTGGCCCACAGATCCATAAGTATAGCTTGTATTTGCATCATACGCAACTTTAATTCGTACTGTCAATACATATATTTGTGCAGATTCCTCAGTGAACTATGGTTGGTCATTTCTGTTTAAAATGATTTCTTTCTTACGATAACGTTAACTTTTGAGAAGGAGTGATCAGCACATGATGGAATGTTTGAAAAAAAGTTTGCTAATTCGTAATTTTTCTTGAAGAAAAATATTCAGATATACTAAAGGTCATTAGAGTTTACGAGAGAATAAATCGTGAATTGGTTAAGACATTTTTGTGTTTAATTTGGAAACTGGAAAATGTATGGACAATTCCAAATGCGCCGTTTGTTCAAACTTCTCCTAGCAAAGCAGATGACTGCCTTTTTGGTTATAAAGGGCTATATTTCATCTTTAATTACAATTCGTTTGAAATTCAAGATTAATGGATGCCATTTCGATCAAATGATGATGTACAGAAATTCTATCTTTGTGTTTTTAAGCGTGTGAGAGAAGACGAGAACAAATTTTTCTTTTGCAAAATCTTAACCTTTTTAGCAGTGATGTTAAGCTCATTAGTTGTGATTTAAAGAAACAAATGACGATATTTCGTCAGAATTGTCAAACCTTTTCGATTTCGTCATTCATATATTTCAGACTGAAAAGGGCTACCGTTCCTCAATTCATCATCAACAGCTTTTCATTACGAAATCTTCCGTGCTGGTGGTGGAAAACATTAGATCATGTTGATGCTTAATCCTCGTAACGCTTTACGAAACATTTCAGGTATTTCGGATACTGTGATTTCCCCTTTACAGCAAAACTTGTTTCTGCTTTTGAGTCCCTGATAGCTGATGTCACTGGATTAAAGCAAAGGTTAACTGCGCAGCAAATTCTCTCCATAAGCACAATATTTTAGGAAAAGCAAACTGATATGCCGTAATAATAAATGCTATCAGTTATCGCTTCGCAGATTTGCTGGAATTTGTTAAAATAAAAGGACCAATCCTAAAAATTTGTAGATGCCTTGGGCATGAATATGTGTAATGTCATTTGAAGTTCATCTTTCATGTGAAAATCTTAAATATTTTCCATATTATTTTCTTTTTATTATACTCTATCATGGATAACCATCTTTTCTTTGCAGCGCCTGAACCGCAGACACCAATGCTGCCTCCTGTTGGTCTGAAAGCTATTGTCCTTTCCTCTTCTACTGTTGTTCTATATTGGACAGACAGCACTTTATCTCGGAATCAATTAGTGACTGACAATCGCATTTACACTGTTCGTTATAGTCCCTACTCAACCAGTTCCAGTCCAAAATACAGATATTTTAACTCCACCGATCTAAACTGCATGATTGTTGATCTCAGGTGAATATTTATTTTTAACTTATATGTGTTTTAATTTCATCTTGGTTTTTCCTGTTATGACTTTAGGTTAACTGGATGAAATTAGGTGATACTCTCTTTAAATATTGGTAGAATTTGAGGTGGTGAAACTGTAGTCTCTGGTATAAGAATGTGGTATAAGAATGTATTTCTAATCGTATCTTGCTGCATTGTGTTACGGCAATGAAACATCAGACTTTAAATAATGTTATGCAATAAAATGTTATCTGAAACTCGATCAAAATACAACTAATATGGAGGAATAATAATAAACTCTATACGGGCATATGGAGAACATGCTTAAAGGGAGATGAAAGCGCTACACAGCTTTTTACAGGACTTCTTAGGCGAGCCGCGCTCGGAGATTTCACATACCCCAATAATGAGCAGAAATGAGGTAAACGAGACGCAGTCAGAGGATGATTAAATTTGAGTTGGTCTACAATGCATGAAGTTTTAACTAAGCATGTGGAAGGTGTATGCCAAATTGGTGCCAAAACAAAACTTCACATTTGATACAGAGAGAATCGAAGGAATATATGTTTCGATTTTCTGAAACTCATCCTAAGCGACTTCCGCAAGAAAATGAAATCTGCTACCAATTTTGAATTTTCGGATATGGTCCGGAAACGAATCGTGAATGCTAGAAGTGACACTCGAGCACATCATCTCATATACAAAAAAGTAGAGATCAACAATCAAATTCAAATTCTTTTTTTTTTTTTTTTTTTTTTTTTTTTTTTTTTTTACAGCGAGGGAGGATTATTGAAAAGATATGTTACATTAGGTTATTTGAATTGCGCAAAACGCGGAGGATTATTTGCCAAATGCAGGGATGCTTTCATGGTGGTCTCTCTAAGGAAAAACTGGCTCATGTTGACTTTATACATGGGGAAAACCACAAAAAAACACTCATGCGACCGCTCCTTTCCCTGGATTCAAATCCAGGTTAAATTAGACGTATTTAGTAGTACTCTGGTGGGACTTATTCGGAAGGAATGTGTACCATAAGAATAAACTATGAACAACATTACTGTTTTGAAATTATTTAAAGGCTACGGCTACAGAGCGTTGAGCTCGTTCTTAGTGCTGTTCAATGCTAAATGTTAGGTTCATTTAGTTTCAGTCTTAAATAATATTTTTAAATAAATTTCAGTCTTAAATAATATAAAAATCATTAAAAAAATCCAAAAGAGAATTTTGGAAGTTCCGAAAAACTCTTCAGATCAGAGTTCATAAGTTTTTTTTTGTTTTACCAGATTTATCTTTCATGGAATTTGACAACAACCTTTTTCTTGCAAAATATGGCTTGTGAATGTCCGTTACAGTTCCATGTCCTCAGACTTATCTGTAGTACGGACAATATTGAACTGCATTTGTTAATCGTTGTGTAGTGTCATTTGTATTGTCTCTTTTTCAAAAACATTTGGTGACTCTTTTTCAAATTTCCAGTATGACATTAGATGGAATTTTCGTTTCTTCAATTGTATGTCTGTTTTCAGTCTTAAATAATTTATTCCTATGTTCAAGAAACCTCAATAATTATGCCCTTTTAATATTATTATATTCAATATAAAACATAAATAATTTAATAAGCAGTAATATCATATCAATTAAGCTATAAACAAGCTATAAAAAGTTTGTATAAAAAACACAGTTAAGCTTTACGAAGGTGCGTTCAGTTAATTAACAAATAATAGCAAAAACGAATACTGATTAGATTTATATCCCAGTGCATTTTAATGAATTAATATTACTTGTTTTTTTTTAATGCAGACCAAATACGCAGTACGAATTTAGTGTGAAGGTGACTAAAGGCTCCAGGGAAAGCACGTGGAGTATGAGTGTCATTAACAGCACACAGGAAGCTGCGCCATCCTCCCCACCTCGTGATCTGACAGTCATACCTTCTGAAGATGATGCCACATCTATTGCTTTGACTTGGCAACCTCCAAAACAACCTAATGGACAAATATCAGGTGAGAGTTTAACTAAATATATATATATATCTTTTTTTAGTCCGAAGGGGCTTTGTCCCTGAAGGACTATTGTTTTCGTTTTGCGATTTTGCGTTGAATCACTATAAATGTCCGTTTCACTTTTCAAACTGTTGCCACCAAATGATAAGAGTCCTGCATTATATTTGAAGAAATTAAATAACGAAAAATTTGCATAAATGTATGTATATTTCTCACATTGTAATAAAACAACAGTACATAGAGCCCTCGAATTTTGAATGACATAATCCTACTGAGAGTATGGGCATGTGTAAGTCGAAATTTGGAATTTGTTTTATGATCGATTTCATATTTTGTAAAACTTTAACGAATTTTTGAGTAACAAACTCAACGATTTGAAAGCGAGCAATGGCAACAATCTGGGGGGGGGGACCTTTTTATCTCCAGTGCACGGAACTGTGTATTGGAAGTTCTAAAGATAGGCTCATCTTAAAATAACTTTGCGACATTGCTATTGAGCTGAAATTTATGGTTTAAGTGCGAAGATCATGATATTTAATAAATAAAAGTAACACACAAAACATTAAAAAAACGCCCCTTTGGACGTAATTTAAAATATATAACCTCTCAGAATTTTTTTTATGATTATTTATTTATTTATTTATTTGCTACTCATAATAGGTTTCTTATCAAAAAGCTAAGGTCTTGTTTGTTAACTAAAATATCTGTTTTCAATATGAATGGAGCACCTTGATGACCAATCATCTCTCTCTCCAAGAAGCAGATCCAAATCTCGGCACCCAAACGCTGAAGTTCCTGCATTGTGAAGCTTGTAGTTGCTAACTTCCAAGTTGCTTTGCGATACGGATTTTTATGCCGCAGACCTCAATTAAATTTCACAGGTCACTTAACATTTTCAAGCAGACTGAGGCATTACTTAACTACAATAATAATAGGTTATAACTCTATTTAAAAGAGGCTGCAACAAAGAGAGCGAAGGGCAGGTCTGCCACGAGAAAAAAACCGAGTTTCTATTTATTGTGTTCAAATTTTCATTTAGAGTGTGTTGACTTCGCAATAAATTATGCGTATGATACTTGAGATCTAAGTCGTTGTGTGAATGCAGCCGTAGTTGTGAAACTGTTGTTTTATTTATATTAGCGGAGTATTTATATTATTATGCTATCATAAATTTGGTATTTACAAGGCTCTTTTGAGTACTTTTTGATACGATCTTGAATTTATTGCATACAACTATTAGTAACGTGTTTGTATTTTCAGGTTACGTAATTTTCTACACTACCGATAACACTCAAAGGGATAGGGACTGGGTGCAGGAAGGAGTCATCGGTGATAAACTCTCCACGGTCTTAAGAAATCTTCTGCCTGACACCACATATTACTTCAAAATCCAAGCAAGAAACGCTAAAGGTTATGGACCCTTTTCTTCAGAAGTTGTTTATAAGACGCCACCAGGTAAAAACAGAGGATACTTCAAAGATTCTTTTATGATCTGTGTGCAAGAAATGAATGACATATTATGCCTTTTAATGTTTTTATTTAAATTATGTAGCGAATGATAATAACCAGTTTGTTCAATTAACATAGGCTTATACTGAATTTAGATAGTAATAGTCTGCATTCAGTCATACAGAAAGGTTAATGGTAGAACAGTTATTGATGAAAAACTGTTCAGAATCCTGATAAACTATCACGTTTTCATCTTGTAATGCTGAGGTCACCAAATATTTTCCCTTCTATTTACAATAGACTGCATTCCGAGTCTTTCCTCTCTATTAATTTTAAAGTTTCTCAGTTTTTATCTGGTCGCAGTAAATTTGCAAGTTACCTGTTTCGTACCAATCTAAGGTCAAACAGTATTTGAATTTTTTTATGCCCTATCTTTGATGCCCATAGATTATACTTGCAGAGCGAACTGAAAATGTTCGGCGTGACTTGGTCAGATAACTTATCTGTCCAGACTGTTGTTCTCTGCTTTTGTTCGTTTTTTGTGCACGCAAGATTTAATGTTTTAATTAACTTACTTCTGTAAGCCCCGTGTTGTACATATGTGGTCGACGAGGAGATTGTACGTGTTAAAAAAATTAGTACTCTTAATGACTTGGTATCAACTAGAGTAAATATCGATTTGTAGCCTTTTTATTTGTTTATATTATGTTCTGCACAAAATTTTTATTACTTTTACAGTTTTCCAATTTTAAAATTCTCTGGACTTAAATTCGAATGCGACTATCCCTCCCCCCCCCAGTTTTCCAATTTGATAATCCTACTGCTGCTTAAACTCGAAATAATGTGGTACCTTCCGAAGAAAAATCAAACGAGATTGAGAAAATTCTAAAAATGCTACACAAAATAAAAACTGGTATATTATAAAATAATAATTATGATAATTATAGAAGTAATTGTGATAACAACTTTTCCTATGTATGTTATGCATATATGAAGAAATAAAAAAGAAATATATTGATAAATAGATGATTATTTTAAATCCAGATTAATGATTTCGAATATAATTCTCTCTCTCTCTTTTTTAGGTCTAGCGAACAATTTTTTATATATTATCATCGCCGCTGTCTCTGGTGGTATCGTTGTTATCATCCTCATCATAATAGTTTCTGTAGTATGCAGACGTCGACATAATGCTTACTTGGCTCCTGTTCAGAAAAATAGGTAAGCAGCTTCTGATCCTTCTAATATTTTGGATTTGCGCGCAAGATTTCATTGTCATTAGAAAACTTAAATAGTTAATAGGAAGTTTCGAAAATTTATCCAAATTTGTATAAAAGCTTTCTTGGATCTGAAATAAATTATTTAAAAAACGTGAAATTTCGATAATTTTCAAAACGCTTTGTGAAAGTAAAATTAACAACAAAAAAAAAAAAAAAAAAAAAAAAAATGAAGCAAACTTGATTTGGCATATTTTGAACAAAACTGCAAAGATTTTTAAGGCGATAAGGCTATAGGTTGGCAATAGCAGTAGTTGGCATAGTGTTTTCTAAAGTGTGAGCATAGACCTTAAACTATGGGCTCCTCAGGCCTTTAATCGCTATGTTCTATCTGTGTTTGACATATGCTTAATGGCAAAATAATTTGGAAATCAGAAATAAAAGAATTTTCACTGTCAAACTAACGACATAAAAGTGACTATGAGCTAGTAATATGACCCCATCTATTGGCCCTGAGAATGACTATCTGAAATTCCTACCATTATATAGAAATATGTATCTAAAATGAGAAAAGCAGATTCAATTACTAACAGATTACTTACTCAATTACTTACTGAGGAGGTCTTGTTGTTCAAGTATTTCTTCAACAAGCTGGCTTATTTTTCCATCTGTTAAGAAGGAAGGAATTTCATCTTTATCGGATGGAGAATCCATGGATTCTTCCTGAGATTGAATAGTTGAATTTTAAATTTCTTCGCTCTGGGAACTGTGTGTTTCAATATCCGCAATGTAAACATTGTGGAATGAAACCATTGTTGTTATGGCTTGTTCCTTCGGATGATGCTTACAATGAGAATAGTTGGTTGGGTGATCATAAGACGAAACAGACTTTTAAAAATTTTTTCTCCAGTTCACACATGTAAATGAGAGGTCCTCGAGCACATATCAAACACCTTGAGATAATAGAGCAATCTTGTTGACCGTGCCTAAAGCACTGAATCTGTTTTTTCCCAGGTTTAAAAGCAGTGATCTTGATATTCAGGTGTAGTAGAGTTTCGACGGAGTAAATCCGTCTACCCTTCGTCCAATATGGTAACTTCACACCAGTATCTGGCATCAGACTTCTGATGACGACTTCCATTGGCTAATTTCATTCCTTTCTGCTGATGAAATGTTGTACGGCATTATTTTTGAAGACAAATTATTGCATGAAGTTGTGCCATTTCTGATTGAAAGTTCCAATTTGATGGTGTCCTTTCCACAGTGTACGTACGAATTCATAAATGTTACATTCTGAGAAGAATCCTTATTTCGTTCCAACTCAAATACGGACTGAGCAGAATATGAATAGAAAGTACCTTCTTTTTGCTGAGGTAGCTTCGAAGAGAACTCGTTTGAAACGTAAATTTTGTGAACTTAAAAGGCTTCAAGAAAATCCATATCATCAATAAAGAAGCTTTGAGGATAATTTTCTCGGAATCAAATCAAAATTGTGACTAAGTGACCGCTTATGATTGGCTATGGACAGTTTTTTTATTTCTCCTTTTCGAATGCAGGATTCGTATTCTTTGATGTGAATTTTAAATGCTTTCCTATTTCACGTTAGACCTGCGGCGTTTTCCTATACTGTATATTTCAAATTACAAGATACAGTGTAAATTCTCCAAGAATTAATATAGATGGGATACTTACGAATTGAACAACGAACTTTCATGAACTGGAGTTTTGAAAATTTGTTTTTACTTCATTCTTCTTTGCATAAGGTACCTATATTCTGGAGTGACAGCGAAAATGAACTGAAGCGCCGGGATGCGATGCGAACCAACTTATATATAAAATATGTGGATAAAATTAAACTGGGTCCCTCTTAAGATATTTTTACGTTATATCGCTTAGTTAAAAACCTTATTTTGACCGAATTTTCGTAGAACATCGTTAAAATAAGTTATAAACGTGAATCCTGGTAAGTAATCGAAATGCATAATTTTAATACTGTTTCCGGAGGTTTAGTGGGGAAATGGATGGAGAATTAGATAATAAATACTAAATATATTAGGGTATTATTTTATTTATTTATTTATTTATTTATTATATCACAATTTACTTCATCCATATTTATATAGTGTAACATACAATGCTTTTTTTTCATTTCCTGTTAAAATCAGGATTTTGATCACTAGGTATGGTGGCGCTAAAGCTACTGGAAGAGAACTCAAGCCTCCTGATTTGTGGATCCACCATGACCAGATGGAACTGAAGGAAAAAGTGAGGCAAGGCGAACATCCAGGATTATCCCGGAATCCCCATGAAGCCGATGTCATGATCGACGTAATGGAAAAGAAAAAAGGATCTTATATTGGTACAGAAAAAAAAAAAATAAATAAAAGAAGTTTCATACATTTATTTCTAAGACAAAAAGTAAATCTTTGCCCAAAGAAATGATACTTCGGGGAGTTTCGATAATATCTTTGACTTTACTTAGGTGGCGAATACTAAGAGTATATTTGTATCTACAGTTTAGATAATAAATTACTTATAGATAGATAATAAATTACTTATTTTACTCAGGCAGATTAGGCGTGTTAAATAATGGTAATGGGTTTTTAAAATTTGATAAAATCCAACCTTTTATTATCATAAAGTCCTATGCATTGAGTATTCTAAAGTTCCTATGCATTTTGTGAGAAACTCATTTAGGTACATATTCCTCAACTAATGAAAGTGGTGTATGTCATTTTGCAGAAAATACATAAATAAATGGGAAGTGACAGGTGTAACATCATGTACCCAATAAAATAGAAAGGAAAGGAATAATAAGTAATGTGATAAATGCGTCAAGCAGAAAAGGAGAGAATGACTTGATATTAAAAATCGTTAGCTAAAGATGTAATGTTAAAAGCTTCAAAAACGCCCAATTTACTAACTGAAGTAGTTTTTTTTTAACTCAGTTTGGTTTAACAAGTTTAAAAACTGCTTAAGTGATAGCAATACTTAGTGATTCAATATGTATTAATCTCCCTTCTTTTACTTTTTTTTATTACTTAATTCTGCTCTCATCAGTACTAATCATTTATTATCAATAGTAATTTACCTTTCGTGAGAGATTTGCGCTGTGTTAATTCTTTTTATGATATTAATTGAAAAGAAAGTTTATCTTTTCCTTATTTATTTATTTATTTGTATATGTTACGGTGAAACACCGAAATCTGGAGAATGTCGACTTTCACCGGTGAATGTCAACATTCACATAGTCGCTTGGTGTATGTCCTAAATATTTTCCAAATACTCTTATTTCTGACTTACAGCGGTAAATGTTGACATTCACCATGTACTAATGGTGAATGTTGAACACATAAGAATATTACATTTTCTTCTCCGTAATTCGGTCGCGAAAAAACGCACTTGAGACTTAAAATAAGAACTTAAGAACATAAGAACTTAAAACACACTGTACATTCAAAATGAGAAAGGAAAATAATAGAAGTTAAAAACTTACTAAATTACGTGATTCAAATCTTATTTATTGCAACAACTTAAACTATTATGACACTTTGAATTTCACAAGAGGCCCTTGCTTTTACAACTGCATTTATTTGTGGAACACTTCCATTTGCAATGACAGCGCGTACATATATTCATCTCTTTTCAACCTACACCAGAGCATACACCGGTGAGGGTCCGAATGTAATGCAATATTCGATCTTTCACCGACGTATTTGGTGAATGTTGACATTCTCCGGTGAAAGTCGACATTCTCCAATTTCGGTCTTTCAAGGTAACATATATATGGCTCACAAAACAAACGCATAACTTCCATCAATTATTCATGATTATCACTTGGAAGCTTATTTTGCATAAGAATTAAGCGAATATTCAGATGACAAGTATAGTGTTTTTTCTTGGAAATTTCATAATTATTCGCTCTTTCAATCTCCATTAGACGGTGCCACACGCACACCAGTCTATCAAAGAACCTTAAAAGTCCTGTGGTTGGCATCAGACAATTGTAGAAATACACGTTTCTAATTTTATGTACACTAGTTAGCAAAATTAAGAGATTTGCGAATTATGTCCAATTTCTGAAAAAGTAATGGACTGATTTCAATGAAATTTGATCTGAATATACATTTGTAACAAAGAAAGAGATATACCATACAAAATCATTTTATGTACGCATGGTTACCAGTAAAGCTCATAATGCAAGGGATGTCCGAAATACACGTTGTGATATCCATCTGAAAATGAGTCTAATGTCTCACAGCTAGACAGGTCACGGGGCATGACGGTATAATGGACAAGAAGCAGTCGAGGAGTTCCTGTGGCAATCGATCCCACTCATGCAGCAAGGCAGCTTTCAACTCTTGGTTCTCGAAAGGGAATGTCGAGATGAAATTGACTTGCCAAGAGCCTCTCAGACAGGCCCTCTAAAATTAAAGTCAGGATATCTGGCTGGCTAATCCATGTGGCGAATATCATCACTTTCCAGGTAATCATCGACCAACTGAGTCCTATGTGGACAAGCGTTGTCATCCTGTGTCGTCGTACACTACGAACTATCTGTTCCCGTGAATAGTCGAAGATAGGGATCTAAGATCTGCTGTCTGTCCATCATAGCAGTCAAACGTCAAACAGCCTTTATCAAACACATGTTGGGATATGCGGCCGTCCAACGTAATGCCTGCTCAAACAGTTACACCTCCACCACCGTAATGATCCTTTTCCCTGAAGGAGAGTATCGTGTTCGAGGCTTTCTCCAGATACAAGCACCCCGAGAATCAGTATCCAGGCTGAATCTCGACATGATATGCAAAAGACGCGGTGCTCCTCTGAAGTCTGTTCCAAGGCACACGTTGTTTACACCATGCTTGAGCACTTTTTTATGTACTGCAGTGAGCGGGATGCAAACAACCAGTCTTCTGGCATATAGCCCTATCTCATGAAGCCTTTGGGCAACTGTAGAAGTTGAACCTCGAGTTCCAGTGGCACCATTCAGCTCACGTAAAATCTGTAGAAGTCCTGTGTTGCCGCGCTGAAAGTGGCAAATAATGATCCTCATTCGTTGTTGTGAATCTTAGCCGACCTTGTCTAGATCTTCTGGATATGTATCCAGTGTCCTGAAACTGTTTCCACAAATTCCTGAAGACTTCATAAATACCGAATAGCTTTTGGCGTACACGTGATAAAATTTTGAATGCGTATTTTATTTATGAGCCGGATGTAAGCTTGCACCTTTTAGTTTTAAGCCAGGATATAATGTTATGTTAATCTATCTTTAAACAGTGGAGTTTTTTTAAAGCAATAATTTAAACGTCGCTAAGAATCATTCTACATTGATGTTTTACTGAGATGTGAGAAGCTGAAAGTAGCGAGCACGATTAATGCATATGTACAATGTAAACATATTTTAAAGGAAAAAGAACCCCAAAAGGTTAGCCCACATCTAACTAAAAGCGCTGTATCAGAGTAAGAATGAGAAATAAAATTCACTAGAATTACATTATCAGGTAATTATTACCAATTGTAACAGGGTGGCTTATTTTAAGTTAGCATAGCACACTCGAGCTGTCGCATGAAGGAACGGGTGCTTTAGTGTAGGACTTTCTTCGAAAACGCTTATGCAGCCAGCCTGTTCACTGGGATTCGAGTTCACCAGTTGTAATTACGCATGTAAAATAATTTCTTCTTCTTCTCTCTCTCTCCTAATCACTCTCTCTTTTTTTTTTTTTTTTCTGTAAAAAATATATATTTCTCAAAAACAATGCCCGAGGGGAAAATTTGGAGATTTAGTTAAAGAAGTTCGGTATTTGAATGTCTTTTGTAACAAAAGAAAAGTAAATTTTTTACTTGTTGAACTGTAAGCAGATATTTTAAGTTGAATAAAACTTATATACGTCCGTTTCTATCGATCTATGACTTATGTAGAAATATCTTTTCATGTACTGGAAACGATTTTGTACCTTAGACTGGGCAAGCATAATAGAACATTCTGTCAGGCATATTTAAATCACAAAATGAACTAACATTTATTCTTCAGAGATAGCCAGCCTTATCAGTGGCCGAATAGTGAAGAATGGGATCGAATCCTGGTCACTATATGGTTGGTTTTCGTTGTTTCCTCCTGTGTAAGTTGAGTGCAAGCCAGTTTCTCTTAAAGGGGCCACCATGAACAAAGCTAACGACTTTTCACTCCCACTGACTGCGGTAGTTCTGATGTTTAAGCTATTGTGTGAACACTCCTTGAAATAATTTTACCTGAAATTATGCATGGTATGAGCATGAAGATACCCTTTGTGTCAACAAAATGTGTGTTTCTTGTGGTGAATTGTTTTAGTCTAATAATTTTATATAACAAAGCAAGTGTTTCCCCATTTCCCTCATTATGTGTATATTTATAAAATAATATATATAAATACCCATCCCGTTTCAGTCTGAATTACTTAGTAGACAATCCATGCCATGTACTTGACATTAAATCGTACTGAATTACATGAAGGAAATTATAACCATCACAATCTTAAAAAATATGTAGAGATTATACAGGGCAGCAAAGTGTCTAGCGCCGTTCCTGAAAGTTACTTCTTCCAACCCCTAGGTCTCGAATTCAGAATAAAAACATCATTATATAGCAAATACCGGTTATAGCGAATACCGAAAGCTGTGCAAATGGACGAAGTTAAATTATATTAAATAGATTTAAATCACAGAGGAAATGGTTTGACTTATTAACTTCTAAATCGAAGGAAGGCCAAGCTTCCTATAAACAATGCAAAGATTAGATTGGTTGGTCGTGTTCTTTTTATTAAAATTCTTCAGAAGTATGTAAGTCAGGGGTAGTCAGGTGATACAGCTACGGTGTGAGTGTCCTTGTAAATAATTATGTTGAATAAGAGAACTCTAAAATTTGCAATGGAAACTCCAAAATTCTGGAGGAAGAATACTTGAATTAATGGCAAACAACAGCCTCCGTCTTTCCGTATCGCAGTCAGTGTATGTCAGGGCTGGTATCCGACGTGGTATCTTGCGCGACTGCAACAATTGGCTACATTTTGGAAGCACTAAACGGAAGATTTAAGAAGTTGCAGAGTTTGCAACCTGGTAGCAAAAACTTACTTCTAGTCCTGCTCTGTTTTATGTGACAACCGGTTTTATGGTTATTCTTAATCAAAGATCCCGGTGTTAAGAGAAGAAAAGGCGATTGTTGAAACCTGCAACCATTCTCAGCAAAAAAAATTCTTTTCGACGTTTACCATAATATCACGCTTACTAAAAATCCACTGATGATTGAATATTTTCTGAACAAATTATTAGAGTGGTGTTTATTTCTTTGAATATGAACGGAAAATCCACTGATGATTACTAAAAATCCACTGATGATTGAATAGTTTCTGAACAAATTATTAGAGTGGTGTTTATTTCTTTGAATATACGAACGGAAAATCAATTGGCTGTATGATAAAGCTCTTTTTAAGTATACATTTAAACTAGAGCTTAATTTTTAAAATTAGAAGTGCCAAAGTCCTATGGAAGGCCTTCAGGGAAGAGAGGGGAATTAATAATTTAAAGTAATAAAATAATTAAATTAAAATTTAATAAAATTTAAAGAGATAAACAAAAATTTAATAAATTATTAAATTAATCGTAAACACTTAAATAATAAAACAGAACACCTTACGCCTTTTATGGGGCTCCAGGTAGAATTACAGTTTTGCTCAAAAACTAAGAGTAGCTCAGCCGAGCTGTAGCTAAATTCAAGCCCTGAAAATACAGTTTGATGTTTTATTTCAAGGGATGTCAAAAAAGAAGAGCTTTCTTATTCTAGCACATCAGTGAAAGAAGGTGAAACGGTGAAAATCACTGGTGAAAATAAAGAGAACGCTAAAAATGTGAATATGGAAGGAAATTTTAACGAAGATGTGTGGATATGAAAACAGAAAAGAATCCAACACTTTCTGTTCACGATCTCCTGCCGATATAATTCTAGCTTTCAAGCAGAAGGAAAACATTCTTCTGAATCTGAGGGCATACCTGCAAAATAAGAACAAACGTAACGTTCTGTATAAGTGATAATTTTCGTCTCACTTATTTTTGGTTTTATCATTCCAGAACGTCTGCAGATGATCTTTTTCAAGGGAAGTCACTGGCACTGTAGCACTGGATTTTCACGACCAGGGTGATTACTACTAGAGAAAAATTTACTCGCTATTATAAATTCATCACACTTCTTGAAAGAGTAAGGCTTTGACATGTGGGTGGGGCTTTACTTTCCTTAAAAGTGTCAACCTCCATTAAAAGGTTTATTTCCCATGTTAAAACAGGAATGTATTCAAAAGTTTGAATCGATTTTTAAGCCTTGCTCATTAAGAAGTGCGGGAGCTGGGGTTGAACAATTTAAGTTCTGATTTAAATGCTAAATCGGCCTAGGCTTAGATGGATAGAACACCAGAAATTTTTCATTTGCGATACAGGTATCTCCTATCTCATTACTGTGCTATGTAAAGATATAGTAATGATAAAATGGACACAAGTTTGTAGGAGACTTGAGCTTTACTATTAGTGATCAAAATCGTGTCCAACTACACTGCTGGCATTCCCATGGAAACTTTAATGAATGTACCTGAAATCAGAAAAATGTGAGGCAGCAAATAAAGAACGACTAAGCGTGGATTTCTGGGATCACGCAAGTCACAAACGCAAGGAGTCCTGTATTCTAAGAAGATTGTATGTTTAGTCTATTTATTAAAAAATAATAGTAAACAAATCCTGCGTGTTGTAATGAGATTCTCCCCGCCACTCACTTCATAAATTCGCTCTGTGACGATAATAGTGAACTAACCAGTACAACTCTGAATCAAATGAATGATAATGTAAGGTACCTTACTCTAACTGGTGAAGTGTATGGTTGTAGAAGATGTCACCAAACAGGCTAACAGATTACATCACTTTTATTTTCACTATCTCGGAATTTTCTTAATTGGGATTAATTTTTAGTGGGTTCTAAGAGGAAAAGTTTAAGAAAGAACCATCATAAATTGAAAATTGTAAAAATTATGATTAAAACTTGATTTTTAAATTACTGTAGCAGATGTTTTTAATTTTTACTAATAATCTGCTTAGTCACACGATTATTTTCATATATCTTCCTTATTTATTTTGATTCCTTTAGAATGAGCATGTGTTTTTGCATTTAGATTTTTAATTTTATTGCACGGATTTTACTTTAAATTTTTTTAAAAAAGTATTCCTAAACAAATTTTTAATAGGTTTTTAAGTTTTTTTCCAGCACATTTTGTTTTGATTTATTTTTCTCCCTTGCAAGTGTTTGTTTTGATTTTTCCCATGCGCAGATCTTGTGGCTGCCTTAGATGATGCATCTGATACTGGTCAGTCCCGAGTTAAATCTTTCTTACTACCTCCAGAAAACTTCACCCTTCCTCCACCTATGCCTAGTAAGTAGATCCTGCTTACCAAAGTGAATTTTTTAGTATACTTTGTAATGAATGACTGTCAGTAAATGCAGAAAGCATGTGTACAAATGCCGTAATTATGTGATGTCTTAAAATGTTTCAAAATGACAGTTGTCCAACACGAGAAATATTGACCATAGTTTAGAAGTCCTCTGCTTTCTTACCTAACTTTATATGAACGAAAATTCAACAGGAACCAGTTTATCAACACTTCATGAAGAAATAAGAAAAACATCATTCAAAAGAATACAGCAATTGCCAGAGAAGTAATAATCCTTTCTTCTCTATCCTGAAAGCAACCGCTGATGTCTGTTATATTTCGTTATTGCCTGCATACGCTGCTTGAAAAGTTTTAAGATTGGTTGTTTCATTAAGAATTATTATTATTTTCAAAGTAGAATCTTTTGTGCTGAATTTCGCTGTTTACAGTGTTCTATGAACAATTCAAAAATATAAAACTGAAAATATTTTTTTCCTTACGGCTAACGTAATTGTAACCATTCACTATCTGTCCATAGGTTGGCAATGCTACCATCTATAACCACAGCAGATGGATGGCCTACCTAAACATGTCTTTCCTTTCACTTGCCTTTAAAGTGCCTCCGCAAATGAAAGGCAGAGCTAGGTATTTCATCACTATATCATGCCGTAACTTTTCGAATGTCTCATGACCATTCTCACACATCTGCCTTATTTTCATACTGATGTCTCCTTCGTCTTTCCCCCACGGCAAAATATAGTAGATCATTCCAGTTATTGTGACCAAATACTGTAGGATACAGCTGTTCAGCTGCAAATGTACTGGATGTACTACCTTCACCCACTAGGCTTTTCACCACCCGGTACAAAGATACTTCTAAATTATCGCCTGATTTCTTTCTAAGAGTTTTGCTGCCCCCTGAGAAAGCACCGATTTTGATGCTGGCTTGTGCCTTCTCCAATGCAGTTTCCCACCTCTGGTATCAGAAAACAGAAATAAAATGAACCTTACAATTTTTCAATCAGCTGTTGTATATATAAGCATTGCGATAAATTTCTAGAAAGTTTTTTATATATTTTACTATTTTACAGAGAATCGTGCATCTGTATTGATCATGATAGAAATTCATCTCTCAAATGAAAAGAGCAGTGCTTGAAATTTCCTACGATGTTCATAAATTAACAATTCTCTTGTCATTATTTTCGCATTTTTGTATGATATATAATTTTATTATTTTTTCTATAAAGTGTTTTTTTTTTTTTTTTTTTTTTTTTTTTTTTTTTTTTTTTTTTTTACAAAAGCTGTATACGGTCAATTTTAATTGAGATAATTTTGCAGATGCTATCTTTGGGTAAATTTTGGCTAATATACTCCCAAAAATGGTCCAGGTAATGCTTTTGTGTAGTAATGAGCTGTACAAATGTCCTGGAGAAAAGTAATCGTCAGTGTTTTTCATTCATGCATAATAATTTCATGCATGTTATAACATCAGCCAGCGTTTTTAGTTTGTTCATGTAAATCTTCGCAGAGAAGCATAGATGTCTGCTACCTTAGCAAAGATGGATACCCTCATTAGTTTGTAAAATATGCTGAAAAGAAGCTTAATGAGTTTTGCTTCTATTTCACTGCAGTAAAATATGTTATAGATTGCAGAGTTTGATTATTAAGGACTTATTAAATGTTTCACAAAACTCTAGTGTTACATTCATTCAGTGTTCAAATTCATTTAGTGTTTAAAAATAGCGCAATGACTGTATTTATTTATTCTGAGGTATTTGGGAGAAGTGAATCAGAAAATATACTTCTGTCTGAGCATAGGGAACTACAACTAGCTAATCTGTTGTAATAAGAACTTTGTCCACCAGGTTTTATGTCTACTCTTCCCAAACTAGTTGATTCTGGTGGCATAATCCTCGAAAATTTGCTTTTAAAATATCTTTATGAATCACTAGTCTTTAATCGAGGAATTATTGTTTTCATGTCTATGTTGTATTCTGAATAAATATAATACTGAATCTCTTTTGTTTCTGTAGCTTTGTCAGCTACTACGCCAGTCCCAAATGGAGGTCTGGAATCTCCATATGAGATGGGTTCAAGTGGTTTGGCAAGGCCAGTATATCCACGGACGCAGTATAACATTCCTCATGCTCATGTCACTATAGATGCTGCTCATCCTGGTAAGTGTTTGTTGTTCCTGTCAATCTAAGTTAGATTAGCTGCTTACCAGAGTGATATTCATGGAAGATTCTAAATTTCAGATTTTTAATTAATTGATTAATTATAGTAAAACTCTGGAAAGTAGTCTGCTTAAGCTAGTAATTCAAAAGCTTTTTTATGTTCCACGCACCTAGGAAATGTTTAATACTCGTCAATCAGGGACCGGACTCTTGCGGGGAAATAAGCACATAAGATGACCATGCTTCAAAAGTGATCTTATTAGAATGTTCAGGTTGTGACAGCATATTGAAATAATGACAGAGAGACAACTGTTCGCGCCTGAACTAGCGTGATGATTCAAAACTGTTCACTTACAGACTTTCAATAGAGAAGTTGTAAATGCTTCAGAACATGTCTGCAAAGCCTAGTGATGCTAGTTTTAATAAACAGAAAATCGTACTGAAACCGTAAACCATAGTTCATTTGCGTCATAGTCTAGTTTAGAATGGACTTCCTTATACACACAGCATAGCATAACGATCTGCACCTCAGGAGGTATTCGCGAAGACTTTAAGAAGATTTAATGTTTTAAAGCAGTTCATCCTCAAGCATAGTATAATGTGGGAGGAAGATCAGTTTCTGATCGAATATTACTTCTAGGAATTCCACTTCAGAATCGACAGGAATGAATGATCCATGAATATGCGGCTGAAGCTCAGGATGGAGATCTCGCTGTCCGCAAAAATATATGAAAACGATCTTCAGACTTAAAAACCCATGCTTATCCTGTTAAATGCGATCTGCAATAATCCCTCTACGTACCTCATGTCCACATCATGGCAAGTTATTAGCAGGTCATCAGCACACAGTGTACCTGAAACAGAAGGAGGAAGTCCTTTCAAAACAGAGTTTATTTTTAGGGTGATAACATAACACTTAGGACACTTCTCTGAGGTACACCCTTCTCTTAATACGAGGAATTAGACATCACAGAACCAATCCTCACTTGGGCAGTACAAGCCTTAAAAAATTCTGGATAAAAACTGCCATGGTATCATGCAAGACATAATCATAGAAAACGCGCTTAGAATGTCGTATCCCCAAGCTCTGTCATAAGATTTCTTTCAGCATATCGAAAAATATTGAAACCAAGTGTTTCTTTTTCTGAAGGCTTGACGGATAGATGTTTCTAAATAAAGCTTTTTGTCTATGGTTGACTAACCCTTACATAAACCACTCTGATAGGCGGAGATTATACTATTTTTTCAGATAGTGGACAAGTAGGCAATGGAATATTTTTCAAACAATTTGCATATGTAACTCGTAAATTCGATTGGCCAGTAGTTTGAGGGTTTTGTTGAGTCCTTACATGGACTGCAACTAGGATAATAATAGTTTTTTTTTTTTTTTTTTTTTTTTTTTTTCCCATGCACTAGGAAAAAGGTTCTGTTTCCACACTCTATTGGATAAAGTTATACAGACATTGTGTGACTTAAGGAAAGATGCTTTATCTAATTGGCGTCGGGGCTAGACTAGATCTGTGTATCTTGAATAGAGCTATTTTTAGCTCATGCATGGTCAAGTCAACGTTATAAAACTGAGTTGGGAAAGCTAAATACGATAGGAAGTTTATCAGACCGTAGCTTGATAGAAAGAAATCCGTATGGGTATTGCTGCCACCGCATACGGCAGCTCACCTCTTGCATTCGCAATTTCTTCTGTGTTGGTTATCACTTTAGTATCTTTTTTCAAAATGTAAAGTGGGGTACTGATGAAACTTCTCCAAGGATTTCCTTTGCAGTTTTTGAGTCGCTTGGCACTGTCGGTTGTTAGGGTATTTCTGTAATTTTATTGATGAAGCAGTGATAGAGAAGTTAGCTGCCTGAGTAATAACCGCTGCATTATTTATAGGCGCAGTTTTCACCATTTCTTCAGTGAGCTGAGCATAAAAGGAGAAAAAAGCGAATCTGCTTTTTCCAGTATGAAACGTGCGTATCTTCAAATGGGCTTGTCTCTTTTTCTGCAAAAGTAATAATAAAAAACAGATGATCGCTGGCTTGCAGATCATTTCCAATATTAAAATTGCAATATAGTGAATAAGTTTGCTCTCCATTATTAAGGAGGCAAAGAGAATGGTCATTGATCATTTGCTCAATTTGCCTGCCACGTTAGTTTTTTATTTTTACTTCCCCAAAGAGGATTATGGCCGTCGAAATCACCTGTAAGTGAGAATGGAATAAGCAGCTCCACAATTAAATTATCCAATTTTTCTGCTCAGTGTGTTCATTAGGAGGCGATAGATTGAATAGATTGAAATCAGTGTTCGCATATTAACTTGTACAGCGATAGTTTAGAGACAAGTTGGGAAAGGGAGAATGCTTGAAGTATGAGGTAAGGATATAAGGCATTTCTCCCACCTTCTTGGCGTGCCTTCGTGGTGCGGTGGTCTGCACGCTGGGCGCGTGTTCCAGAGGGCCGTAGTTCGATTCCCGGCGAAGGCGTTGCATATTTTTCATCTTGCCTACTTCCAAAAAATCCTAATGCCTCTACATGGAGACCTACACCACTGACACGTTCATTAAAAAGCTTACCTTTTCTCACAAGAAAATGCTTTCGAAGCTTCAGCTGCTGCTCAGGTTTCAATAGGGTTTCTTGAGCTGCAAAGCAGACAGAATAATGTGCGCTAATTAAGTGTTTTATATGAGCAAGAATTTTGTTGAAACCATCATGATAGTTCCAAAAGCTTTAATGGCAGATTGAGTAGACTGAAATCTGAAATCAACCTATTCCATCTACCATTATCTATTACTGATTATTTCATATGTGCTACTTTTTCATCAAACGTTGAAGGACGATATCTCGGGACTTCCAGTCCGTCCTCTACAGTCATTTCAGAAACTGTATGTGAATTTTTAGGGCTCATATTTTTAGCAGAACTGATACTCTGGATTGTCGGTATTTTTAATTTTTGTTGCCGGCGGTATTTTTTGTATCTTTTGTCTTTTTTGATAATGATAAAGATTTTTGGTGTGTCGACTGGAACTTTCTTCTGCATACTAATGTCTGTTTGTGTAACTGTTAATTTAGTATTTTTAACAGCTTTGGCATATCGTACATTTCGTTACGGCTGAATGAGCGTTTTATACTATTCGTCTAGCTGTATGAGAATTTTTTGGATTGATGATTTAACTTGCTTGCCAGATTTCCACTTGGAAAAGGACCTAGGAAAATACCGTGCGGTTACCATTGCAACTAGCGCACAGTGAATTAGCAGTAGTTTTCACTGCCATAGCCTACTACAGAACATCAAGCACATGTAGGATTATGACAAGATATCTTCGAAAGGCCAAAACGTTTACATTGGTAACGTTGGATTGGATTTGAAATATAAGGTCTTACAGGACGCCATAAATACTCGGTCTTTGTATTTTTTGGTGAATCAGGCGTACTGAATCAGAATGACATGCTTTATATCAATCAGTTGATCTCCACGCATCTTGATTCACTTGGAATTTTGATGTTAGAGCTGAGACATAACTTCCTCTTCAAAAATGGAAAGAAAATCGATCTCTGAAATAACTCCTTGGCAGCAGTTCGGTGTCTTATGCGCTGACACAGAAACTTCCACATTTCCAAGTTTGATGAAACCAAGAAGTATAACAGATTGGGTAGAAGAAATAGTTTCAATTAAAAGGTAACCAGCACGCAGCCGTTTTTATGTTTTTTGGTTCTCCTACATGTGATTGAATAAATTTTTGAATCTAAAATGGAGATATTTTTTGAAGCTTCCCTATTGCTGACAACGGCAAAACATGGTGGCCTTTAAGATGGACAGACACTGGCATTGCACTTTTGATTTCTCTAAAAGTTTCTGAAGAGGAACTCAAACAGTTCCTCTTCAGAAACTATTTGAGAAATTGAAAAGGCAACATTTGAGAGAAATAAAGATTCAGACCCGGCGGCCTCAACCACCACAGAGTTAAAAAGGGAACGCAGTACCTCCCCCAGGAATAACAGGTTTTCTATACACAATCTGAAACACCGCAGACAGCTTTCTTGAAAGCAGGAGCTCCCGAAAATTTATCCCCAAGGCAGTGCACGAAGGATTAGTGACCAGGCAATTGAAGATAGGGAGAAAAACTAAGTGCCTCCCATTTGGAGTGAAGCAGAGGCTGAAAGAGTATTTTGGGGATAGTACTCCCCTCAACGACCAGGATCCTCCTTTTCAGTCTTATGAGTCTCCACGCACTGCAAACACGTAGGCAGTTTACTCATCATAGTAAGTCAGAAATGAAAGATTTTTGATAGATAATAGATTTTGAAAGAATGAAAGATTTTTGATAGTAAGCCCCATCTTCTGAAAAGAAAAAGGAGCAAAGTTAAAGCCAAGTGGAGGGGAGAAGGAAATAAAGACAGATCACTGAGGCTTCAGGATCATGAAACCCGTTACACCAAGATGATGATCCTCTTGAAAAACTAGGGTACCTCGAGATTGCTACATTTATAAAGCTATATATATATAATTTATATTTACACAAAATAAGACTCCGAGACTATCAAAACGAGAGGCACAGTAATGTAAAATTATGGTCAGCTTTCCCGAAAGCTGATCTCCAAGCCATGGACTTAAAAGCCAAAGTTAACCAACAGACTGATACTAGCGAGGACATCTAAGTGTTCCTGAATCAGAGGTCAAAACAGTTTGTTTGGAACAGTACCTCACCTCTACTACCAGGATCCTTCTTTCCAGCCATATAGATCTTCACGCACGGCAAACGCGTAGCCCGTTTTCTTGCCATGGTAAGCCAGAAACAAAAGATTTGTAATAGCATCTCATAGTGAGCCCCGTCCTCCAAAGAGAAAACGACAAAGGAGAAAAAATTTAAGGAAAAGAGGATAGATCACTTGGCTCCATGATCGTGACATCCGTCTGACCCAGATAATGACACCCTGAAGGGCTAGAGTGCCTCGAGATTGTCATCCCCATGCTCGCAGAGTGGAGTGAGTCCCTGAGGGCATTAATTATATACGAGTATATACGGCATGTACGTATATATATAAGTGTTACCTCTGTGGATTTAAGCATCCTTAGTGCATATTAATCCTTGTAGCATATTCTATCTTGTAGCATATTCCACTGCATCGTAGATTAAAGATGACTCCAGCTGTCAGGCTTATGAAGTATTTCCTCTCTGTATTCTAAAAGTAGTAATAATGTTTCTAGAATGGCGCATTCTAGATTAATCTATGTAACATTGGCTTGCATAACCCTGATGATGTACCTAATTCGGAACTTAAAATCAAAATTTTGAGAACTGAAAGCTTTCTAACCTAAACCAAAACCTTCTCTTGGTCAGCTTCCATAATGGATTAATTGCGCACTTTTGTTTCTACTTCTGTGCTGCTTGAACAGTATTTCACTCTGCTCTCTTTCTATCGCAACATTACCAAAAATGTAAAAATTCTAGAAATAGGCATGATTAGAGTGCCAAGTGAATTGTAGCTACAAATGTCAATTGAAATAAAAATGAATATTTAATCTTACTCGGTTGCCAAGCTTCTTAGTCATTACAGATTCAACGTTTTAGCATTCTACGTCTCAGTGTTTCTTACTTCAGTAATTCTAAATTTGTTTTTATCACATTTGACTGATCTTCCAGTTCATATCCCAATGAATACCACTAAATAAATTTCAATTGAACATAACTTCTGGAAGGAATCTAAACTGCAGACTATATTTTTAATTCTACCTGCAGCTAAAGCTTATACTGCAAGCACTTATACATGCTGGCGATATAGTTTAGAAGATCACTTGGTAGAAGTACTTTGATTCAGTTTCATAACTAGTGCTTTTTCAGACTAGTTTTATCTACAAGTACTTATTATATATTCTTGCTGCCTGCTAAATGCGAACTAACTAAGAAGACTTAAATAAGAACTAGTTAGAAAAAAATGAAATGAAATTTAATATCCTCTTTGATAGAAGGAGATTAAGAGACATATTGTTCTTTTGAATTTTTAATAATTCCAGTCTAACTTAAGTATAATGAATTATTTATTTTCAGGATCATCATCATCGACCCTTGCCTCTCCATCTGCGCGAAGTCATCATCCTTATGATCAAGTGACCTCACCCACCTTGCACATAACATTAGGTGGTGCCTCTGTGCTGGGCACTGGCCAACATGCAACCTATTCGAGCAACACCAATACAGCTGCTGCTGAATGTACATCTGTTTCTGGCACCCTCAGTAAAAGGCCGCCCAATCACTCATTGAAATCATTCAGTGTTCCGGCGCCCCCTTGCCAGAGTGCACCCACCACACCTCAACCAAGACACATAGGTAAGTTATAAGCCAATAACTAGTGATACATACAATTAAAGTTAATTACTGTTTTAAAAAAATTAAGCTTAGTGAAAAAAATAATCTTCAATGAAATAGCTTTCTTCCCAAAGGACTTTGTATTTGTGGAAGCTTTTAATTTGAAGTATCGTTGAGGATTTCATGTAATTCCAGGAAGTCCAAAATTATGATCGCCTCATGCTAAGGATCATAGGCATAATTATTTTCAGCTATTCTTTCATTTTTTTCCCATATAGCCATTCAAACAAGAGCATACAGTAGTCTCATCCAGGTTTGCTGATTTCAGTTTAACATCTAAAATAATTTTGAGCAATTATGATGAGCTCTATTTAACTAAGAATTGATTCCCCAGAAATTTAAGATACAGAATATAAAATCTTGTATTTAAACAGAATTTTTCACAATGGCAACACCAAATGACAGACAAAAATCTTGATTTGATATTATGTATATCAAATTAACATATGGAAACTTGTACATTTATTTAATAAAGAAGAGACTTAAGACATACTTGTGCATTTATTCTGCTCGATTGCTTGCAGATGAGGCTTGTAACAAATATTTCCCTCATGTAGTATTCTTTTCTATTTTGGCATGCCAGGACATAAAAATCTGCTCATTGGAAAGAATAACTTCAGCTCGGAATCCACAAAAAAGAATATCCCTTAATAAGAAAAACATGGATAACGGTTCACTTGCAAAAGTTTCATTTTTCTGGATCTTGCAATATGAAGAGTTTTAATTTCAAATCACTGTTCTAATCGCAGAATTTTTAAAGGCAGAAATAATAGTATGATATTTTTAAAAAAATAATAATAATAATTTGATACAATATATTTAAAAATTCTTATTCTAAATACCTTGCAATGTATAAATCATACATAGAGCAACTTGGTCTTTTATTAAACCAGCCAGAAAGTGCACCAAAAACAATTCATAATTACCATAAACCAACTATACTGTTATCTTTCAGACAGAAGTATTGATAAAATACTATGAAGAAAGCTAATAAGGACGCACAGAGAAAAAAACTGAGGGCTTTCATTTAAATGATATTTCCCAAATTTAAAACTCTGAAAGGTCCCCCCCCCAAAAAAAAATAATAATTTAAGATATGACAATTTTTTTAAACAAACTTCTTTCATCTTTACCTAATCTATGATTAATTATATAATATGTCTTATTCATTTTTTCGAACTCCATCAATATTGACTGTATTCTGTTGTAGTGAAACCTCAACAAGTGGCCAGTCCTCAGAAGAAACTGCTGGCAAGTGGTGGTCCTTCACCTGCTACTCCTTCTTCACAGCAGTCTACTTTAAAATCTCGGCCATCTACGATGCCCCGACAGCAAGCAGAAGGCAGCAGTGACAGGGAGGACCTGCCTGTAGGTACTTAACTCTCTTGCTTTTCTTCCTCATTCCCTTCCCCTTGTTTTGAGCTAGAAGCACTAATCAAACTGCTTGCACCCCTTCTTTCAACTGAGCTGCTATTACTAATACCACATTAATGGGGTCTAGCAATCCACATGAATGCATGTTGAAGACCATTCTACATTTATAAAATTTAGTTATGCATATTTATGTATTTTTCAATGCTGAGATTCTATGAAATCATACAAATATGAATACAGTTTTCAATTTATCAATAATTCTAAGTGGCTTTCATATTCTGTTGAGATCTTATATGAATTGTCTTAATTTTAATAGGGAGTGTGGCAGTTCTTTTGTAATATTAAAATTAAAATAATCATACATAAGAGAGTTCCTTAATGATGGAAATAATCATAGGTTTTGTAATTTATCCTGCACCAAGACTGTATTCAGGGTTTCTCTCTATCATATAAATGTCACCAATTTACCCACTAAAATTATGAAAATCACCTAAAATCATTAACAAAGTGAGATGCAATTCTCTAATTTGAAAAAAAAAAAAAAAAAAGCAACAAACTTTGTACAAAATAGAACTTTCTAATATAATAATAGCTGTAAATATTTTTCAAATTATGGCATTTTGTTTTGTAGTCAATTCTAATTGTGGCTACTAAATTTTATTGTTTCTTCTATTCATTTCTATTTTTACTTGGTACTTTGGTACCCTTAATTGCAATGTTGGGTAGAACTCTAATTTATCTTGCATTATGATTATTTTTTACAATTTTTTTAACTCACTGTAGTTTTTTTCATCAGTAATTCCAAGTGGCTTTCAAATTCTTCATTTTTTTTACTTACCATATACAGTACAAAGTCCGTAATCCGAACGGAATGATCTATAATCCGGACCTCAAAGCCACAAACTTACGCATGCGCGTTTGATGCGCGCATCCGCTACGCATGCGCGTAAAGCCAGTAAAGCCTTTACCCATGCGCGCTTCCGATAGTAAAGAAAGTAACAGAGAACGTTATTGAAAACGAAAAAATTTCTATTGACAAGTTAGTCGGTATTCTCAACACAACAATTACAGGACCTTGAACAGTGGAACTTTGTAACTGAACGAGAAATTATGTCTGTTTATAGAATTAAAGAGAAAGTATTAGCACAAAAATTGAAGCAACTTAAACAACTTACATTGAAAGAAATGTTTACTAAAGTAAACAAATAAATATTAAGGTTTTTTTTTTTTTTTTTTTTTTTTTTTTTAAATTTTTGATACCCTTTAAATCATAATTGCTCTTTATTTCATAAATTACGGTTTCATATTTTTAATTGTATAATTTCTGCATGCCATCTTACCAGATTTAAATTGATGATCTATAATCTGGAAAAACCCCAAATCCGGGATCGCCGAAGTCCCGACGAGTCCGGATTATGGACTTTGTACTGTATTCTGTTAAGTATTATAATGGCATTTGTGTGGTACCTAAAGAAGTGAAAACATTTCTTGGTGCAGAATATAATTTCTTAATTTATTCTGCGCTGCAATTAATTTCAGTGCTTGTTTAATTTATGAATTATCATTTTGGAGACTGTTCTTAAAGATTTATTTTAACAAGCAAATGCTTTTGCAATATCTGCATATAATAAAAGAAAGCATCTGTTTATGTGTGTGAATTTCGTTCGTGCTGCGCATAAGCTAATAGACCCAGGGCTACGAAATTTGGTACATAGGTGCATCTAGACAAGAGCCAATGCACCTCGAAGTGATGTTTTCAAAATTCGAATCAAATTTTTTTAATTTTATCTTTTTTAATGAAATCGCATCATTTTGAATAGTTTCATTCTTTTAGAAATGTGGTTTTCAGAAAACCGTTTTTCATTCAATGCTTTGTATACTGGACTGCTGAAAATATTGACTGTTGAAAAAATATGAGATAAAATGCTGCTTATTCTGTTTTGATTTTTGGACACGCAACACGCACATAGCAATCATCTTATTCTGACGTGCATGTCAACAGAAAGAATTTCCTTTGTTTTTCCCTCGTCTTTATTAACTAATGGCAAAGAGGTTTGTATATTTTGAATTATGTCATCCACAAAGCACAATTTTGATTGGTTATTGCTTTCTGATGATGTTTTCATTTGTTTAGGATGTGGTTTTGGCAACAGTTTTTCATTCATTATGAGATAAAATGCTGCTTATTCTCTTTTGATTTTTGGACACGCAACACGCATATCGCAATCATCTTATTCTGACATGCATGTCAACAGAAAGAATTTCTTTTTTTTCCCTCGTCTTTATTAACTAATGGCAAAGAAGTTTGTATATTTTGAATTATGTCATCCACAAAGCACAATTTTAATTGGTTATTGCTTTCTGATGATGTTTTCATTTGTTTAGAATGCGGTTTTGGCAACAGTTTTTCATTCATTGCTTTGGATAATGAACTGCTGACTGTTTTCTCTTGAAAATATGATATTTATTGCTAATTTTATTTATAGTATGTTTTAATTATATAAAAAGTTTTGCATGATTTTTAGGAAACTAAGTTCTTAACTTCCTTTATACCATTTGAATTCTTAAGATTTTGTAACAGTGTAAGGATCTTAAGTTTGACTAAGATTTATTTTGTTTTAAAACTTTAATGTCCTCTCTTATTTTCTACTTCCGGCCAGAAAAATGCATTAAATTGTTTATGAATGTTGTACTTGCTAACGCTTAAGTATTTAAGTAGTGGCTTTTTGCCAAGAACAGAGTTAGATGGAGAGAAAGTGAGCCTCCTTGCCACTGTATTTCACGCGCTTTCAATCAGTTGCTGTTCGCCTTTAAGGCCAGAGGTTTAGTCCTCTTGATATCTAAGATGTACATGTATATGTAATAATCTGAAAGGCCAGTCTTAGTGTTAATCATCTGTGTAAAGTATTCAAAGTTTAGCTCTTATTTAAATTTAGTTAGTTAGTAGTTCTTATATTTTTACGTAACCACAAGTGGTTTGTATCCCAAAGTGCGGGAGCACCTGTAATATCATGGACAATAAAGGGTAGTTAAACACTTCTCACCTTAGTCACCTATTCTGCAATTCCACAGAACATAGCTTCCAATAAAAGCTCACTGTCACTGTTTCTCATTCAGGACATTAGATGTTTCCTAAACAGATTCGACGATCACTCAGTCCTGATAACGGGAAGTTAGCTAATTTATTTATTAGAATAATTAATATTTGTATAAAGGAATACTGCTTATTTCATTGTAATTTATATATATATATATATATATATATACATATAATACTTTTTTTGGGGGGTAAAGTAAAAATTCTGTGCAGTTTTTAAATTTAATGTTTGGTGTTCCCTTTAGGTAGTTTCGCAGTATATTTAAAAGCCAGACAAAGACTAGCTGCATAGCAGCTAGTAGAACTATAAAAAAAGATATTTGATATGAAATGAAAGTAAATTTTTGAGAAAACTAATTCATTAATTTTGATCAGTTCACATGGTAGAGTTTGCTTTAGTTCTCTTTTAAAATTAATTATGTTCATTTTAATGTAAGATATATATATACACAGAGTAAGAAGTCCAGGGTCCCGAATTGCTGGTACTTCGGCGATTCCATATTTCGGAAATTTCTGGATTTTAAGTTTAGGTTAAATCTAGTATAATGACATGGACATGGCTGCATTGCAGCTTTTGAGTTTTTAGGTTAGATGGGAAAATACTAACGCTACATACACATAACTACTCAAGGGCCGATAGTGAGTGATCCTGCCCAATATCAATACAGCATCAACTGACGTATTTTTCTTGGCCTCCCTAGCCAACAGGTGTTTGAAAGTGACATGGAGGTATATCTGCGGAGAAAAATCGCATTTGCATTCCTAAACTTTTTTTTTCCTTATTTTATTTTATTTTTTTTATTTTATTTTATTTTATTTTTTTATTTTTTTATTTTTTTTTTTTTTTTTTTTTTTCTATTTTATTTACGTTTGGCTGTTGGCCCATAGGCCTCAATTCTTTCTGGATACTGGATGTTAGGATTTCAGACTTTTCATTGTATATAATTTGGGAACGTTGTGAAGTGTATTTCTGTGTGTAGAAATCAGAACATACAAAACTTTCATCTCATGAATTTAAAGTGCAAAAAATTAAATACTTTTAAAATAAATTGTTTTTAGGCTTGTTTTCTAGAAAATGTGCAGTTATGATGATTTATCATATGAGTGATTTAAAATTTTGGTACATGTGACAGCTTTTTTTTTTTTTCTGAAAGGGGAAATGAGAAGGGAAAACATCTATTATATGTGAGAGATTAGCCTTAAACCTATTGTTTCATTTACCATTCATTTTTGAGAAGTAATTTTTTTTAAATAGAAAATAATCATGTTTAATTTTTTTTAAAATATACTGTTATGGAAATAAAAGTTTTTATTATAATCCAATTACAAATACACTGCTCGACATTGAAAATGCAACACCATGAAGGAGTGGTCAGAAAGTGATGAAATTTGAAACAAAGACAGAGACAGCAAGCAGAAATAAGTGATTGTTATTTCAAAATGATAGTCAGAATACAGAGTGAGAACGGCGTCGGCTCAGTAGCATGTAGGACCACTGCGGACAGCGATGCACGAAGAAACACGTCTAGGCATAGAGTCAATAAGAGTGCGGATGGTGTCCTGAGGGATGGCTCTCCATTCCCTTTCAACCATTTCCCACAGTTCGTCTTCTGAACGAGGCAGGGGCAGAGTCTGCAAACGGCGTACAATCTCATCTCACACATGTTCAATTGGTGACAGGTCAGGAGAGTATGGTGGCCAGGGAAGCATCTGTATATTTTGCAGAGTATGTTGGCAGAGTATGTTTGCAGAGTATGTTGGCAGATGTGTGTTCGGGCATTATCCTGCTGAAAAATTGCATTAGGCAGTCCCTGAAGATAGGGGATTGCCACCGGCCGCAGTACATTATCCAAGTATCGTTGGGCCATCATAGTGCCCTGAATATGAACTAGAGGTGACCTGGAATCGTAGGCAATAGCGCCCCAAACTATTATGCCGCGTTGTCGCGCAATGGGGCATTCCACAGTTACTGCCGGATTAGATCTATCTCCACGTCGACGCCACACACGTATGCGGCGACTGTCACTGGACAAACAGAAGCGTGTCTCATCTGAGAACACGATGTTTCGTTATTCTGTCATCTACATCGCTCCAGTCCGGTACCATTCTAAACGTTGCTGTCTATGCTGTGGGGACAATGGAAGTCTTCTTAACAGATGCCGTGAGTGCAGTCCACGTTCAACCAATCGACGGGAAATGGTTCTGGTCGACACGGGAACATCCAGGGTATCTTGCACATGCTGCAGAATCGCGGTACATGTGACTTGCGGGACTGCCACCGCTTGTCGGCGGACGCGTCGATCCACGCGTGCTGACATCACTCTATCTGCCCTGCACCCCTTCTTCTTCCCATATTTCCTTGTTCCAATCATGTTCGCCATAGCCGATGCACCGTGCTCGCATCCGTGTGGGTATCAACTGTGATTTGACATAAGGACCAACGCGCCTTTCTCCGTTTGATCACCATACCCCTTGTAAAATCGTCTATCTGCTGGAAGTGCCTTCGTTGATGGCGGCCTGGCCATTCTCTCCTATTACACGTATCCTCCGGAACAAAAACCAACTTTCTTCGATAATTCGTCTGGCAGAAATAATGACACGAATATTGCCTATTCTGCACGTTCCTTCCCTTATATCTTACTTCACATCGGAGAGCTCCGCATTTCACATCATTCGCATAACTCATTGATGTGCGTCTACTCTAAAATTTGCATAAATTTCTGGCCACTCCTTCTTGGTGTTGCATTTTCAATGTATATTCGTATAATTTGTTAGATAAGCACTATGAAATGCAATATCCATACAAAGTAAATAAATCAAGTTTTAGTAATTGTGAGTGAAAATGCTATTGTCATGATATTAAGAACTTACGCCTTTATTTAAGACGTAGGTGCCCTTGTAATAGTATTATTGATATGAACTTAAGCAGTCATATGATTTGAAAACAGAAGAATTTCCTACAACACATCTAATTTTTCCTGGTTGAAAACCCCTGCTCTAATATTCTTCATTTATTGATTCTCATCATTATTTTCGTTTTTTCTGCTGTACAGTAATTTATCATTTATAATTTCTCCGGCCCCAGAATCATCCAAAAATGTTCCAGTCATAATGATTTATATATAAAAATTTTCATTCAGATATTTCTTCATACAGTGGGTGATCAGTTAACGAACATATTCTGTTCCAAGATTATATTCGCTATCCGTATTGTTCGTTAACCGATCACCGATTTACCATATATGTTAATGGGAATTCGATTAATTCGTTCTGGAGATCCTAAAAATTAAATTTTAAAAAAAATGTCATGTACAAGTATAATTTCTTAGTAAGTTTATTTATTACAAATATAATACATACATATAGTCTTACTTATTACAGTCCTTTTCCTTTCTTTGGGTGTTAAAGAACATGTCCAATGTCCATTGTTTTTCTCTCTGCTTCAGGACTTTCAGGAAATGATTGATAGCAATGCCATTGTAGAGATCAGCAACTCTATTGACATCAGCTTAGTTTGGGTGCCATTTTAAGACCGTTGCTTTGACATCTTCCCACTTCTTCAAAAGAACTTTAATGGCAGATGTCGTAATTGCTCCTCTTTCAACTTCCTCTTTTTCAGAAGGAAACACATTTTGCTGAGTTTCTTTGTGTTCTTCATTCAAGATTTCTTGGAGTTCTTCTGCCGTCAAGTCACCTTCATGTTCCATTATGAGCTCTTCAATGTCATCCTCCTTCACCTCCAATTACAGATCTCTCACAGTTGTTACAATTTCATCCATAATTTCAGGATTGTCAGCCTGATCACCTCCGTCTCCTTGAACGAGGGATGGACACAGCTTTCGCCAAGCAGAAACCAACTGTCGTTGAGTGATTTCTGACCGCGCCTTTTCAATAAGCCAAATAGCTTCGAGAATGACAAATTTTTCTATCCAAAACGTTTTTAAAGTCATTTTTGAGGAGAATTGGCATGCTTCAAAACATCGCCGAAATAGCGTACAAGTGTACAATTTCTTGAAACCTGCAATAACCTCTTGATCCATTGGCTGAATCAGTGAAGTCGTATTCGTAGGTAAAAACTGCACTGTCAGCCAGGGAAAGTCTATCAGCAAATTATCTTCAAGGTCCTTTGGGTGCCCTGGTACGTTGTCCAATAGCAGCAATGCTTTCAATTGGCAAGTCATTGGTATCAAGGTAGTCCTTGATGCTCAGGCACAAACTTCAAACAGCCACTCTTTGAAAAGAACTTGCGTGACCCATGCCCTCTGACTCGATCTCCACATGACTGGCAGTTTTCTCTTGATTGTGGAATTTTTTTTTTTTTTTTTTGAATGCTCTAGAATTCTCAGAGTGATAAACGAGAAGTGGTTTCAGCTTCATATCACCACTAACGTTAGCTCCCGAAAGTAACATCAATCGTTCTTTCATTGGTTTATGCCCAGGAACACTTTTCTCATCTTTCGTGATGTGGGTACGGTTCAGCATGCGCTTCCGAAACAAACCAGTTTCATCACAATTAAATATTTGTTGTGGACAATACCCTTCTTTTTCAATGAATTCTTGAAATTTGAGATGGAACCTCTCTTTTTTATCTGCACTAGCAGACTCATCATGCATGCCCACGTTTAATGCCAGATCTCCTTTTAAACTTTGCAAACCAGCCAGTGATAGCCTTGAATTCTAGATTTTCGGATGACGAAACTGGAGTTTGTTCTTTCAATTTCTCAAAAATTTCTCTAGCCTTCTCTTGAATGATGGCCATACTAGTTACATCTCTCTTCATCTCCCATTCATTTATTCAAACTAACAGTAAACTCTCCATTTGTTTATGGATGGCACTTCTTTGCTTCTCACATGTATTCCTTTAGCGGCTTGAGCCTTCTTGATGATATCTTTCTTAGCTAGGAGTGTGCCTACTGTAGTCCAGTTCAAGCCGTACTGCCTAGCAGCATCAGTCATTTTTTGTCCACTATCTACTTTAGTTATAAACTCTTGCTTTGTTTTTATGGTGAGCACAGTTCTTGACACTCCACTCTTTTTAAGTGCCATAATATTGTCAGTTTTTCAGGGTTTTTTTGTAAGGCGTTTAGACAAGCACATACGAAAATCCACAAGGACAGAAACCAACTGTGGTACACAATTGACAAAGTGTACCGTACGCATTGTACGGTGCTGCCTCACTGCTACGTAGTATGAATGATGACGTGTCAGCGCACGCGCACATCCATTTTTAGGACGAATTGAGGACTGGTGTTGGATGTTCCGAGAGCCAAGAGGTTTTCGTTAGAATTAGTTTTGGCTCGTTATCCGAATACTGTTCGTTGTCTGAACACAAAAATCTTTCCTGAATGTGTTCGTTGTCCAATTTGTTCGCTGTCCAAACTGTTCCTTAACCGATCACCCACTGTATTTTATTCAACTTTTAAATGCTTAAAACATACGACGGATATTTTTTTATGAATAATGTACTAATTTCATTATTCTTTCTCCTCTGTAGCCTTCTTACAGTACTGAAGATCTAAGTGTAGAAATGGCAAATCTAGAAGGACTGATGAAAGATTTGAATGCCATCACAGCATCAGAATTTGAATGCTGAATTGTTAATAGCTTATTATGCCAATGATCATTATGATACTCAGTGTGCTTTTTATAGAAACAATGACTTTTTTGTGCGTGCAAGATGCTGCCATGTGAAATACTGCTTCATAACTACCTGTACCTGTGATTACAAATCTGGTTTGTTTTAATTAACAACTCATGTCATCTTGCATTTACTTTCACAAAGACTATTACCTTCATAAGGTAGATTCACTGTTTGTGATGCCAAACTTGAACATTACTTTTCAAGTAAGTAAAAAGAATGTACTATAAACATATTTATAATACATCATTATTCATACATTTGAAATGAAAATAATGAAACACTTCAATCATTTTTAATACTTTTTCTAGTTACTTTATAGCATGAAACTTAAGCCATGGAAAACATTTTAAACAAAAACTAAATGAAATAGAAAGACTAATTTATAAATTGGTAAGACCATTAAATTTGTATTTTAGATCTTGTTAAGATTTTGGATGCAAATGTGTAAGATATTTGAAATATATTCAGCCTCTAACAGAAATGAAAGCAGAACTTTGTTCTGATACACAACTATTTGATTGCAGTTTATTTTGTTTCTTAATATATAAGTTAAAAAAAGCAGAACTAGTATTCTACATAGTAGCGGCTTTAAAGGGGGATGAGGATGGATGACCATTTCGAGTGCCAAACCGAGAGTTTATTCAATACCAAATAATCAAAATTTTCTGAAAATATCAAACGAACATCTTTTCTGAAATCTTCTGTCATAATTTACCTATTTTTGGCTCATAGGCAAGTGTGACAAAGGAATTTGTTAGTAGGATTCCAAATTTAGTAAAGCTGGCTGTGAATCTCCATTTCCCATAATGCTGTCTCAGAGAATATCCACAAATAAATTATTAATTAATGTCATAAATTTAACTTTTTTATTAAATGCAATCAGTCTGATACTCTGTTAATCAATTACCCACCCTGATTGCGTAAAAATTTCATTTAGTGTTAAAATAGGAAACAATTCATTTGTAAATATGCTGTTTCTAAGTAAATAGGAAAATGTAATGTGCATGACACTGGTTAAAATTTAAGCAGTTGAGATGTTTTAAGTTTTAACTTTAATGGTAGGTAAATTCATAGCTAAAATAAGATAAAAATCTAGCTACACTTATGCATATTTAAGAAATTTTAAAAGGTGGCTACATTTCCGTAAATATTGATGCATAGACATGCATAGTTAACTTTAGATTTAAAGATTTGCCTTGAACCAGTTACATTGGGAAAAACTAAAATGACATTAAAAAATATACAATGGAAATTAAGAATTGTATACTCATATCAAATCTTAATAAACTGAAGATTTTTTTATACAAATCAATGAAGGAATTTCGAAAAATTGATTTACACAATTTATTCTTGTTAAGGAAAAAAAATCAGATAATACAAATTAGATCTGAATTTGCATCAATAGGGTATAATATTCGATAAAGTATTTCACTTTCCAAAATCTCTGTTTCAGTTTGAAAATGATAAATTATTTCATATTTCTTTATGATTCTTGTACATACTCTGTGACTAAAAAAACATCCACAAGTGGATGTTTCTATATGGTCTCCGTAGAAAAAAAAATTCCAATTAGAAAAGTATTTATTATGTTACAACGAATTAAATATTTCTTACCATAACATGCAAAATTTGGAGCTATTTGGGAATTAATTTACTGACATGGTTAACTTTCCAATGCCTATTACCAAATAAAATTTTAAAATGATCACCGAAGTGAGAGCAACTACAAAACTAAACTTTCTCGTTTTGGCAAATTTATACTTCCATATTGTGATTGCATATGTAGCTGACATCTTGAAAATGTTAGGTATATCTTTGTAAATTTTGCATTTACAATTGTGCAAATTTGTTCATTTAACTTGATAAAGTATAATGAATATCTCATTACCTGTAGTTTTCATTCTACTGAGACCATACGAAAAAGTAGATTTTTATGTACTTCTACTCACAGTGTTGAAACTGTTCTACACGTTTTGAAGTCTAGAATTATATTAAAGAAAATAAAAGCACACGTCTAGAATCGTAATTACGGAAATAAAATTGTTAGCCACCTTTTCTGAATGGCCTGTATAATCTAAAAACTGTCATAATAAAATTTTAAATAACCCATTAAAATTCTGAATTTCTAGAAATAATTTAAATAATGGCAGTAAATTTTAAAATAATTAAAATGCACATAATTAGATTTCAGCTTCAGTGTAAATTTTATTTATCTTACATATCATAGTTTTTAACACTTAGACATTAATTTTAACAAAAAGAAATATGATTAAACACAATTTAAGAATATATTGCCTTTTTTAATAATTACAAAACAAAAAAATTATTGAAAAATTATCAACAAAGACATAAAGTAAGAAATTTAGAATATATAAAATCTCTTTAAAATATATGCAGCCTCTTTTATGTTAAAATTACTGCCAATATAATGTTAAAAATTAATTAGTAAACATTAATGCAAATGACCTTAAACTAATTATATTACATTTATTTCTATGCACTAAATATATTTTTTACAATTAATTATTTAAAATATTATATTCACATTTGTCTCAGAAAATCTTCTTTGCTGAACTTAATGATCCCAAGATGTTATTTGTGCAATTTCTAATACTCATTCAATTCTGAGCCATACAAACATGAAGAACATTCAGAAAAGATGATATAAGCTTTATTTCTCAAAACAGCAATTCTATCCTTACTATTTAATTTCTACAGAAGTTCTTCGAATAAAGTGGAAAATTTTATGCAAAATGGTTCCTTAAAATTAAAATGTGTTTGTGTATATATTCTCCATAGGATAAAATTTCCAACTAATAATATACTTGTTACGCTTTAATCAATTACAAACAACAAAGTTCTGTATCTTTATATGCAAGATTCAAAGAGTTATGCTAATACTATATGTTTTTAAAATGTCAGTGATAAAAATGTATGAGGAGTGCTATTTTACCTGAAATAGAACCATTAATTGCCAAAATGAGCAACTTGCAACTGAATCTCTAAATATGCTCTCAGAAATCTTTGGTTGCATTGGTAATAGGCAAAGAAAAATGACCTGTCAGTAAATTCATTCTCAAATATCTCCATGAATTTTGTTCATAAAGGTACAGAACTTTCTTGCATTTTATTAAATCAGAATGAATGTTCTATTAACTGGAATTTTTAATTTACAGTGATAATAATAAAAGATGTGCTTTATGCTATAGTTTGAGATTTATCTAAGCTACTGCCACAATGTTGAAATGGTTTTCATGCCTTATTTTAAGATACTCTGAAAGTAAAGAGTTATCCATTTTATCCAAACATCCTATATAAATAATATTAAATACAATATACGCAGAGAACAAAAAGCTGTCTAAGTGGCAGAAGAATAGTAGAAAACTAAAATTTATCTTCTCAATTTCTCTCGTAGGTTGAAAAAAAAAAATATTTCACATTCAGTAAAAATTGCAGAGCAATTAAAAATAATTCAGAGGGAGATAAAATGTAAAGACAAAACATTCACAACTTATTCTCATTTATAAATGCCAGATCTTCATCCAAATCTAACTTTAATATACTGATAATTTGTACATTCCTTTTGTTTCTAAAAACTACTTCTTGTTTAAAAATATTAACAATGTAAATTGAGTCAAAGGCCATCTTGCAGATGTATGCGATATCTAAATTCAGTGGATTGGAGGAACTAGGCTAATCCCCTAATATTTTAGGTAATGATACTTTACAGTATCTTTTTACTTATTATCACTTATTACTTTTTATTTACTTATTACATATTTTTACTTATTATTACATTATTTTACCTTTTTTTGAGAAGGCTTTACTGATGAGCTGAGATTGCATCAACTATAGCTAACGGACAACTAGTTAGTTTTCCTGAAACGAAATCATAGTGACACAGTAACTTTCATTTAAACTTTGGAGAGGAATTCAGTTAAGACAAGTAAGTCTCTCACACTTAAGATGACATATGCTAAAGCAAGCTGTGTCACTTTTATGTCACTGTCAGCTGTAAAGTATCACAGTGATGTGATCTCAGGTGCCTGTTCAGTGTATCTTTTATATTAAAAAAATAATTAATAATCACTAAATTTAGATCTACCCTTTGTATTTACATTGGTAAAACAATATTGGTACATTTCTGTCCAAAATGAACATGTTCTCAAAATGATCAGTTACAACCAATTGAGAAAGTCTGTTTTAGACCTGGTGCTATTTGAGAGATATATCATTTTATTAATTATTTAATATATTTGCTTATTAGAGTATTCATGAAAATAAAATTTTATTTATTATTTCAATTTGATTTACTTCCTCCTTCCAATTTTCACAGCTTTACTAGAGCGTTTGTTGTGCAATAGATGTAGTCTTCACATAAGAAAATATTTTGGGTTCAAACCTTGTGTATTTTTTTTTTTTTTTTTTTTTAAATGGAGTAGTTCAGAAAATTACAAATTTTTAAAACTTAATTTTTCTTTCTGATAATGTATCTAAAACTGTTTATTTTTTAAAAAACTCTTTTTGTGAATTTGAATTTATTTATGTTTATCATATACATCTGCATGGTTTTTGTTAAGTACTGGTTATTACCATAATGAAAGAAATAATCAATATGACTGTAGAAAAACCCTTTCTGTAGAATCAGTGCATCTAAAAATATAGCAAAATCTATATCTTTCTTTGCTTGATAAAACTTTTCTTTGTGCTATTATTGCATATGCTATTTTTACATGTTTGCTTTTCAAGAAATGTATGATTTTCATTTTTATGTACACATGATGAACAGTTGTGCATCCAGTTTTGCATTTAGTTTAAATTATCTTTCTTATAGATACTGCTGCCAAAACTACACAATTATGCTATAATAATATATTTATGATAAATATTTTTTTCTTAAAATTAATTTTTTTTTAAATACTGATAAGATTAATTCATTACAAATCCTTATTTAATGTTCGGTTATTTGTAAAAAAAGATATTTAATTTTAATGAATGAAGGATAACTTTTTATAAAATTATGATGATCAGTACTTTCTTTGTACTTTTTGTAATTATAATGTAGTAACTGAGTAATTTATCATTATTATGAAAATGGAATCAATATTTGATTGCCAAGCAATTTTCTACAATTTTTTTATGAACAAGGGAAAATAATCAATATTAAATGGTAGAACAAATAGATTTCTTATAATGCATATTTTTTAATCCACATTTATTAAAAAAAATTAGCAAAACATTTCACAAATAAATAAATAAGATAAAGAAATAAATAAATAAAAATAGTAGAACTGTAATATATGTGTTAAATCAAGATACATATTGTAAAAACTATATAGAATAATTTCAGTAACATGCACTGAATAATATGTAACAAAATACGTATAAATTAATGTATATAAAGATATATTTCTAAGGTAACATTTGGTAACTCATTTAAAACTGGTCAAAGTGACAACATTATATATGTAAATAGATCAAATAATTCTAAATATATGCTCCAACGAATGCTTCATTTGTAAAATAATCAGTCACATTTCTTATCAGCATGTATGTATACAGTGTTCAGTTTATGTACAGTTAATGTTCTTTCTCATTACAATGGGCTTTTGTGTCACATTTTTATGTATTGCATAATAAGTATAAAGTTTAGGAGATGAAAGAACTCCTTTTTATACAAAATATTCAATTTGTATTTATACTAATGTGAAACTATATGCTAAAAGTAAGAGATATACTTCATTCAATTTCTTAATAAATGCCATTTGAATCTGTAAAGAGCTTATTTATTTCTATTCATATTGTAATCTGCATTAAGAAGACACATTTTCCATATTTCATGAACAGATTTTGCTTAAAAATTTTTAAAAATACACTAACAATCCACCATCACATGTTAATGCATGGCCCAAAAAGATTAATCTGACAGCACAAATTAATACTTAAATGATACTAGTTTAAATTGTAATTTTACTACTTAAAGCTGTTATGTATGCTTCATATTCTGGATATAAATATCAACTTCAAATAGGTTATGAACAGCATGAATCTGTAATTATGTTACTTACTATAATGAATAAGATAAAATTTCAGTTACGTGCTGCTTGCAAGCAGCACATAAGAGACAAGCAGATCTCAACACCCTCCCATGACTAATGCCAGAGAGGAAAGACATATTGCGACTCCAGCCCTGCAAAACCGTACAACCACATCACGGGCCATTAGTCAGGAAATCGGCATGTTTGCAGCATGCCCAGTATCAGCTTTTAAGGTGCGTCGACATTTGCAGGAGCATGGACTATCAACAGGGTGACCATTCCTCAATGGTCTTATGCACTGTTAATTATTTTAAAGCATTTATCAACTTAATATCAGAATTTATGATTTTTATTAAAACACTATGATATAAAACTGCAAACACCTCTGACTGACAAGGCCATATATATATACTTATATATTGTTGCGAAATGCCCAGCTGTAGTAAGATAACTTCCCCACAAAGTGAGTTTAAAGTTGCCAGAAAGTGGCAAGGAAAGGCAGCCTTGCCATATTTTTGCGATATTTTGTGCGAAACTGCCCATTTGATGTCATGCCATAGACGGAGCATGAACATTCCAGAAAGATTTCTTGCCAGTTTTCCCAAAAGTAGGTCAAATGTCTGTACGTGGAGTAGCAGTTTTATCGTCAAGAGTATCTTGAGTGCATTGGAAGGAATGATATGACGAATGGCAAAAACACATGAAAGGAAGAAGTTGGGATATGCAAATGATTAGTATTTCAGCACATTTAGACGACATCTGAAGCACAGCATAAGTTGTGTAGTGGATTTCTCATTCAGAAAATGCTTTATAAGGTTGGAGTTTACTCAGAATATCATGTTATGCCTCGATAAGAAATGGAAATGCTTACCAGCAAGTTTTGAAATTCTATAGAGGTAGAATCATTGCCTGTCGAAAGTTAGATTTTCGTTCCGTGATATCACCGGTCAACATCCAACCACTGTCATGTGAATATGAAAATCGATGGATTGCTGAGGATCATACTGAAGCCAAGCAGATCTCAACACCCTCCCATGACTAATGCCAGAGAGGAAAGACATATTGCGACTCCAGCCCTGCAAAACCGTACAACCACATCACGGGCCATTAGTCAGGAAATCGGCATGTTTGCAGCATGCCCAGTATCAGCTTTTAAGGTGCGTCGACATTTGCAGGAGCATGGACTATCAACAGGGTGACCATTACTTCAGCTTCCCTTGACAATGCAGCATAAAGAGAGACAAGCAGATCTCAACACCCTCCCATGACTAATGCCAGAGAGGAAAGACATATTGCGACTCCAGTCCTGCAAAACCGTACAACCACATCACGGGCCATTAGTCAGGAAATCGGCATGTTTGCAGCATGCCCAGTATCAGCTTTTAAGGTGCGTCGACATTTGCAGGAGCATGGACTATCAACAGGGTGACCATTACTTCAGCTTCCCTTGACAATGCAGCATAAAGAGAGACAGTGACTTTGGTATGCCAAATGACAAAGCTGGGTACAGGAGAGTCAAAATGTTGTTTTTTCACACAAGTCCCGGTTTTACGAGCAGTATTCTAATGTATACGTGTCTGGGGTGTCCGAGAAGACCGCAAGTCGCTTGCTTGCCTTCTATATCGGCATAGGGGCCCTGCACCTGTTGTGATGGTTTGGGCAGCCCATTGGGTACACGACACGCACATCTCTAGTTTGGATCAATGGTATTTTGAACACAGATGGGTACATTTTTGACATTTTATGTGCAGTGGTTGTGCCCTATCTTCAAGGTCCATAAACACCATGTTCTAATAAAATTATACAAGACCACATGTTGCACATTGTGTTCTGACCTTCCTCGATACAGAGGATATTCAATTGCTGCCTTGGTCTGTACGCTCTCCAGATTTTTATCATTGGATCAGACTAATCTGTAATTATTTCTTTTAAATTTAACTTTTTGGAAAATTTTTCTTTGATCTTTTTTGAAAAAGTTCCTCTCCCAGGTCATTTTCCATTTTCCTTGCTTTTCAGGAGAGTGGAAACCTTGTTCTTACTACGATTGTTAGATCTTTGCTGATACAACATTGGCTGGCATATTGCCAATTTTCTCAGTGATAAGTAATGTAGAAATTTAGATGTTATCCTTCCCATACTCATCTCTCTAATTCTGAGTAAATCAGTTCAAATGACACATGCATATTAGTAAATTTATTAATATCTTTCATGGTTAGATTTCACGGTATTATAGACTTTAATGAGAAGATATGGTATCATTATCTTTTTTTCCCTTATGCAGAGCAACTACAGTAAAGGAAGTACATAGTATCACAGCATATCCATTCAAATTCTCTTTAGTAATGGACAACGAAAGTGTTTGCAAACCAAAATGATAGGCAGATAATATGAAAATATTGCACCATTATTTACAAAATACTGTTGTAATAAAACTTGTTTTAAATATACAAAGTTCAAATTGCAAGCTATTACTATTTCTCATATCGCATGAAGGTGTAAAATACAGAATGGCATGCAAATTTTACAGAACAGCTGTATTTTTAAAGGTTACAATACCAAAATTAAACAAAACTGCCATGGCAATTTGCATAATTATAAATAGTCAACAGGAAGCTGGTGTATGAATAAATTTTGGAATTGTAATGTCAGATGGTGTTATATATAAAACTAGAAGTTCAGTAAGTCTTTCTAAATGATAAGAAAGATCATTAATAGATATTTAATGAATTTCATTCTATATTGCAGCCAATGAAATAACCACTAAGAAATATTTAAATAATTAGAAATACAGTAACACCCCGCTTAACTTGGGGTATACGTTGCATCAAAGTAGAGCATAATATGAAACAGTGTTAAATGAGGTTCTCTCATCATGTAAATAATGGGGTTTGGGGAAGATGGGTAGAAAATTGGTCAGATATTTTACCATTCAATTTATGTTTTTTATAACAAAAAACCAAAATTTATTTCTTACAAATATAGAAACATAATAAACGGATATACATATAAAAATAAAATTCTAGGTCAGTATGTTTTTATTTCAGATCATTCAGTCTCTTCTGTATTTCCAATTTTCTGCCTTTTTATCAAAAAGGTATATAATGTAATTTGCGTTTTCCTTTTGCGCTCTGTAACAAGTTGTTGTAAGTGGATAAAGCATCCATAACACCCCGTCTTGCCTTTGAACTCCTGTCAAAATTTGGGTCATTTTCAATAAATTGGTTTTCAGAAACGCTGTTCAAAGTTCTTTTTTGCTCTTCTTCAGAATCACTACTTTCAATATTTTTGTGTTTTTCTTGGTCCACTAATTCCTTGAGCTCATCATTAGAAAGACTTGCTGCTGTTTCTTGCACTATTTCTTCGACATCTTCCACATTTAGTAGTTGGATTAAGGCAGTTGAGTTAGGCAGCAAGAAAGCCACTTCTACTGGAATGCATGCTATTAAGTCATAAATTCGTTGAATGGCTTGGAGCATTATCAATTAAAAGGAGTGGTCATGATTCAAGTTTTTTAATTTCTCAATAGCGATTAACAGACGGGCAAAAATATTCAGTGAACCAATTCTGGAAAATTTTCATAGTTATCCATGATTTTTTATTAGACTCCCAAATTACAGGTAAAGTTGATTTGGATATTCCTTTCATTGCTCTTGGGTTTTTGGAATGGTAAACAAGTAGTGGTTTTAATTTGAAATCTTCCCTAGCATTACCACCCAGTAGACGTGTTAAGTAATCTTTTGCAGCTTTCAATCCTGGTGTACATTTTTCTTCCTGGGATATAAATGTTCGTTTTGGCATCCTTTTTCAAAATAGTCCTGTTTCACCAATATTAAAAATCAATTCTGGAGGATAGTTTCCTCATTCAATTATTGTTTTTTAATGTTGCTGGATGTTTTTAATGTTGTGAATTCAGCCACTGCTTTCGTATCACCACTTGCTGTTTCTTCTGTAATCTGTATGTTATGAAGATTATTTCGATGTTTAAATGTATTAAACCATCCTCGACTTTCAACGAAAGTTTCACTTGTCTCAACCTGAATGTAATTTAAAATTCTTCTCGCTTTTTCCATTATAGTTGATTGGCTTAATGGCATACTGCGTTCAATTTCGACGTCAATCCATATAGAAAGTCGTTTTTCCATTTCCTCTATTGTATTGTATTATTTCTAGAATGGGTAATTCTAGTTGCAGAGCTTGTCGTAGTTGCAGTTGCCAATGACAGTACTTTTCCTTTATTCTTAAAAGTAGTTCTTATTGTTGAAGTTGCCAAATTTAATGCAGCACCAATTTAAGATTGACATTAACCAGTATCTAATCTTCTAATTACTTGCATTTTAGTTTCTAGTGAATTGCTTTTTCTTGTTGCTTTATTTTTGTGCTTTTTTTTTATTATCACCCATGATAAAACCTAAAAAGCCATAATATTTGTCTCTATATCAATCGTTATATTATATAAATTTATACTTACAATAACGTCAACAAATTTTTGAAGCGATAAAAATATGTTCGTATAACACCACAGGAAAGAAGGAACACAGATAAACTGCTTCGGATATCGGGAAGCCTAATGCTACGTGCAATTTCGGCGAGTCCCACAATTCAAATGAAAGAGTGTTAAACCGAAACAGTGCTAAATGAAACAGCATTAAGTGGGGTCTTACTGTATGAAAGAAAGGCAAAGTGTGAGAGTGTAGCTCACAAGTTTGGTGATGTCTGTTACATCACATTGCAGGCATGAAGGGCTTGCAGAATAAGTATGACTGTTTAAGAACTGGTAGTAGTTTCCAATAAAAACTGTTTATTCCCTGATATAATGGAAAGGAACAGAAGCCACCAAAATCTATCTATGCTCGAGGATGTGAGATCTTAAGTTTTACTGTGACCAAATTATTCTGTAGAGTTAAGATTTTCTGACGGAATAAAAAAAATGCCAAAGTAATTAATAATAAGGAACAGGAATTGATATAATGCAAATTAATTTGCAGTATTATAGTTTTGAAGGTTAAATGGAATATTCTTTCTAACTGCAAGAATAAAAATGATGGAAAAAATATGTAACTACATGAAAACAACAGGGAGAAATTTGAGAATGTTCTAACTATATACAGAAAAAAAGCATTACTAATGGCTGAAAAGTGAATGAAAAGTAACAAAGAAACAATTCTTTGAAAAGTAGACAGCAATAAGTAATAGGAACTGGATTCATTAACCAGAAATATAAGATTTTTATAAATGCTGAAATGACTCCAAGAAATCTGATTCGCCAATGGGAGACTCCCATTTCTGAATTTTCTTCCATATTTCATTTTTTCTGAATTTCTTCCACACAGAAATCGAAAATGTAATTTTTCACTAGCAATGCTGCTGCTGGCTGTACGTACAGTCACTTTTTCACAATGCAAGAAACATCCATACATTCATGCAGATTCTTCATAATTTAATTTCTTTAAATATAATACAGGGCTTTTTGGTAACAATAATTTAAAAAGTGATACACCGTTTATACTGAACCAATGCTTTCATAATGAAGCAACGCTTTTATAGTGGATAACTTTTTAGCTCCTTTGGGCTAAAATGTTGTGTAAGTAATCTAAGAAAACTGAATAGTGATATGATGAACTGAGAAAAGACTGAAAACAAATTTAATGGCAACTCTTAGTAATACTGTATTAGGAATTCCAAACATATGCTGCTGTTAAAAATTTTATGATTTTGCTGCTGAATTTATGTGGTATAAGTAAGAAAGTGATATTTAATATTAAAGTTAAAAATATAAAAAAAATTGTGTAGGTCATCTTGTTAAAAACACTGATATGATGAACTGAGAAAAGACTGAAAAAAATATGTATGACAACACATAACACTTTATCAAAAATTAGAAATATGCCGCATTTAAAAATTTTTATGTGGCAAGTGTGGATAAAATGCTTTTTGCAGATGGCAATGATATTGCAAGTTAGGCAATGTGTAAAAGGCGACATGTGACATTACCCTACAAACTTTATTGAAACACATTGATAAAATGATTGAGGTATTCTCATCTAATAAGGCATTCTCATTTAGATTTGGATGGATATATAAAGATACAGACAATAGCAGTAATTGCAACAGAATGAAATACCTGTCCCATGAATACAGTGACCGAGATAAGCAAAAAAACACATCATGTGGAAAATAGAGCAACGGTGTTGAGTATTCTTCACAGATGAATCTAGGTACTCTCTCTACAGTGTAACTCAGTTCTTCCATGATGTGGAGAACGCAAAGAACACGATGCAGCCAGTTAAATATTCTTGAATACAGTATTTGCTCTGGAGGCAGCATTCTCATTTTGGCAGGCATCAGACAATTACACTGGCCTGTATGTGTTTCTGCAAGATTTATCCACAATCCTAGCATAAGAACATATGTCATCACAATTAATTATTCTTTGATTTTAAAGGGCGATAACACTCAGCTTTCTAGTGCACATATAGTCAAAAAGTACCTTCAGGAGCAACTTGTGCTGTGCATAAATTAGACAATTCGTTCACCAAGTAAGCTTTTATATACTTCTAAGATCTTAAAATAACTTACAATGAGGGTTATGACATGCAGCTTTTGCTCTCAGTCTAAATATTATACAGTTTAATAGATAACATGAAAATGAGGTATTAAGCCTATATTTGTGATAGAGGAAGGCACATTCCACATTAAAATATTCTCATTATTTGAGTAAAAATGCATTTGAGCTACATCTCAATAATCATGTATTTTCAAAAATCTCCCTGCCTGCAGAAGTACAAGGTGTACAACTTTTGTAATGCACTTTCATAAAATAAACTTGTGCCAGTTTCATACTTCTTTCATTTGCTTTAAAATTTCTATTTTAAAAATCACTTATTCTTTAACTTTTTGGAAAGCAGTATTTTTCGCTATATGCCATCAACACCTGTTCCGAAGTATCACTGATTTCAATTTTAGAGATGATTATATGACATATCATATTGCTGCTTTTCAGAAGAAAGGACATTGTTCAAATGAGCCATGCTTGTTTCTCCAATTTGAATACCACTGAACAGATCTAGGATATATGGAAAATATCTTGATACTTTATATCCATTTACAACTAGTTGAAGTAGTTGAAAATAATACTGACAGAACAGTGGACAATCTGCTGCATGAATTTATCAACACTATGTGATAATGCTATGTGGAGCAAATCATTGTATACCACTTACTAAAGATGACCTCTTCTCATTATCTCACCTCCAAGAGTGATTTATCTGTTATCATTGCAATCAATGCATAAAATATTTTTAAAAAACTTTAAAAAATATTTGCTATTAAATAATCATTTTAAGTATTTTGTTAATTGAATAATTACCCTTTGGTTTAAAATCTATCATTTATTATTTAATTTTCAGTCTTAAAATAGATGAAATCACATATAAGACCCGTGTGAAACTGCTCAAATCATAATGTTATGCTGCTACAGTTTGCTAACTGGATAAAATAAGACATCTTAAATAACTAAAATGAAGCTAATTTAATTAAATCACAATGATGTTCCCTTTAGTTAAATTCCATCAAGGTAAATTGAATGATTCATAATTCAACATTTATTAATTTTTATTAATATATATAAGTTGCTAGTAAAACAAACAATATCATGAATTATCATTTAGGAAATATAAAACACAAATTAATGAGTAAAATGTCATTATCCCTTCCCTCAAAAAGTAAGTAGTCTTTTGAATTTGTCCATTTTCCTCATAATATTCAAATTTCAATCTTTAAAAAAGAATAAGTTTCTACTTATAAATGAAATTACATTTGTAATATTTTACTTTCATTTTAGACATCAAATTTGACAAACAAACAAATGCAGGTACCTATTCATATTATGCCAACTGTATCTGAAAATATCCATTACAGCCCATTATTGTGAATTTGACTACTAATTATTCTATACAAACACTATATTACTATAATTTACTTTAATTACAAATGATAACATATTTTTCCTTCCTATAAGTCTATCTATAAAAAAATTCTAAATAAAATTTGGAACATTCATTGAATATTTCCTATCCAAGTATACAGAACTGTTGGACTGGGGAAGAAAGTGGGGAAAAAGATAGAAAAAATGTAATTCACCATTATGGCTATCAAAAAAATATATAGTATTTACTAATCCCAAGTCATTAGGAAACACACTGGTGCACTGGCTGATTGGGATCTAAACACTCAATACAGTAGAAGTCCAGAAATCTCCAAGGCTTGGGACCAGAGGTTGTGCGGATTTTAGGACAGAAAAGATAAATCATAATATTCAGACTCAAAGGGCAAAACAGTAAATAAAGCGTATTAGATACATTTAATTAAATGATTATATACACTATTGCAATAATTATTATATGTGTTAAATTATTATTACATATATAAATTGATATATTATTAATTGTACACAGCATCGGGTTTGCCGATTTACTTCATGCAAAGACTTCCGGTTTGGATTCCGGTGTTAGAATCACTGGTTCTGTAAATTCAACAGCTTTTCTTTATTTTTCCGTATATCACATCGTGTCACAATTCCATACGATTCTGCTAAAAACCGAGCGTAGAACCTGCCTCCATCTTTTGCAGGAAATTGCACTTTTGTTTACTGTCAATGCAAGTCTTTACGTTTTTCAGCGTTGCAAGCAGTAAAATCATGAGTACGTTTCTTACCTGTCATTGTATTAAAAAGGACTGAAATTTAATATACTTTTAATTTATCCACAAAATATCTGGATAAAAAAGAAGGCAGCACTAAATAATCTCATGAAATAGCAAAGCTAAAAAAATATAACAACGTGAACTTGAAAAAAGAGTCGAGTGAATTGTCTGCTTTTTTACCTCGATGCAGATTAGAGGGAAAAAACTTTTATCATGATGTCAATAATTTGGTATTTCCATTATGACTCATTATTATTCAGTAATTATGACGTCATTATTCGGTAAGTATTTTTTCTTCGATATTTCGTACTCAATCTTGCAGTTTCCGGAACCTATAGACTGAAAGTTTATATTTTGAGAGGCAACGTGGATTTCAGGTCGGCGGTTTTCGGTATTTGACTGTATTTACTACTTATAAATTTTACACATCTCAAATTTTAGATTTTCAGATACAAATATTCAATTACACCTACATTAACTACTATGTAAAAACATTGACAAGGTAAGGCTCTTAAATCAAACTTGCTACCTCATGGAAGGAAATTTTAAAAAACTTTCACTTGGAAACAAAACTTCCACTTCTGATAATGACTTGAAAAGAAAACAAAAATTTTGTTGTATTATCTTAATTTCATAATCAAAGAATATTTTTTCAGCTTGGAATCAGAAACATTTTGCTTTTTGACTACTCTCTGATGACAACTACAAAAGCATATCAAAATCCATTTTTTTCAACTGTTCTTCACTTTTACATTTGATTTTTTTTAAAATTCTTATTCTGTTTTCAATTTACGAGCTCTCAACGAGGTAGTGAATATAACCTCATAGTTCATTGTCATATCAATGTCATTACTTATATCATTTGAAGCAGTAAAAAAGAGTATTTTAACTGTTTATTCTATGACATTAAAAAAATAAAAGTTGACCTGAAAGATTGCTATGTAAATCATTATTACAAATTATACAAAAATGTTTTATTCAAAACAGTATTTTACAAAATAGTGAATAATAATCAAGAAACAAAATGTAAAATTATATACAAAATTTACCGTTTAAATATTTAAGATATAATAAAAAATTATATAAAACATACACTGATTTTAATAAAATCATGACAGAAGAATAATATTTACAAGTAAACTTTAGCATCCTACTTCCATTAAAATTAAAGGCAAGTATATTGTTTATTTCCTTCTTATCAAATTCCTGTTAACCTTCAATCAGCGCAAGTGGATGAATTTCCAATTTCAATTTCTTCACACTGAAGATCACTACTACTAGCTTCTAGAATAATATTTGCAGTCTCTGGTTCAACTGCAGTTGTACTCTGGCTCCTTCTTTTTTTGGCTTTGGGTAGTGAACTGGATTTTGTAGGAGATGTAGAGGAACTGTCTTTTTTCCCTTTTTCTGCATGGTATGCTAAAATGAGGAACATTAACATAACATATATATATATATATATAATATTCATAATTATGATATCTATATTTACCATGCAAACTCTGCTTCCAAATTTTGAACTATGTATGAAGAAATTTTAAAAATTCACCCCATTTAGAGCAGAGTCTAACTGGAGTTTCGTTATATAAAAAAGAACTAAAGGAGTTTTATTGTACAAGAAAGGTACTAACTTGTAAATTTATTCATAGCACATTTTTCCTTCAGATAGAAAATTCTCTTTTTGTTTTCCAGTAACCTTGAAAACCATTGAAGGCAGTGGAAACTTGCTTTGCCTTTCTAAAAGACAATCTGACTAGAGCTGCTAAATTTGGCTCTACGCCAGCTGCCATAACGATGCTCATGCGATATATAATTTGCCAAGAAAGTGATTCCTACCAACATTTGCACAAAACTTGCTTTTTTTGGCATCTCCATATGAAATTCAATGGCTTTTCCAGATTTTGACTAAAATACTTAAATTCCCTGACTTCAGTCAATTTTTGAATTCCCTGACTTTTCCAGTTTCCCAGATAGTGTGGCAACCCTGATATAAGTACAAATGTATGTGTGTGTATACATATACACACACATAACATATATGTACATACATACATGTATATATTCATACATTTTTTAAATCCAGTCCCAATAACAGAACAGTACCTGCACAATTTCTAGTGGTTGCTCAAGCACTTCAACCATGTGCAACTTCATTTTTTATCTAACAGCATAGTTCTTGCATTCTAAACATTTTATTAAGGCACTTACTATTTTAGGTACTTTTCCATTTCGCCGGCACAAATTTCGCCAAGCAGACTTTCTTGGTGACAACACATAAAAAATTTTAACAAATGTTAGTTCAAAGAATTTTTTCTTTTGAAGGCATAAACATTTTAATATTGTTTTAAATTTTGTAAAAAGACATTAATTTAAGAATTTACTATGCTCTCATGGTACAACATCTTAATTCACCGGTTCATATCATGCAACCCCAATCTCACGTAAACTACGCTACAAAAATATAATTATCTCAGTAATTTCAAGTTAAATCTTAATATGGAATACAAGTTTAAATGCAAAAATTATTTCAATTTGTATGCAGTGCTTTACTTCACTAGTGCATTAGAATTGATGAATTTAACCCTTAATTTTGCCTTTCCTATATGTTTGCCTTCGGGTGAGCGGTGTGATTGCTTCCTAATTGACTTACTTACCGCAAAGTTTAGGGTATAATTTAACTATCTTTTGAAAAATCTATGTAATGTAATGCCAGTTAAAAAAAACAATAATTGGATAAGAAATGACTGCACTGTTTTGAAAATGACGCAAAAGTTACAGTGAAGATATTCCGTTTGGCATCAGTTGTACCATTATTGGCGACTTTATCATTTGCGCCGGCAAAACGGAAAAGTACCCTATTTTATTCCAAACTTCATCACACAAAAAAGAATGAAGTACAAATTGAGGAGGGAGCTTTTAACATCATATAATATTTTAGCTTACAAAAATTATAAAGTTCTTATAATTAATTCTACATAAAAAGCAAAATTTACAATTCTTGTTTTACTTGATGGAAATGGAGCATTATAATACTGATGCAGACAAAACATGCTATTTGATTTAAAGACATGTAATGAAATTTTAGCGAAATTCAATAATGACAAATTTCTAAATAGTGAAATAGTTCATACATTGAGAACTGTATAAGGTTTAGAAACAATACAGCCTGCACTTACCATTTAAGCTTTCTTTTATAGGGTCAATCATATCTTCAAAAAGCATGTCCTCAAGTGCTAAGAAAACATCAGTCGCAGAAAGTGTCTTACGCTGAGAAGTAGCTTGGACTTGGCTTGCACTGTAGAAAAAGGAAGTTTATACAAACAGTGAAAAAAAATTAAACAAATTTGTTTAATGTATTTCCTCAACAACAGAAAACTTCATTACAATTTGAAATAAAAGAAAATTTAATTCTCATCAAGTGCTTAAAGCAGATTTTTCAATTTTACTTTTTAATTAATTAAATAAATAGAAATTAATGTTAAGTTAAATAAAGGTTATATAAATTTAAGTAAATAAAATTCTTGTTTTATCTTTAGAGCACAAATCCAGTAATTCACTTAAGTAATTTACATACACAGTGACACATTTTTAGAGCAATTAGGCACCGTTTAATTTATGTTTAAAATGAAAATAGTGTTTCTTTAAATGTTCAATCTGAGAGACTTTTTTTCTGGGTTATAAATCTGCATCATGATTTCGATTACAGAGGAGCTTTTCATAAAATTTCCAAGGACACTGATTGTCATTCCTCTTCCATTACTTTCCAGAATCCATCAATCATGGTAAGTTTTCGCTTAGAAAGAGATCTTTTCAAGAGACTAGAAACAGAACAGTCGATAAGCTAAACATTAAGGGCCTTTGCAGGAGTATACATTTAATGCCTGTATCAGTCTTAATTTTTTTTAAGGAATCAGTGCTACTTCTTGAAGTATGACTTGTTGCTTTGACTTGATGAAGTTTCACTCTCTGAAAGTCATCAGGATACAGAAACAGAATTTTATTCTGTAAATATCAGACGTAAAACTTTCCCTTGATAGTAAAATGAGTTGACTTTAACATTTTTTGGTACTTTTCCGTTTCGCCGGCGCAAATCTCGCCAAACAGACTTTAATGGCGACAACACACAGTATTACAAAATGTGTGCTAAGAGTTTTATTTTTAAGGCATCAACATTTTAATCATTAAAATTTGAAAAAGACAATAAAAAGACAATGATGGTAAAAAAGACATAATTAAGAATTACTATGCTTTGGACACACCTGATTCGTCGTTTCATATCACGTGACTCCAAGTGATCTTATCTCACGTAAACTACGCTACAAAACTCTAATTCTCTCAATAATTACATTAATTTTAAGTTAAATCTTAATTTGGAATACACGGTTAAATGCAAGAATTATTTCCATTCGTACAAATTGCTTACTCAGAAATTATGTAAAACCCCAGTGCTTTACTCTGCTAGTGCATTCTTATTGGAATTTATGAATTTACTTGACTTTTCTATATTTTCGCCTTCAAGTGAGCAGTTTCATTGCATCCTAATTGACTTAATTACCGCGAATGGCCTTAGGCCATAAAATCGAATTATCTGGTAAAGAAACAATCAATCTTATAAGAAATGACTGCGACTTGTTTTGAAAATGAGGTGAAAAAAGTTGCCAGGGAGGATATTCTGTTTGACATTGATTGCACCATTTCTGGCGACTTTATCGCTTGCACTGACAAAATGGAAAAGTAACTATTTTTTCAACTCTTGTTATTTTTTAATTCCCATTGTAAGAGAATTCAGCAAGATTCATACACCCATTGCTGAAACTTCTTTACATTGATGGAACCAGATTTGTATATTTTTCTTTTTTTTAGAAATGGACCTTTAGATACCATTTTAAATAGTTGCTTTAGGTAAACCCATGCTTCATCTAAGATCATAATTTATTTCAATTTAACTCCTACTAAATAGTTTTATATAGGATTATACAAATTATATGTACAAACATAATATTTAAGTACATATAATTATGTACATTACATAATATTAAGTACATATAATTATATGTACAAATATTAAGCTTTTCTACAGTGTAAATCTTGGTTTATTATTTTATTTATTGTTGCTACAGATGTATTTAAAGACTTTGCATTGATTTATGCATCAACAGATTTTCTATTGCTACCAACAATTTAACTTTAGAAACAACATTACTTTTTTTATGTACCTTTTTCGCATATTCGCTTGAAGTCTTCTTTTCGTGTAGAAGTACTGATTGAAGGTTTTTCTCTTTTTGATTGAGGTTGCTTATTTTGCCCTTAGAAATTTTAATACCATGTATTTCACAACTTGCTTGAATAATGAAATAGGAATACTTCTCTTTGGAAAGCATAAAAACATATCCTTCAACCCATAACTTGCTTACATGCAACATTTTGAAGAAAAATAACTTTATGAGTTACAGACAATATTACTTATTTCAAATCATAAGCTACTGCCAGAAATTTTTATTCCAAAACATTATTGTTTTCTTTATCAAAATCCTTTAAAATGTATAAACACCCTCTGCACTTTCACAAATAATACCTAATTAACTAAAGGAAAATAGTACAAATAAAGATTTCCAAAATGAAGCAAAATTTCATGCATGTTATATTGATTTAAGTATAAAGTATTTTAAGATTTAAGATTACAAGTATTTTAAAACTAAAGAAATGCATTTTTAAACATTTTAAAACTTTCATTACAGCAAAGAAATTATAGTGCATACATATAGGTAGGTCCATGACACTTAACTGACAGAATATTCAGCCGACACGGACATTTAGCCAACGGTATGTTTGACAAACAATGCATTTAGTCCACAGCATGTTTAATTGACAACACATACATGCAGACAAAAACATGCGAAAATTTTAGTTAAATTTCTACATATCAACACACCAAAAACACGTTTCCAAGGTACACAACATGAAGGTTTATAGACAAGTACCACAGTTTTTTTCTTTACTTTATGCTATACAGGATTTAAAATTAGAGACAAAAGCAACCTTAGGCTGGTATAGATTTTGAAATCACTTTCAAGAGCAATCATATGCAGAACCATTTCTTTTAAAACGGAAAAAGAAGACTTCAGCAGTGGAAGGAATGAAATGACTTTATATGGAAAGAAATTGATTGAGCAAAATGAAAACATATGTAATGCAATTAGTTGAAAAAATAGTAATGAAATGTGAAAAAACTAACATATTAGAATTGAAATCATTGAAAAATTAATAATATTAGCTGAAGAAGAAAATGTTCTATTAATGTGAAAGGCTCCAAAGAAATTCAGTTTACTAACTGAAGAAACTTTACGAAGAAACTTTATGGATAATTTTTGCAGATCTTATGTCAAAATTATGATTAAGCATCCAATTTAGATTAACTATCAATTCCCTCCCCCTTCCATTTTGGAACACTATTTCACGTTTCCTGATAAGAAATTTCAACTCTTTTTCAGTTTGATCGATATATGACAAACCACACCGACACGATAAGCTAACAAGTCCTAAAGTATTAAAATCAGAAATGGAACTTCAAAGAATTGAACAACAAATTTCACTTACAAGTGAGAAAGTAACTCCGAAGTTGAACATATCAAGATTCCAAGAAATTTTATAATTGACAGAAACACTAAATAGTATTATGGCAATGCTGAAATGATTATTTATAATTTTGAAGAAAAAAATTAGTAACACAACAAGCTTGAGTTTGGTATAGATTTATGTCAAAATCTCCACTGATTTTGAAGACAAGCAGGTATAGTGGGTTTTTTTTTTTTTTTTTTTTTTTTTTACAAACATTATGAAAAAAGGCAGAATAAATTTAAAGGACAGTGTTTGATAAAACATTGTTTTTCAAATTAAACAAATATAAATAGCTTACGAAGCAGTTGTATAAAGGACAAAAATAGCGGCTGCTCTGGCAACGGCTGCTCTAGCTTCTCTAGACACATTTATTCCATCTGGAATCTAAAGACAGACCAATAAATAAATACAAATGTACTACATAAATCAGAATTTTACAGAACAGTAGTAAAATTCATATCTATGAAACTACTGTTAATGTTACATAGCTAAAATAATAATGCACATTTTGGTGTTCAAACTTTTTATATTGCACAGTGTGGTTAAAAAAAAATTTAGCTCTTGTAATGAGCCAAAAAACACATCAATTTGTATTATATACCAAATTATATAACTGTTATTCAAACAATTTTTTAAATGATATTAAAATCCTTCAGGTGCTTCGTCTGTCGTTTACATTACTGTAACCAATTTTCCTTGTAACATGTTCCTTAGCATTTCTGACTTGGTTTTAACAGCTTCCATAAGACATTTTTAACAAATGGCTTACATTTTTAACAGTGTCATGTCATTTAGTTGTGAAAGTATGGTCGATCACCAATCCCATGTAAAGAAATATGGAAGTGTATTGGAAGATGGAATTCACCCTAGATTTTGTTTAAACGAGAAAGTTGTGAAAAACTATGCTTCAGTAAACTAAGTACTAGTGTTGAATTTCAAAAAGCAATTGCAAAAATTCTTCAAACAATAACACCCAAATTGCTGGGGAACACTTTGCAAAAGAATGAATAACAACTGGAATATTAATGTACCACTGAATAGCCCATAATGAGTTGCTTTCATCCATTATGAACAGCTGCTATGTCATTTCCTAAATAAATAAGCAAAAGTTTTTTCTCATCCACAAAGATTTAAAATTAAGCTTGCCCCTAAATATTTGTCAAGTCACATAGGTGTAAGATGCACAGCTACTAACATAATATTTATTAACTGATACTTTTTCTTGCTTCTTAATTTTACCAAATTAAATAAGATTTAAAGTTTAAATAAGATTTTTTTTACACATAAATTTGACTAATAATGATCAGTTGTACATTATGGTCTGTCCCTTACGCAGGTTAGCACTCAAACAGGAAAATGAAATTCTGACTTTCCTGTGTTTTCCAAGGGTGTTTTAAGAAAATTCTAGTCTAGCTGTAAAGTGAACATTGGCTGTGCTGAGGGTAAATTAATTATGTTACCACTTGAAACACAAAAATTTGCCAATTTCACATTACTTTGATTAAAAAAAGAAAAAGGAAAAAAAATTCCCAAATCGATGCAATTAGAACTATAATAGAAATTTTTCTCCTCAATAACTTTTAAATTAAGTTTTTGCCAAACTAAGAAAACTTGCTAACAGTATTTGCATGCTAAACTATCATTCTCTTCAGCAATCAATTGTATCACAAAATTAGTCAAGTCCAAATAAAATTCCTTTTTAATTACATGAAAAGAGTCTATACTACATGGAGTGATTGTTAGTGCACCTGAAATATTTACAGTCAATGACAATAAAACACATTTATAATAAAATGTCTGTGCCAAATATAATTAATTAAAAGTATAACTTAAAAACTTATTTTACATGCATAAAAAACATACATTTACAAAAGAAATAAAATGCTTACAATATATGACACGTATGTAATAAACAAAATCAGAAATGAAATTTGTTGACTTCTCAATACAATGTACAGCAAAGGCTTGACTATCCAGAATGCATGGGAAATATGATGTGGATAGTTGATCGTATACAAAATGCAATTTACCGTAGAAAAGCCAAGTGAATAAAGAAAATTTAGGTTTGAAATTATAAAAACTGACATCTTATTTGTTATTAGCTTGAATACCAAAAACCTACAATTAAAATTATGTAAGATTTGAAAACAAACAAATCAAAACTTCATTTCAGACATAAAATTTTACGTATTTTGTTAGCCTTTGTTGGCCATAAAACAAAGACCCAAAATTTTAACTATCTTTTCAAACTGCAATGAGAATCCCATAAGCAGCAGTTAACATATATTCTTTACAAAACTAAACCTGCTTATCCAGAATCAATACAGTTTACATAAAAGTATGATGAAGAACATATAACTGTGTTGTGGCATTACACTTACACATTATTGACACTAAATCACACTATTTGATTACAGTATTACTTTGTAAAACATGGTCAACAGTAAAGCACACTAAATACAAATGTTTTAAATAATGGAAAGACTTCTGACCTAAATGAATTTAAGAAAACTGAAGAGAACTTTCATTTTATAGGGTACAACTCTAATATATCCCCTAATTTCACCAAATGTGGCGATATGTGTTCTGCGCTGGTTTTTGGCACGATTGCGTGTTCTATGGCAACCCTGTTGATGTTGAAAAATCTTTCGCTGGAGCTCGTTGGTTCGCCTCCGTGTCTGAGAAGATGGAGGGAAAGATAAAATGGTGGAAGTTGTTGAAATTGAAGTTCGGCAAAAGGAAATATGATTGTGGCTATCCTGTTGAGGGGTAGTGGGGTATTTAGAAGTGTGGAAAGAGGGTCTGGGAGATTATTTTTAATGGCAGTACATGATAGAAGTAGGGATTTGTGATTTTATTTATTTGTGAACTATAGTATAAATTTTCTGGATAGTGTGTCTGGCTGTCATGTAAATACGATAGTGATTACGTGGCAGCATGTTAAAGGCGCTATGAAATTTATATTTCTGCTATTCGAAAACGCACTAATTCATGGTAAGTGCATTTTATTTTATTCTTGTTCTTATTTTGTAGAATGTTATGTTCATTGGTTCTTTAGTATGAATTTCTGTCTTTATTGTTGTTTTTTTTAAATTGTTTGAAATTTATTTTAGTTTATTTTGTTGTTTAGTGTCTAGACTGTACAATTCGTAGATGTTTTTTAAAGTTGAAACAGAATGCTGGGTACATGGTATTATTTGAAATTTATTGTTGTTATGTTATTTTATTAAAGCGAGGAGTGCGTAGATCATAGATTCCTTCCCTGCCTAAATTGTGCAATTCGTAGAATTTTTTTCAAGTTTAAACAGGATGCTGTGTACATGGTATTCTTTGAAATTTATTGTTGTTATGTTAATTTATTAAAGCGAGGTGTGCGTAGTTTGTAGATTCGTTCGTTGCCTACATTGTGCAATTCGTAGATGTTTTTTTAAGTTAAAACATGTTGCTGTGTACATGGATTCTTGTCAAATATTTTTAGTTAGCAACTTTACGTTTTTGCTATCTAAATTTTTTGTTTTTGTTTTGGATTTTTAGCTAAATTGTGTGTTCAAAACGTAGTTTTTGCATGTGCGAAAAACCGCGTTTTTGGAAAACATTTTAGGCTAAAAGTTCAAAAATGTAGACAAAAAAAATTTAGATAGTAATATGGCAGCGTGAGTTCTCGCCAAAAATATTTGGCGAGAAATTTGGCGACTTGAGAGAGCATATCAGAGTATTTCCTTTATATTTTTTTAGGTAAATAGAATTCTTAAATTTTTAATAAATCAACATTGTTTTGACGCAGTTGGCATACAATTGAATAAATCACGAATGTCTGTTTTAATGAAAGTTTCTTTTTTTCCATAAATTTCTCTCTAATGAGATGCAGTTCTCTAAGATTTTCTTTGGTGCATAGACAGTTTTTCTCACAAAATTGCAAAAATGTCAAAATACCTTTCTCTATGTCATCCCAAGAAATACAGTCAAAAGTCGCTAATCCAGACACCCATAATCCGGAATGATCTATAATCCGGACCTCAAAGCTACAAACTTTCTGCACATGTGTAAACGCATAATGCACGTATGCGCATATGCGTGTACGCATGCGCGTTTAATGTATAACGAATGGTATAAGCTAAGCTATCAGTTAATGTTGCAGATTGTGTTGTTCCTTAATCTTCGAATTGGATCCGGCTTATTTTTTGCAGACTGTTAGAGCAATTTTATAAAAATAAGTTGGAACTTTCGATTATGTCAAATTGAATTTCCAATGCTGAATCTACAAAGGGAAAGCATGTTTCGATGTCCATCAAACAAAAAGTGGAATTGCTGCAAAAAAATGGATAAAGGCTCCTTTGCTTCTCTAACCATTCCGAAATCTGTTTATCAATTTCACGCTGCTCTGCGCGGGGAGGGGGAACGTCGCGGCGCGCAACGAACTGGAAGTTGATCTGTCAGCACTATCCTTATCTTCAGGGCAGATGTTTTTATTTCATCTCGATGTACTCCATCTTTGATATGATTTAAATCAAATTCCTCGTCATTATAAATATCACGAATACAAATCAAATAGTTTTCTGGTTGCAATTTTCTAATTTCGACTATGCGTAATGTATGCTTTACGCATGCGTGCGTTGAAAGAAATGTTTAATAAAGTAAACAAATAAATATTAAGTTTTTTTTTGTAAATTTTGATATACTTTAGATCATAATTGCTCTTTATTTCATAAATTATGGTTTCATATTTTTAATTTTATATAATTTCTGCATGCCACCTTACCAAATTTAAACTGATGATCTATAATCCGGAATCGCCGAAGTCCCGATGAGTCCGGATTAAAGACTTTTGACTGTATTTCTTGTTTGTGTTTCCTCTTCAGATGAATTAGAATTTGTTTCGTCCTATAACAATGCATTTTGAATTAAATCCTCTTCTGTTACAGGTAAATTTTTGTTGCAATCAAACCATGTCTCTATTTCAAGCCTAAAAATGGATTCTTCAGCTTTGTTTCTGCTTGTTAAGGCTTTTAATATTTTTGTTAAACCTTGTCCTTCTCTTTTAAAATCATTAATTCCTCATCAGAAGAATTCAAATAAAAGTGAATTTCAAATAAAATACTCTGACATCCGTTCCTGAAAATCCAATTAGTAATGTAATGCCACACATTTGCAAGCCTGTAAGTTGCAATATTTATTGAAAATGTTGACTGAAATTCTATGAGGGTACTTTTAGCATTCATAAGTCTGTTCACAAAATTTTTACAATAAATCACCTTTTAAGTTCTGGATAATTCCTTGATACACTGACTAGATCAAAGCAGTTACATTAGAGGTCATATATATAGTTCTGATGTTGCAGTAACATAGCTTCTCTTCACGAGAATGCATTCAGCAGTTATCAATCAGTAAAACAACTTAGCTGTCTTTGGGTATTCATTTTAATTTTAACTCACTCATAACAAAAATTAATTCTGAACCAGTAAAAAAAATGTATACTTATCCATCCAAGCATTCTTTTTATGTTTGTATGCCCCATGGAGATGCTTGATACACGCTAATGCTCGAGGATGTTTGGATTTCCCAGTCACCAATTATTTTAGTATGTGCGATCCAGATGCATTCAAACCAGTCAAAATTGTCAAACTATCCTTACTTTTTCTTAAACTGTGAGCAAATGTTTCATCAGCACTTGCTAAAGCTGAAGTCAGAAGCCATCGAAATAACAGACTTGTTTTGCTGGAACTATAAATATTTCCATCCTATGTTTTTTTTTTTTTTTTTTACAAAGTCTTTGAAAAAAGCAGCATATTCAACAGCACCTTCTATACCAGAATATTTTTCACCAGATATATCGAGCTTGCAAAGTCCATGACGTTTTCTGAAACAAGCATGACATCCATATGAAAACCTGCAGTCTTTCTCAACATTCACCTTTTTGGAAAAATCTTTTGTATTTTGAATAAGCACCAGCTCAGAAACATGAACTTCTTTTTGTTTCAATACAAACCACTTATACAGCACTTTATCTAAGTTTCCATTTTGAGGCTGTTGCAAAGTTTTTCTTTCATCAGAAGCTTTGCTTGTCTCTGCACAGGAGGCAAATTTCATTAGTTTTTTTTTTTTAAGATTTAATATCATAAATTCTAGACTATCTAATATTAAAGTCTCTTGTTAAATTTTGTTTGTTTCTGCCTTTTCTAAAATGGATAATTATTTCTAATTATTCAGTAACTGTTAAAACAACACACTTTCATTTTTTAGATGTTGATGAATCTTCCCTTTTTACAAATGAAGTTCTGGCAAAAATTTTGAATCAGTAGATGGATAATTAAACAAAACAGATAAAAGATTAATTTGCTGTCACACTAAAAGATCTCTAAAATGTTTTAAGACTTTCCCTATATCACATTCAACTTACGACCAATTCATTGGAATACCTGTTAGTAAAACAGGTGAAAGCAGTTTCTGTTAGAACACATGTAACAAGGACACTTTCAAATTCCACCCTATGCAGTGACCTTAGCTCCCTTCACCTACTACAAGAATATCTCTTGACAGAATTCGAAATCTCGTATGTTCCTGTGATTAGTAACAAAGAAATTCTAAAGCGAAATCTGGTGGATAAAAGCTCCCGCTTTCCTTTCTTTGAGGAGTATCAGGGCCAAGGAACTAACTCGTGAGCAGATGTGATGGGGGGAAGAGATATAAGCAATGTATTTTGAAAGAGAGACATGTAATTCTATTCACATTTTAGAAGGTATTATTGCGGTTTGTAGAGATATGAATGTGCTTTATACTGGCTCTGAAAGTTTTCCATTTTCTTAACTTTTTTGAAAGGATGTTAAAACATTTTCCAGTTACTTGAGGTTTTTTTGTTAGTTGAGTACGAGGCAGTCAAGCTTTTACTGTATAAAATTTTTAAACACTGGATTTCCTCTGCCACTAATTGTGTAAAAATTGAATGAAAGTATTATAAAAAAGTATTATAAATAGATTCTGGAATGGAAGATTTTACAAAATGGCAATGGAAAAGCAGTTATCTACTAAATAATATATATAAGTATTGAAGAATCATCCCTGCAATATTAGCACAGTTGCTAAATTCTGAAAGGTCAAAAAAGTATTTTTATAAAGTTAACCGAATTTTGAAGAAAAACTTTTAAATAAACATATGTAATACAAATTAAATGTAATATGTTATTAGAACTGAGGGGAAAAAATAACTGATGCATAGATAAGAAAAGTATAAAGTATAATGAAATATAAGAATTATTATAGACTTTACCTAGGCATTGCACATAATACCTACCTACGCATTCTATTAAATGACAAATAATCTTTAGGCAAAGTATGAAAAAAAAAAAAAAGGTCATGATCAGGCTATTATTTAAAAGATCTTCATTCCTTAATACAAATGTTATTTTGAAAAAGTAATGAAAGACTGAAACTTAAAAACTTTTATGTTTCTGATGGAGGGAAAAAGGACATTTAGAAAATTTAACAAAATGATAGAAAAAATACTAACAAAAAATTAGCACAAAAGTGGATTTATTGTTTTAATTTTCCAATATGCAAGTCAACTGAAAAAAACATCTCTGCTCAGTTTTTGTTTTTCTAACTCCAAAATTTCAATCTGTGCTTGTGCTTTCCTTTTGTGCAATAACATCTTTATTATCACACAGCTTTTTATCTTTCAGTGCTTGATGATACAGACTATAAGCAGTTGTGGCATATCATATCAGGAATAACAATACTTTTTTTTTTTTTCTTTTGCATGTTTATTCTGCATTAAATATGGGATGAATTTTAAACTTACTACTAATTTATTTTGCATTATATAGATATATAATTACAAAACAATTTTTCAAAAAATAATATAAATATATATATGGCAGTTTTCCTTGGCAAATTAAAATTTCATCTAGAAATAAAAAAATTAGCAAAGAAGAATAAAATGTTGATATATTTATCTGAGCGTCAGCTAAGAAACAGTATTTAATACTGAAGTATTACATAATAATTATTTAAAATTTAATATATTACTGATAGGTAAATTGTATGTAACATACAGTTTACCTATCAAAACCTTTTTATAAACCAAATTAAATCAAAATATTATACCTAAAATAGTATTAACAACAATTTAAGCAGTTGAGATTTTATGTGATCAGAATCCTTTTAAAAATGCATAGTATATTTTGATAAAAATGACATGTGAAGATAAAAATGACCAAGAATACTAAGTTGAAATGGAGGAAGCAGACTTTTATACTAATACATTCCACTATATTTTTCATAAAGAGAGATAATTTTATCTAACAAAATGTTAAAAAATATTAAAACATTAAATATATTTTGGTTCAGCAATGATCAAAAAGGTCAAATTTTAATATGAATATTAACAGATTAACATTACTTACAGCATCTTTCAATATTCTCATAATAACAGCTGACGGCAAAGCAAGTTCATCTACTTTTTCAGTCATGGCCAAATTTAGAACCTACAAAACATAAATAACTTAATAAAAACCACACAGTACACAAATTAGGATTAAATTATCTACAGTTATCACCCTTATATATACATTTCTTTTTTATAAATAGCCTAATAAATATTAATCATTTAATATTTATTAGGATGTTTATAAAAATTTAATGTATAATGTTGATGGCAATGTATAAAACACTGGCATTCTATAGAATACCTAGGTATTTTATAGAATGTCTGGTGTTTTTAGGCAAAATATGAAATATGAGAATTATTATAGACTTTACTTAGGTACTGCATATAATATCTACGCATTCTATAAAATGACAAACCTTACCGGTTTGTCATTTGGCATTTTATAGAATGGCTAGGTAACAAGAGATGTTAATGAATTGTTTAATCATTTCTTACATTGCCAGCCAGTTTTCAGCATTATATAAAATGCCTAGGTATTCTATAGATCATAAAATTTCATAGTTTGCCAATAACATACATAAAGCTTATATATAAAGCTAACATATGATGCCTTGATTGAATGCGATGTTCAGTTTCAGGTACTTGGACATAGCCTATACCAATGTAATAAATGAATGACTTTTGTGTGCAAGAATGCTAGCAATGACAAGATGAATCAGTAGAAGAGATGCAAGTCGCTTCATAAAAGAGACAATATGGCCCACAAGCTGAAAAGTTTAGAGGCCCTTGCTGTAAGCAATAAAAATAAATATTCTTCAGGTTACGTAAGATGCTAGTACGGACATAACAATTCACTCAACAAATTTATTCAATATATTTTTTTTTAATTGAAATCTAAAGGTCCAATTTTCTGACTTCTGCACTTATTTTGAAAATTTGTCCTGGCTGGGTTTAAGAAATGGAGAAGACATATAAATGTAGAACATGATATTTTTTTAGATTTTGTGAACTTGCTAGCATTTCTCGATTATACAGTTTTTACACTTCACAGACATAAGAAAATTTTTTGGCTTTAAAAGTGGAAAACATTTCATAAGAAAATACTACGTATTTAAATACTTTGTTCAATAACTTGACAATGATTTATCTAAGAATGAAAATCCAAATAACAAAATTGCCTAGAAGTATTAAGTATTGAAAAGCACATGCATGCTTCAATGAGTAAAATCCAGCTCAACTGTAAATAAAACTTAATTTTAATTGTAAAATGTTGATTAATATGATACAAAAATAGCATTAGCAATACATGCTAAACACCTCCAAAACAAATTTCCAGGATCAGAACTACCTTTTATTATGTCATACAGTTGGATTCTCATAATTAGTTTGCCAATTTAGTATATGTTTGGTTTAAACAATGCAGAAAACTCAAAGCGAAAACAATGCAGAAACTTCAACAGACAGAAAATGCTAAGCATTCTTAATATTAATCAAACATGTAAAAAATTAAAATACCTCCCCCCAAAAAAATACTAATCATTATGCTACACAATGCACTATATGGCAATTTGACTAAATTACATACTGATAAAAATACATATAAAAATACTTTAAAATGAAATAATTAGTACAGTCTTTGACTATAAAATTTTATTACATCAACCAATCATAATAATATATGCCTAAATAGTGCAACAGGTTAACTTATTATCACAATACGGTGAAAATGAAGACCACCGTAAGGAAATTTTATATCGGAAGTAAAAAAAAAATGATTGAAATGGATCGTGTTCTAAATGAAATTAATATTGTTAAAATGCTCAGCACAGATTCCATATGTTAGAGAAATAATTATCACGTCGCTACAGTAATAAAGCGCAAATCAATAATACACTTTCTAAGTAACATCACGACAAAAAAAAAAAAAAAAAACTTTTATCATATCAACCTGACACTTGGAAGAATATACCGAATATTTAATTCAGCAGAAACAATAAAAATACTACAGCTGTTCAAAATATCACTTGCAAATATTTCTGCTTAGAAAATTCTCAAGTTAAAATATTAACACAAAATTACATATTTTAACACAAAACTCAATCGGCGCGAAATTTAGATCAAAATAGCGGGAAAGCGGTTGCAGTTACAAAGTACAAAAGACTGCCTCGAACCGGGAAAAGGGCTTAGTAGTAGAAAGTATCACCTGGAAATATTTCTGCGCTCAAAACTCTCAGATTAAAACATAAACACGAAATTACATATTTTAACACAAAATGATCAAAGAATCTCGATTCTTTGAAATGGTCAAATTCGGATCAAAATAGCTGGAAAGCGGTTGCAGTTATAAGATACAAGCTGTTGGAGACGGCGGCTGCCTAGGAGGTTAGAATAGCTAACCTCCTTGGCAGAATAGAATAGAATAGGTTGCTATTCTAACCTCCTTGGCGGCTGCAGACAGACGATTACATAACGGCTCGGCGAAGGTCAACAGAAGGAGCGCCGCATCTGATTGGACTATTTTTTATTATTCTTATTTTTTCTTTAACTGCGAACTAAGCGGGGAAATTCCCTTTGCAATCAGTTATATGTATGCACTTAATAGAGTAATGTAACGTTTTCAGCTTGTGTGAGATATCCATATTAAATTTTTATATTAATAATCCCTGCTGTGATTATTTAATTTGTACCTGCACGTTGTAGCCCTGAGAGTTGCAACATAGTAAATTTGGCGTCCTCTACTTTATATTTTTGATGAAATATGGATATACAAGTCTTGAAAGCAAAACGAAAGTCGCTGAGAACAGCTTTCACGGTATGCTGCAACGATATAGCTCAGAAGATCGAAAACAAAAGTTTAGGAAGTGACGAAGTCAGTACGTTGTTTCGGCAAATTCAAGACAAATTCACACGTTTGGACACAACTCAAGATGAAGTTTCGAATTTGTTGTTAAGTGATGATGCCCTTCAAGATGGATATTCTGAAGATTTTTTGAAAGCAGAAGAATACCGTGACAAGTTCTGCTTGATCTGTTCGCTGTTAGAAAATGCAAAGAAGGCAAATTCGGTTACGGAAGGAAGAACAACTGAGCAAAAAAGGAAATTCAAGCTTCCGAAACTTGAATTAAGGAAATTTAGTGGAGAACCGAAAGACTTTCTTGCTTTTTGGTCCCAGTTTGAAAAAATTCACAACGACGTCTCCATTGTCGATGAAGATAAATTTCAATATCTTTACAATGTGTGGTAACAGATTCTAAAGCGTCAATACTCGGAACAAGTTTTCCGCCAACTAAAGAAAACTATTCAAGGGTCATCGCACAACTTAAAGAACGCTTCGGGAGAGATGAACTTTTGGTTCAGATTTATGTACAGGATCTACTTTCCATAGTAATAAAAAATGCTACTGGTAGGATTAAAGTAGATTTAACTGAACTTTATGATTTACTTGAGAGCAAGCTTATAGCGCTGGAAATTCTCGGTAGAACTAAGGAAAAATTTGCAGAATTTTTAGAGCCACTTGTTGAGTCCTGTTTACCAGAGACTGTTCTTCGTGCGTGGGAAAGAAGCCGCTCGATGGAAGATAGTGCGCGTTCGTTGGATAAACTTTTGTGCTTTCTTCGAAATGAAGTGCAAAGTGAGGAAATGATTAAGCTCGCTCGTACCAGGTTGGGAGCTTCACGTTCTGCACATTCGCGTCCCCATTGTGATGATCCGGGTTGCTCTACAGCTGCTGCCTTGGTAAATATTCAAGACAATACAGGTAGGCGAAATTTACGTTGTATTTTTTGTGAGAAATCCCACAATTCTGCCGAATGTTTTTCTGCTCGCAAAATGTCTTTAGAAGACAAACGAAAACTTTTGGTGCAAAAGCGCGTCTGTTTTCGCTGCCTACGATTTGGACATAGTTCACGAGCATGCAAAAATAAAGTAAAATGTTTAACATGTGATAGATTTCACTATACCATTATGTGCTCAAATGGCGAACCTGTAAAGCCAAATGAAACTGACAGTACTGTTATTTCCAGTAATGTGTTGTCTAATCAGTCAACTGTTAATGAAAATGTGTATTTGCAAACACTTGTTTTAAAAATAGTTTTGAGGGTGGAGACTTACAGTTCGTACAATTTTGGACAGTGGTTCTCAGAAATCTTATCTTCAGAAAGGGTTATCGCGTTTCTGCAAACTGCGTCCTAAATCGAAACAAACCATTATCCACGGTTGTTTGGGGGGAGAGAGACAAGTCCCATCATTCCCATTTAGTGTTTGATGTTAATTTAAGAAATTTGAGGGCACTCATGACCATAACTTTGTAGTACTTTCTCAGAACAAAATATGTGGATGTGTTTCAAAAGTAGTTGATCCCAATACCCTAAAAGAATTAAAAGAAAGAAATATTACCTTGTCTGATTTGCAAGCTAAAGAATATGACATTGAATTGCTTTTAGGAGCAGATGCCATTGGGGACATTATTACTGGCAGTTCTCTGAAACTGAACTCTGGTGTAATTGTAGTTGGAACTAAATTCGGATATACTGTGTTTGGTAAAGTAAGCAGCTTATCTAAAGAACCTACTTCAGCTACTATTCCAGCATTACTACAAAATAATGTGTGCAATAATGTAGTTTCGTTGCATTGTGCTAATCTTAGCGTAACTGAAGTCTGGAATTTAGATGCCATTGGCATAACAGATCCAACTGAAGATGTTAAACGTAAACTTGCTCATTCTGACACCGTTAAGCAATTTAAAGAGAATTTAAATGTTCTTCCTGATGGCCGATATGAATTCCCACTACCTTTTAAATCTGAAATTCTGTTACCTAAGAATAAGTCTATGACTTTTAAAAGGCATCAAAGAATGTGTCAACGAATTAATGAGGAAAATCAGTTAGATGAATTAGAGGTAGTTTTTAAGCAATGGGAAGACCTTAAAGTAATAGAAAAGGTTCCTGAAACTGAAATTGATAATTTGAGTTATTATTTGCCCCACAGACCTGTTATAAAGCATACTAGCCAGACAATGAAGGTAAGGCCGGTGTTCGACGCTTCAGCCCGAGAGAGAAATCAACCGTCCCTAAATGACTGTTTAGATAGAGGGCCGAACTTAATTGAACTCATACCTGATATAATTGACAGGTTTAGATTGTATTCTGTTGGTTTATCATCGGACATAGAAAAAGCATTTCTTCAGCTGAGTATTATCACACAACACAGAGATTATTTGAGGTTTTTTCTTCCAACTCTTGAAGAACCTATGATTTACAGACACTGCAGAGTGGTGTTCGGCGTTTGTTCGTCTCCGTTCTAACTCTCTGCATCGATAGAGCATCTCTTGGATAAATTCCCTGCCGAGTTTGACGATGTGACCCAAAAATTAAAGCATTCGTTTTATGTTGACAATTTTGTCAATGGGGTTCACGATATTAAACAGCAAGAAAATTGTATAGTTAAGGCTACAGAAGTAATGGCTCGGGGATGCTTTAACTCTTTCGCATCGAAGTCGCCCTAAACGCCCAAACATTCAGACATCGGCTGGACGCCCGAAACGCCTGAATAATTTCCTACCCAGTGCTTTCCCCCATCACGTTACTGCATTACTCATTGCTTTCAGGTGTTGTTAAATCACGTGTCAATCATTCTTTTGAAGCTACTAAAAATAGCTTCCTTGTTTCCTTTGTTCCTTCCTTTCCTTTGTTTACTGTCAGTGTTTAGCTTTTGATGCCCGAAGTTGCAATCCCGTCCCAAGGGGGAACTTCACAGAGTGTCAAAGCGTCCAAGAAAGAAGTTCTCGCTTTACTTAAGTAAGGCTATTGTTAGCGCTGTAGTATTCAACTTGTCATGGGGGAAGGAAAAGCATTCCAAGAGAAATTCTTAGATACGGGAGTTTTCGATGTTTGGGGAATTGAAATTTTGCCCTCTCTCGATGCGAAAGAGTTAACCTACGGGGTTGGGAATGTAATGTTCCAGGTCACTGTATTTCCCATAATTCAGGTATAACTTCTCTTCTTGGAATCTTATGGGATTTGGATAATGATACATTAAAATGTAATCTTAACTATTCAATGGATAATGAGATAAGTAAACGTAATATTTTGGCTATGGTACATAAAATTTTTGATCCACAGGGTTTTTTGAGTCCAACTACCTTGTTACCTAAGTTACTATTACAGGAGGCTTGGACTATGAAATTAAAATGGGATGATACCTTGCCAGAAAACATTCAGAAAACTTTTCATAAGTGGCAGGATGAAATTAAATATTGTTGCGTGCGTACGGGTTCGTTATGAAATGAATGCACAGGTCCGATGAAAAATGAACAAAAATTTATTATTATTACAACAAAAATGCTTAAATTTTCTCAAATTATCATGCAGTATTACAATATCTCACAGTAGTTATCTTTTAACTACTCAAATGTACAATAGAACGTAATTCAAAACAGCTAAAGAACGCTAATCCGCGAATTCGCTACAATCAACAACAGTAGTTTTCTAAACAACAACAAACTAAGCAACTACTACAAACTGAGATGTTTTCCTCCTTTTATAAGATTTTAAAATCACGCGCTAGAATTTTCCAGTACTTCTCGAAATCAAAAAGAGATATTTATTTATTTAACGCACGCGCTCTTGTATTTTTTAATTTTTCCGGCTTAGCTTTCTTTTAATATTCGTTCACGCGCTGCACTGCGCGAGAAATAAAACCATTTAATTTATAATTGAACTAACATTAGCTTTTTAAATACCAAATTCGTAACACTGCCCCTTCCCAAGGACTGCACGTCCCGGGCGGTACAATCCCTGGACAGGAAGCTAAACTTACAACTGTGGCATAAATGCAACTGAGGCATAAAATTACATTACAATATCAAACAATATAAACAATAAATGCAATAACTAACTTAAAACAAATCAAATACTATAAAGACAAAACAAATACTAAATACAAAACAAATACTAAATACAAATACACAAATCAAATTTCAAAACAAAAAGGACCATGGTCTGATACTATTTACAATTATTTACATTATGTACTATGGCCATAGTAATGAGCTAACCTGTCGTAAGAGTTCGAAAACTCACGGATCCGAACCACGACGTCATTCGTGTTCAGCACTGTATATGGACCATCCGA